AAAAAAGGGGCTTTATTGTCAGACGATAATCCACTAAAAACTCTATAAACCATCATGCCCACAAGGGTAAAACGTTCATTCCTTTTCTTTAGGTCGATGATAATTAAAACATGGAACATTCATAAAGAAGGTTAGGGGGTATAAGGCAGTAGTCAATTATGCAACAATATACATGTAGAGTACATTATTTACAGCCGCAATATTGATTTTACAGACTCTATCCACCTCCACGTTGCACTTTGAGCCAGTTCTTCTATTTGTCCACCAGGAATGAACAAATCTCTGATGCGTGACTTCAGTCCCAGCAGTGCATACAAAATCCCTCATGAATATTCATATATCACAGAACCGGATACTAGGGATCGTCTTGTAAACTCTGTGCAATGGTAAACTGCTATAGCGAGACCACATATACACGTACATTGCAGTGTAATGATATGATAGGGGATCTGGTTGACGTTGTTGTGACTTGTGTTGATGGGTTGGATCCCTACTTTTGTAGTGTCCTTCAGCAATGCTGTTTACAGACATTTATACATGTGGGCAATTCCACACTAATGTGCCAATTAGATGAGTTTCTGGATGTTGCATATAAAGGATAAAAGATGAGCTAATGTTTTCTTTAGTTTTTCCTATACCTTGCTAAAGTTGGAAGTGACTAGGATAAGAAAATACATGCGATGATATTTGCTATGTTTGAGAAAATAACAGGTTTATTTTCTGTGTTATACGTAACATGGACAGACACACTGCAAGGAAAAGGGTGCTTAGGACAAATTCAGTTTCTTAATGGCACTTTCATTTGACATTATGAACCCATTTACATTGCTTTCAAGCGAAAACATAAAAGTTTTTGCACTGGCTTCAAAGTTATGATGCGATTAGGGTTACGTACGAACAGGGACAGACATTTTGTGACAAATGTCCAGTCTGTTCGTACGTATAAATTCCGATTATAAAATATCAAATAATTCTTCACATTGACTCTGATGTGTCTAGCTTTTGACTGATGGCATTCCTCCAGGGTACATCTTCTTAAATCAGACAACATTAGCGGATCATTAAATGTTATATATAAATGCTTACTTTGTGCCTTTATCTAAAATGCCTGTCCTTCGTTACGTACGTAACACTTTTAAAAGCAATTATCAACCATATTTTTTTTCAATACAAAACCAGTTATATCCTTTGCAGGCGAGGATATTTGTTCACAGCTTACAAATATCAAAAATTGAGAGACCAAGATCCTAGTTTTATTATCAAAACTCAAAAGGTCTTCTCAAATGTCACACTTTTGGGCCCATTAGTGTGGAATTGGCCATGTCCTTTGTAGGTTCCCTTGCTTTCCATCCATCAGATGGTGCTGTTCACACTCTGTTTTCGTTGCTTCATTGTTTTTATTTGTAAACCAGGTCAACAAACTTGTTCAGCTTCAAAAAAGGATGCGGGCGGGGATGATCAACTGGTTTTTTTTTTTTTTACTTGGCCGTATAATCGCCTTATTAAAAACCCTCGCAGTAGCTGAACTGCCAGCCTGACTGTTATGATGACTGCATGGCACGATTAAAATAAATCTGTTGTATTTGTTGTAGATAAATCTGTTAATCTTCTTAGATTAAGTTTTCATGGTCATCTTGATAGTATTTAAATACCAGTACCTCACATTACCGGTACCTTCCACAAATACTGAGTCAATTGAAATATTATCATTCCTTTCATGTTATGCATCATCTTTATCTAGCTATCTGAATAATGTCCCACGTTACACCCAGTTACGAACAAGGGCGGATCCAGAACACAATTTTGGGGGGGGCCAAAAAAAAAATTTGGTCCCCCCAAAAAGTGGGTCAAAAAAATTACGGCGTGGGGTTCGGGGCCCGCTTAAGGGCCCCGAAAAATTTTTGGATTCTAGATGCTCTGTGGTGCGATCTGAGGCAATTTCTGACCACTTTAACCAATGTTTTTTGAGGAAAAGATGGTGGTGTACTCATTGCCTGCCTTTATTGCGATGTCACATAAAAAAAAAAATTGGTTTCGTTTTGGGGGGGGGCCATGGCCCCCTTTGGCCCCCCCTGGATCCGCCCTTGGTTACGAATTTGACAGGACATAAGACTCTAAATATATCATGTATGTGGATCTGCTATAAGCACAGAAATATGAGGCCTTCTGGTAAAATGAGGTGGAACCTGGCAGAAAAGTGCCCCCCCCCCAAAAAAAAGTGATTTTCTTTCCCTCAGATTTTCAAATTTAATGATAATTGTCATCATTGATATGTCTACGACAAATAGTATAACATTTTAAAGAAACAGTATAAAAATGGAGGAATAAAAGTGTTTTTAAGGAAAACAATCGGCATCTTTCACTTTCATGAATGCGCAGAGTCCTTTAAACTTTAAGGCCTTTTTCTCAGTATTTTACTTTTTCGACATGTCGATAACTGCGAACTTTAAACAGCCATAACTTGTCAATGGAATGTCGGATCGAAGTGCAACAAACAGCATTGTAAGGAGAATTGTATTCTCTTCCCTAATACCTGCAAACCCTCATTTTGGCCTCGGCCCAGTTCTGTCTCATTTTGCCAGAATGCATTACAAATTTGATACTACGGACAGAAAATGCATGTGTTTAATTTTAATACCCGAAATGTCATGGGATTGATATTGCAAGTCTTGTGCTCCCTTGTCATTGAGTGCATAATTTCGAAGCATCCGAGTGACAACAGAGCTGTTGAATTGACTTCAAATATACTCAAGGGAGTCTGGTTGGCGTAGCGGTACTTTTCTCGCCTTCCACCCAGGTTTGATTCCTGTCTCGGCCAATATGTGGATTAGGTTTTCAGCCCCCATTCCGTGGGTTTTCCTCGGCATATTCTTCGGGGGTTTTCCTCCCACATCTAAACTGTCATTTCTTCACATTGTCTTCTCTTTATGGGCCCCATGGGAGACCAGTGGATTCCACTGAATGGGCTACCCAGTTAAAATTAAAATTATATATAAATAAATTAGCTGTAACAGTAGTATTTTCAGCTTATTTTCTGCTCCATGATATTTCACCATGCTTTAAGGATCAAGCCAAAATTCTAGGCTAACCAACACATTATGTTTTTTACTGTATAGTTCAACCTCCGTGCCTGATTAATATTCAATCCGGAAGTTCGTGGTGTCAAAAGTTCTCTTTTGGAGTCAGCGGTGCACAGAGAATCGCAAGGCTAATTTGCTTTCTGCTACAGTTTGTTTCCTAGAAATGTGGTTTGCATTATTTAGAAGGAAGCCACATAGGATGAAAAACAACACCAATGTTTCGAATGATGCCAGTGTCCAACATGTCTGACCTTGTTCATTTCATTTCAACTGATGTAATTCATTTTTTGGGGGGGGAGGGGGGGAATATAGTGTACAAATTTTACAATTTGTGAAGAAAGTACGGTGGTTGGCTGAAAACGTGCCAACTGCCAATACTTTAGATTTGAAAAAAATCTGTGGTATGCCACAGTAACAAAAAGCTTTTAATAAGCAACAGAGGACAAACTGTCAGCGTAGGTGGAAGGGAATTCCCCAAGAGAAGATTATTCTCAGAAGAGCCCTATTACACTAATCAGTCACACGTTTCAAATGGTGCTTGCATTTTAGAAAGTGATGCCCACCTTTTCACGTACTCTTTTGCAGCAATTGAATAGGAATCGCAAATCTTAAAGGGCAAATCTCAAAGGGGCATTATAGTTTAAAATCCCTGAAAAGTTCATGTTTTGGATTGTTTGCTGTTAATACTGTTTCAAAGGTCTGGTTTAAAGGAAACTAACCTAATGTCTTACTATTCCCAAGAAAAGATAACAAGCTGTTGTTGTTCACATCAGACGTGACGGACATTTTGTGGCATACCCATGTACATATTTCAAGTTATGTCTATTGAATGTACCATACGTACACATTGTATGTGTGGTACGAAAAAAGGTACATACATGTACATACTGAAATGTGTATCCTTGTATGGAGACATTTCTTTTTTCTCGTGTACTAAAGTTTTTGAGTTTGAAAGTACAGTTTCAAAATGCTCTTATTTAAAACAGAATCGAATTTCCTTGGCTGAAATTCGGACTTACATGTATAATATCCCTTTTCTAAAACTCTACCATTTGCGACGGATCAACCCACCTTGGAAATTCCTAGTTTTTGAGTAAAATCCATCTATTTCGTGAAAACCTTGTGGAGACGTACTCATCTATAGAAATTGCCCTGTGGAGACGTATATCTTTTGTTCCCTAAAATTGTGTGCATGTCTCCAGAGGGCACGGTGTATCAGATCATAATACACACAGCACCAATACACAAATGTTGCTTTTTATATCCCCAGAATGCAAACCACTGTGCGGCTATATCACAACAAGCACTCAATAGCTAGATTTTTTATTTTCGCATGGTTCTCACAAGAATCATAACACAAAAACGCCCAGTTTTTAAAGAATGGTTGTGTGGACGTTTCTATTCTACTTTTAAATGCTCTTTACATTTAATATCATTTCAATTAAAACGCACGTTGTACATGTAGCCCAATTGGGGGCATTGCAGGCCGTAATGTCCCAATGTATAGTTTTTGAAACATGTGAAGTGTAGTGAGTTAAGTGCTTTCAAAAATCCTTCTCAATCAAATTGCATTGATCTTTTTGATCATGATCCTTTTGTTGGTACATGTATGTGAACAATTGTTGCTTCCGGGGAAGGGATGATACTTCTGAGGCTTTTCAATTTCAATTCCGCTTTAATGTATAATTAGTTGGGGTTCCTGTTAGGGACGGTCTTGCAGCAAACATTCAGACCAAAGTTATGAGGTTTTTTTCATAGTACATGTCAAATAAAGATGTAACCATAGAAATGTGTCTGTAATTCTTTGCTGGAAAATTGAGGAGAATACAGTTTTGATGTCATATTCTTAAAAAATTGTCATTTATAAAATGTGTGTTTTGTTTTGCATTTCTCTTTTTATTTTGTTCGTTGTGATTGCAGCGTGAGATGGAACAAGATCCCATCCAAGGAAAGCTATGGCAACTATGAATTGCTGTAAGTATAATTGTGACTCATTATTTGACTTGTGACTAGACTTATAGACTATACAGCTCATTATGAGCTCCGTGGACGGGGCACACAACGTGAGCGCGATGTACTGGTTCACACGCAAAGTACTTCATCATCATCATCATTAGCCTAATTCAATCCACTGCTGGATGAAGGCCTCTCCACTAACTTTCCATGCTTTTCGGTCCCTTGCCAGTTGTTTCCATTTATTCCCTATGAAATCAGAGATTTCATCTCGCCATCTCTTAGGCTCTCTTCTTCTTCGCCTCTCCAATGATAATGGCGTCCAATCCGTTACTTTCAGGGTCCATCGCAAAGTACTTACAACATCCTGAATATAGCCAGCGCGTCTTCGCGTGAGCGTCAGGCGTCGTCGGTGCGCAAATACGCGTAAATACATTAGAATTCAACTTTGCATGGTCTCGCAGACTAATCCCCACCTCTAATAACTTTGAATACATTCGAAATACGCAGTGGATGGATCGGCAACCAGTCTAGGTCACCCCCAACTCTCCTTTTTGGCCGTTGATGGGGTACTTGTGCACGGAGCCTATGGATCTTGATGGACTCCAGTACAAAGTGTTTTTGACGTTGCCTGATTGGGCCTTTTTGTTCATGTTGTTTGATAATTGGGTTTCAGGTACGATGAAGAGTTGGCACAGTTGGATAGCATGGAGAGAGACAGCAAAAGTCGGCTAGCTGGGGGGATGGGCTTCGGAGCAAGGGGGCGGGATGCTAAGACAAAAGGCCAAGCTACATGGAAGTGATAATTGAAATGACTTCAGTATCTGTGATGGAAAGGGTGGGCGGGGCATAGAGGCAAGGGGGAGGGATGCTAAGACAAAAGGCCAAGCCACATGGAAGTGATTGAAATGACTTCCGTGTCTGTGATGGAAAGAGTGGGCGGGGCATAGAGGCAAGGGGGAGGGATGCTAAGACAAAAGGCCAAGCCACATGGAAGTGATTGAAATGACTTCCGTGTCTGTGATGGAAAGAGTGGGCGGGGCATAGAGGCAAGGGGGAGGGATGCTAAGACAAAAGGCCAAGCTACATGGAAGTGATAATTGAAATGACTTCAGTGTCTGTGATGGAAAGGGTGGGCGGGGCATAGAGGCAAGGGGGAGGGATGCTAAGACAAAAGGCCAAGCTACATGGAAGTGATTGAAATGACTTCCGTGTCTGTGATAAAAAGGGTGGGCGGGGCATAGAGGCAAGGGGGAGGGATGCTAAGACAAAAGGCCAAGCTACATGGAAGTGATGACTTCAGTGTCTATGATGGAAAGGGTGGGTGGGGCATAGAGGCAAGGGGAAGGGATGCTAAAACAAAAGGCCAAGCTACATGGAAGTGATTGAAATGACTTCCGTGTCTGTGGTGGAAAGGGTGGGCGGGGCATAGAGGCAAGGGGGAGGGATGCTGAAACGAAAGGCCAAGCCACATGGAAGTGATGCATCATTGAAACGACTTCAGTGTCTATGAGAGAAAGGGTGGGCGGGGCATAGAGGCAAAGGGGAGGGATGCTAAGACAAAAGGCCAAGTGAAATGACGTCAGTACTATGAGAGAAAGGGTGGGCAGGGCATCGAGGCAAAGGGGAGGGATGCTAAGACAAAAGGCCAAGTGAAATGACGTCAGTGTCTATGAGAGAAAGGGTGGGCGGGGCATAGAGGCAAAGGGAAGGGATGCTAAGACAAAAGGCCAAGCTACATGGATGCGATCTGTATAACACCGATATGGGCAAAAGGATGTCAAGGTCAAAGGTCATTCCAAGGATTTTCCAAGATGGCGGATGGATTCTTCCATTTTCTCGACTCTTACTCCACTCTTTCGCTGATACAAAATTGTGTCCGAAGGAGCAGTAACCCTTTCTACATAGTACATTTTGTTGGAAACAATTAAATAAAAGGATGCATAGTTCATCAGGACACATTCTTTAATGCTTTTATTTGAGTGAAGTAAAGCAAAATACCTGCCAAACAATTAAAAAATAGTATGAAGTCAATTGCAATGATACTTGCATGGCAAACTACACAGGTCAGGTGTAACAGGGACACAAAAATGCCACTTGTTTGGCCCCAAATTTATGGAATAAGCTGTGTGAAATAAGCTGTGCGTGTACAGAATTCATTGTGTGAACCTCATAACACTGTCCGTGAACGGAATTTCAGAGAAAAAGGTTTTAATTGATTATTTTGTACTGGTTGCAATAAAGATGACATAAATTGTTATTGACACTATACACCTGTATGTATACATGTTCTTGAAGGCCTTTGGTGCTTGGTTTGTGTACATGCGTGCTTTCCTTTTGTACAGCCCACGTTCATTTACAAGAACACTGTATTGTACTGCTGGTCTGTAGTTGTGAAACCGAAACAAGTTGTGCAAGCTGGCCAGGGTCGTTTTGGAAGCTTGCTGGTAAATGCTGCCGTGGGAGGTTTTATTGGATCAATCCACTCAATGTATTTCCCAGGTCAGTATATAGAGAAAAGGTTTGCGTTTGGCCGTGGCAAAGCAGTTTGTGAAAAGAATCCTGCCTGGTAATGCCAAACGAGTATGTTTATTTGTGTATGCATTCAGTTCGAAACTGTGCATTGACATTCTTTTCGTTTCGCTTCTGAACTTGAAAAAAAATAGATCAGACTAGAGTGTGGTTATGAAACTTTGAAGCCTATGTTTTTTTTGGACAAAATTGAATCTTGCTGTGGATAGACAGTAGTTCACATATGAACGTGTCTAGTACATACATCTTTTTAGTTTACAATATTACCATGCAGCGATAATATCGTTGTATGGCAATATTGTATAATAACGTTTTACATGTTACACCGGTACATACAGTCACGGTCTGCACATAAGTCTGATGCTACACTAAGGTTCGACGCATTAAGTCCGACAAAATCTCATCCCCAACCAAATAATGGCCCATATAATTACTCCGTTGTCAGGAATTATTAGGCATCGGACTTATGGGGCGTCGGAGCTATGAGGACGAATCCCCAAGTCCAATCCGACATTTTGAACTTAATAGACATCGGACTTGTGAGGTATCTGACTTAGGATACGCTCCCATACAGTCAACTTTCGCTATACAAACACTGTTAATACAAGTTCTGGGTAAAGCAAACATATATAGCCTTGGTTCCAACTGTGCTAGTGCATAATGCATGGGATTGGCGCTCCACAAAATTCTGATACACTCAACCAAAAAAGAAAGTCCCTCTTAAATACTTTTTGTCTAACTCAAACACTACTGGGCACATCTTGCTGAAATTACAACTGATCAGTACAGAAATTCCTTAGCGATCCAGCCATACTCTTTGTTTGGCATGCCTGGCCTAATAAAGGGATGTGTACAAAGTTATGCAATTTATGACAACTGGTACCAAAAAAAAGTTGCACTTTTGTATACGTGCAACCATAACTTGCACGTATACATGTACAAAATTGCAACTGTTTGCAGTATCATTTGTCATAAATTGCATAAATTCGTTCACATTATCACTGTTTTGGACCAAATAAAGAGTATGGCTGGATTGTTAAGGAATTTCTGTGCTGATTAGTCCTTATTTGTGACCGGCTCCACAAAAAAGGGTATTACATGCAACTCACGCTTAGCATTATTGTGTAATAGTCCGCTCAACATTGAGAGGGTGAAACTTTTGTCAAAAGGTGATTTTCATTTTTTGTCATGAATGACATCTTTAATACCTACAGTTTCAGGTTTCATTCACAGAAATGTTGATTTTGATGAACAAGGTGGAAAAAACAACCATTTTGTGTGCATCATTCTGTTGTTCTACAACAAAGCCAGCTATTTCAAAGCCCGTTTTCACAGTTTTGTAATTTGAACTCCAAGGAAGTAATTAATATGCAAACACGTCATATCTCCAGAACGAGAGGGGCTATGGAGCTCTATTATATACCAAATGAAAGCTTACGTTGTGGGCCTTCCAGCCATGTATATAACTCAATTTCACTTTTTTGCGACATAATACCCTTTTTTGTGGAGCCGGTCACATTTGAGCAAGAGGTGCTCAGTAAATTTTTGGAAAGGGGGGGGGGATTTCTGTTTTGGTTGAGTGTATAACAAACAGTTTGGCCAGAACCAGCTGAGTTTGTATTAACGAGAGTCGACTGAACATGTACAGTATTGTAGATAATGAATATATTTGTAAATACTTGTGTTCAGAGAATTTGGAATTACAAAACTAAATAAAAATTGCAATATTGAATTCATTTGTAATGTGTAAATTGTTTTTGTTCATGATTGATTTTCAAATGACAATTTAACAAACACTAATACGGATTCTGTATGTTTATTGACAACGATGTTCACTTCATTGCAAATCCACACATATATACATATCTGTCAACAACAAAATATTAACATGCCAAGCTGCGGTCTTTTAAACGTATATCCACACATATTCACAATGGAAGTTATATGAAAAGTTTATTTCCAAAACGCGACATATCCATTTGAAACGGGTGAGAATTGTGCACGGTCATGAAAATTTAAAGAATAAATACATTGTTACGGCCATTTATAAACATCACTTTTCGTTTATTGTATTCTTAAGTTGTGTTTTAAGTATAACAGCCGTCAACATTCCTTTTGGGCAGCCAGGAGAGAGCAGGATTTTAAAAGGGAACACAATGGGATATATAGCATTTTGGAAATAAATATATACCAGGGCAATTCCCCGCAAAACTGGACAAGACTGAACTACACATGTAGTGGAAAATGTATCTTCCAAACTACAAGCGTCACAACCACAAAGGTGGTGTCAAATTAAAGGGGACAATGAAATGTTTCATTTTTGAGCAGTGTGCCAATGAGATGGAATATTTAAGTGTGATTTTTTTTTTTTGGGGGGGGGGGGAAACAGGTTTTTTTTTGGGGGGGGGGGGTTAAAATCATGCATTTTTGGTGGTCATTTTGGCACCTTGCTTTAACATGCAAAATGCGGAGATGTATAATGCAGAGATAAATTAAAGGTTCGTGATGTTGTAGTTCATCAAATTCAGATGTTAGAAAACATGAAGAGGAAAGTGATGTGAGTGAAGAGGAAAGTAATGCGAGTGACAGTACCTCCTTGCAATCTAATGTCCTCTGCATTTAAAATACACACTACTTTGATTCACAATAGGTTTTATGTAGCCTGGGATTGTATACGGTACACTTCTGTGTTCAGACTTTAGTTTTAGGAGACTTTAACAACAAAATTGCAGGACAATTTTCCTTGTCCTTTTTTGTAACGTAAGTGACGACCAACAAACACATGTTTTGAAAAAGTGAATGAATGGATTGAATTTGTCTTTCCATTTGTGCGTGGCCCTTATACCTCAAGGTGGTTGTATGGCTGGTTTGATTCAACTTGATCAAATATACTGTTAAAGTGGTGAGAGGTTGTTACAACTGATAATGTAGTAACCAACCGATAATGTATCACCAACCGATAATGTCACACAAATTGACCGATACTGTATCACTAACCGATAATGTAACAAATATTGACCGATAGTGTAGTAACTTTTACTACACTATCGGTCAATTTCTGTTACATTATCGGTTAGTGATACAGTATCAGTCAATTTGTGTGACATTATCATGATTATCGGTTGGTGATACAGTATCAGTCAATTTGTGTGACATTATCGGTTGGTGATACATTAGGCCCCCCAAAAAAGTCTCCGGTTTCTGGTATGCGCGCGCGTCGCCGTAGCCATGCGTGTCGGCAAAATGAAAAAGTTTTTTTTTCAATGAAAGATGATGTCTCAAAACCGCCAAACTCACTGGTTTGACTGGAATCCTGCTGCTGCACAATTTTAACGTGTTTTTAGATGGGGTTATGATCGAGAATAAGCTTTATGTGGCGTCTCTGGACTCCCATATATTTGCACTAAGTTTAGTCGGGCACCAGTTGCAGTCATCAGCCGACATTTGAAGCAAAAAAGTCAGGTAAAAAAAAAAAGCCGCGTCGCCGCACCACTTTTTGGACAAGCTCCATACCAGAAACCGGAGACTTTTTTGGGGGGCCTTATCCGTTGGTTACTACATTATCAGTTGTAACAGAGGGCAAAGTAGCCTCATGGCATATACATAAGGATGTTATGAGAGTGGAATTACCCACCTATGTACACATCCAACTGAAACACAAAGTGCGGAAATGAAAATAAAAGTTAAAACTGCCAACAAAAGAATAATTCAATGGAAGTATGGAGTACACGGTAGCTATTAAATAAGAGTATAGGGAAGTTTTGATTCAAGCATAACTCTAATCGTAATATATTAAAGATTGGGGTCCTGACGAATATAGATCCTGTCGCAAATTATGTTTATTCTCAGCTGCACACATATATACATAACATATTACAAATTACCAAATGCCATGAATATACAGAAAATTCCATGTATGTTTAATTTCATTTTTGTTCAACACAATGCACGCTGATTGTAGTTTTCTGCGTACTAATTGTTAAATTTTTCAAATGCAAACATGTACTGGTAGACCCACTGATGTGAGAAACCGGGAATTGGAAAAAGTCCAAATACAGTCGACTCTCGTTAGTACAAACTGTGTTAACACAAAATTCTGGTTATAACAAACATAAAGCCTTGGTCCCGACTGTGCATTTACATTGTATATGCACAATGAATGGGACTGATGTTCCTCTCAATACACAATTCTGCTATAACAAACAATTTGGCTAGGTCCGAACGAGTTTGTTAACGAGAGTCGAATGTATTTGTTAAGGGTTTTTAGGACCATGCTTAATACAGAGTAGTAAGAGAACATACATGTTTGTTTGTCCTTGTCACATAACCAATCCACTTGAACTTTGCACAATGACCCGCATTATGAAAGTAAATGTGATACAAATGCACACATGGCATGCATTGTTACATGATTAGTATACAGTAATTAGTATAAACAGTAACAGTAACAGATTAGTATATACAGTAACTCTGATTAAAAATATAGCATTTTATATGAAAAGTCATTCTTCCTTAATTACACAAACTAGGTTTTATCAGTACATTTAAAAACATGCCCTTGTAGATGCTAATATGTGACCTGTTCTGTCAAAATCAGACTTTTCTGGGCATAAGGTCGAAAATGATATTTTTACATATTGTTAACATATGTTCTTTTTCCTTTTAATAGGTGGTTTAATTTTTGAAACCGGTCATTCCTGCGCAAAGTTATGCTATTTTAAAGTTCATTGTGTCGAAAAGTAGAAAACAGAGAAAATGGCTACGAACGTCACAAAACAGTTATTTATTTAACTGATATACCTTATCAAAATCATTATGTAGAGTTCAAATTAGGGTTTCAAACTTTTATAAAATAGTTTAGACATGTTCAGGATTACAAATATGCAAAAATTTGAAAATCGATAAAAATCACCCCCACAGCGTTTTTTTGGCCCATCTCAATTTCAACCTCTGCCCAGAAGCGTCTGCTTTTGACAGAACAGGTCACATATTATGATTCATTGTTTGGCATGCATGTCAATAAAAAATCTGTTACTGGTTTTTATTATCAAACTACGTGTATAAATTCAGGCACTTGCAACTGTACATGCACACGTATGTACCACAGCACGTACCGCACCAGTATTAATAATTTTTATATCAGGCCTCTAGTGGTAAAAATTAATCAGCATATTGTACATGTATGCTTTTGTAAATACATGTAGTACCCAGATGAGGACAATATTGTATGTATGTTTGATACTGTCCTCATCCGGGCGATTTCACAAATGTTGCTGGTTGTAATTCCCGCACAATCAAAAGCGGAGAACCTCGATCGCAGTTGTCAACCAGTCAACAGAGCGCAGCGCGCGGTACCGTCGCACGCGGACGCAGTGGGGTATCGCACACTGTTGTCATAAACACAATGGCAGCTTCGAGCGGCAAAAAAAATTACAAAAACAAAATATGAGAAAAAAAGACGGTGTCCTGAAAGTTATTTTTAGCGGATCAAGTCAGCCTGATGTAAATTATAATATTAGATGCTTTTGTTTTCTTGGGATACAAAAATATATTGCACTCGCTATCGCATGTGCAATATATTCTTGTATTTCCTCAAAGACATCTAATATTATATAAATCTTCCAAAGAAAAAGTCCACTAAATGCGGGTAGTACAGTGTATATCTAATATAAATCTCTGATATATCAAATAGATACCATTTTTCCACAACACGCAGAATAATTAGGGATAAATTCAATCATTTTTTTCAAAGGACAAGTGAAGAGGCATGTCAGAAACAGCGACCGTAACTAGAAAAAAATCACATTCCTTAATAATTGATCTGTTTACCTGTCTCATAAACATTTACATATATATGTACATATATATGTATATGTAACACTCAAAAATTGTGCTCGCTCATTTATTTAAAAAAAATTATACATATCAACATTATTTTTACAGGTTAAAACATGGAAAAATTACAAACCAATAGTTACCAATGAGGTTTTATTTATAGCTTGGTCTCAGAAAGTACCAAAATATACAAACAAAATCATTCCAATGAATAGTAAAATAGCTGATTAAAATCAAAATAACAAATACAGTAACTAGTATTAAGTTGCTTTTTTCTTTTTCCCCAATCTGTTTTTTTTTAATGCGTTTATGCTGATTTTACAAAATATACATGTATACAGATACATACTTGTACCCATCACCCCAAACATGTCAAAACCACTATTATTGGGCTATAAACCGTCTTTCTGTTGCGTTTCCCCAGGGGCAGTGTTGATATGTGAGCGTCAAGAGTTGGTTACTGTTGACAATCATGTGCTGCTTAACGGTATACTCTGTATATAGCGCTTCATCCAAAAGTTTCAAAGAGCACTTCCCATTTGACCTACATGTACATGTATCAAGATAGAATTGCGTCAACGCAGCTTGTGAAATATTATCCAGTTACGTATATGAGATACAAATTAACGCAGAATGCGCAAAATCTGAGGCAAACAAAATTTAACGTTCAAAATTCCCGTAGGGTTGTCTAAGGACTAACTCGAAAACAGCGATAGGTCAATTATTACCCCTGGTCGTTAGGCCACGAGACCAGTTTTTGCAGCAGCTCGAGATCAGCGCGTTCTGGTCTCTACCTTCACAGGTACATATTCATACTCCTGGGTGGAGAGGCAATTGTAGTGTCTTGCCCAACAACACAAGCACCATGTTCCCTGTGGGGGTGGGGGGGGGGAACCCAGGTACCACGGCATGTGAGCACAACATGTACAACCACAGCTCATACTGTTCGTGTGGCTTTGATTGCAGCCAGATACTTAATACAGATTGATCCAGATGTTTAATTCATCGGTCATATCAGTGACTTGTATACACTACTCTCTCTATGGAGACCTCTCTACCCCTCCTGGGGTTGATCCTGGCAGTGTTGAACTCCTGCAGTGCCTTAAAGACAAAGTTCAGGGAGTAACGCGGTGTGTTTTGGAACAGCGGAGGGATGTTACTGATCCGCTTGTGGTCGATGATGGGAACAAAACGGGCATTATTCCCACGCTGCCTGAACTCTTGATCCATCAAGCGGTAGATGAACCTGGCAAATGATCAACAAAATATAAATATTAACAGTCTGTAACGAAATCTACACTGAATTTTAAGAAGTATATATATACATGGTAAGTGAATAAAAAGCAAATGTCGGAACCATTGTTTTAGTGATGTTCTGCATGTAGCACTTTCAAAATCTAGGATATAATCGCCCAATTCATAAGCTTTCTTTTAGCACAAGAATCATTCAAATCACTCAAGTTATGGAATTCTAAACACAACCACCCTTTTAAAGTTCTGTCCACAGATCACCAAAAAGGTAAGTGTCCTTTCAGCAAACGAAAACAAATCACATACGGATGTGTGTGAATTGTTTTCGTTTTGCTGAAAGAACGCACACCTTGTTTTGTGATCCGTGGACAGAACTTTAAAACAGTGGTTGTGTTTAAAATTCTGTAACTTGAAAAATTACGTGAGTGATTTGAATGATTCCTGTACTAAAAGAAAGCTTATGAATTGGGCTTTGATATCCTAGATTTTGAAAGTGCTACATGCAGAACTTCACCAAAAGAATGGTCCCGACTTTTGGGGTTTTTTTCACCCTGTATATTCGAGTCTCCTAAAGTAGCGCACTTCAATGTCTCCCTTGACTTTCCTCATGCAGTGTTGCAAAACCTCTTTGCTAACAAACTTCAAATTCATTCAGTGAAATACATGTATGGTACTTTTACCTTAATTTTTGCTGTTGTACCTTGGTGAACAATTTCAGTGTCATGAAATTTCTTCCAAAATTCAAAAACAGAAATTGGGCACAAATTCAGCCGAGTGTTCCCTAACACGGCGTACTTGAACAAATCTCGGAAAATCCCAAGTTAACATTTAAGAATGTCTTTAGTTTGTCAGAAAATTGTGTTCTTATTTATGGGATTATTAAATTCCTTGGATTTACATGTAGCTGAATTTGAGGAGCATAATTGCAACAACATGCAACACTAAAACTAATACTAATGAACAGGTTCAAAACATTTCAAATGAAAATTCCAATGTGAAATAAAAATTAATTAAAGTTTCAATTTAAAAAGAAAATTCAAATTTCAAAATTAGAACTCAAATTTCAAATAATTCAAATTAAACTAAAAAATTCAAATTTCAAATAAAAATACAACTTTCAAATGCAAATTCAAATTTCAAATGGATATGAAAATTTAAAAATAAAATCTGACCTTGTGTTTAAAGATGACTGTACTTGACCAAATACCTCATCAATATAGTGTTCGTTGAAGATGACAACGATGTATGTTGCCTGCAAGAAACAAAACCCACCAATTTGCATAACAAATTCAAGATCTGTGAATCATTCATGATACCTCATTCAATTAATCAGGCAACAAGCCCAATTTTGACCCCTAAAAAGTCCTTTGTCATTGTTTAATCCTGCATTACTTTTGACCAAACAGACTTGTGTTTTTCATTCTTTCTACTGAATGATAAGATTTGGATGGACTTATGTCTTTGCCTGCAATCAGGGACCCCCTATCGTCCCTCTTATAACTTTTTTTGGCAGACCTCCCATATGTTTTGTACACGTTCGCCAAATTGGGGACCTTCGGGAATTGGGGACCCTATTGTCCTCTATTGTTCAACGTCCCCTATTGAATGCAGAAACAAACTCACACCCACAATTCTCTGACTACGTACGAAGTAGGAACTTACCCTTTGGAAGTGGTTACGCGTAGTGGCTTGTCTTTGTTCATCCTGTTCATCGGAAGCAGAGTCCATCTTTTCGTCTACAATGACATCTTGCCCTTGCTCCTTCAACGCAATGCCCAAATCAAATGCCTTTTTGTAGGATTTGTAGGGGTAGGTAATGAACCAACACTTCTCTGTAAGAGTGAATCAGAACAGTGAATCGATAAAATAAATACACAATAAAAGTTAATCTGAATATATGCTACTCATTAAGTTTTTTGGAAATATCCACCATTTGTTCACCGGCCAAAAAGAGTTCAACTTTCTGAGACTACAGGTTGTCCTACAAAAAAAAATTAAAAATTGGGCCAGTATTCAAAATCGTGTCTAATGATTTGCCGAGTAGAATTATTGGTCTTCCAAATGCTTTTTAGTTGGTTTCATTAGGATGTTTTGTTCAAAAGATACAGCAATCACAATACGGGACTTGAAAAACTACTTAAGCAACTTTTTTTTTTATTCACATGTACGGTAGATCTCCTGGATTCCAAAAACACTTTTGTCCAAATAATAAACTGATAAGCTGCACTAACACTTTTGGCCCATCCTTTGTGTGATTCTCTAACTGCGCTTTCTCACTTTCAAGGAAAGTGGCCCGAGATGATTTTCAACCCTTGAGTTCGATGAAGCATAGCGTTTGTTCCAATGCATCAATTTGAATAAAATAAAGTGTGCACGGTAGATTGGTTATCTGACTTTAAGAGGTAATTTGAAAATATTCCAAAATTCACATGCAATATGTACCTTGGTTTTCGACTGTTACATGTAGGTTCTTTGTGGGACAAGCTGTAGCACTAGCTCTGGAAGTTTCAGTTGCACATGCATGTGTCTCACCGATAAAGGAAGAATGTAAAACTTGACTTACTTTGGTTTGGGTCCAGAACTGGAACAGGAGATGCACCTGCTGAGGTTGAATTCACTGAGAGAGAATTGAGTGGTGAAATGTGGCTGTGTAATTGCTCTCCGTGGCACACTTCTTGATTAGATTGCTCGATGTCAAAAATCATCATCTGCGTGCCATCATTCATGAAAGGGCGGGGGCGCCACACTTTGCTGTGTCCAGGTAGTGGCCAAGTTGAAAAGGCACTGTCATGATCCCTGTTCTTCTGTCGAAGCCAGTGAGGATTTGGATCCGACTGAAGCCCATTGCAACTACCGGATCCATCCGTGTTTAGAGACAACTTACTCCTATTAAAGTTCTGTGGCTCTTGTCCAGATTGGGGTCCTGGGGTGCCATTTGGGATGCTCTGATGGAACACAGACTGAGAATGCATGGTAGTGTCTGGAATGTGACTCGGTGGCAGACGCGGGATTCCATTGTCGGAGGCGCTCATCTGATCTTGCCAGCCGTGAAAGGATGATTCCCCTGGGGAGGGATGGCCTTTGGATTGGCTGTGCGCCTTGTCCCTTTCATAGCAAGATGGACCTGGACCATGTTCATAATGCTGACTGGATGAGACACTATGACATCTGTGGCTGTCTGTTGGAGCTACCGGATCAAGGAAAGTGCCCTCTAAAGAAGAAAGAATCGTACCTTTGCATGAAAACATGTAGAGCCATTCAAAATATACAGTTTAAACAAACTGAAACTTGAATTGTTACACTACATGTGTTGTTACACAACATGTAACAAACTCAGAAAGATGCATCAGAAATGAATTTGGTAAAAAAGAAACTGTCAATAATACATGTAATGTAACAGTTGTGAATAATATTGTACATGTACGTTGATCACTCACCTGACATCATTACACTGATTAAAGTCGCGACGTCTTTTCGCGAAGGTTCCAAGTCTTGCAACGTGTTGATTAGCACGTGTACAGGCACGTCTTGATCTACGCTCAGTCCTTGCTGCCATTCCTTCAGAACTTTATTGGTTGGTGAGAAGTCTGGTTGCAGACACTCAAACTTTGTGTGCTGCCATTGAAAAGATTCAAACATTCCAAATTTCAATTTTCAGTAGCCCTTAGAAGCAAGCCAGCTGCAGTCCACAAAAGTAAAGACTGGTTTACATGGTTTATGAATATTTTCTTGGTAAAGGAAGCTGTGGAAAGGGCCTCATTTTCAAGCACGTAAACAGTTCTGCAATGATGAAAACTAGCACTCTGCTTTTCAACTGTAACAATTATTTAGTTTCAAATTGCTAAAGAAAGTGAATGCATCAAACGAAATGTAAAGACTTTAATCTTTAACCCTAACCGCCCTGAATCCTCCAAAATCCTTTTTGCAAATTGGAGGAATTTGCAGGATTGAGGTTACATGGCAAAAGTGCGTTGCTGATTTCGGAGTATGCACTGTGTCAAGGTCTTGGGCCGGACCTTGTGTTGTTTATGCTCAGCCGTGCATAAATTTAGTCCTTGATTATACTTGACATCCTCCGCACTGCTCCAGGATGTCACTGCCTCTGCCTCAACCTATTGACAGTCATAGCCGGAGGATTTTGCAGGATTCAGGCCGTGGTCACCCCTCCATGGACCATATTCAAGAAATAATGGAGGAATTTGCAGGATTGAGGCGAGGCCAATTGGGGGATTTTGCAGGATTGAGGCTACGTCCTAGCAAAAAGACCTAGGGAGTTAGGGTTAAACTAAAAAGTTTCTAGCTGTTATCCAAATAATAGGTCCCTGAATGTATCAACTTACATCAATCCATTCAGCAGTGAATTTTTGTGGATCCAGATAAGCAGCAAAAAGCCTCCAATCCGAAGAAGACCGAGGATTTAATTTCTTGCCCACAGCATTGATTGCCATGAAGGTAATCCGTGGCCTTTGACGTGGCAACGTCGTACAGGACATCTTGGAATTCATGACTGCACATCTACTGTCAAAGATGGATGACAGTGGCTACATGACATCTATCCTAAACAAAAAGAGAAAGACAAACAAACATCTGAAATAAACATCAGAAGATGTGAGGGTCAGACAACTCTCTTTGGAAATTAAGTCCTCAATTTCTTACATTTGTAATGTACATGTATGTATGTAAATTTCTGTGCGACTTTTCAGGCTCCTCTTTAGTCATGTTCGTTTGGCCCAAGTTTGAGCCAAGAATGTTTTACGCAGTGGCTATTGTTACGGCAGTCAACCGTCTGTTTCCCTGACTTCATAGTATTCAACGCCGGCATCTTTGGCTGTTGGAACCAGACTATCAACCAAACGGTTCTCAGACTTTATTTTCCTTAAAAAAAAAAACTCCTCAAAATCCACTTATTGCATGTCCAAAGAAGAAAATGATATCTACTTCGATAAAAAGTAGGATTTGATCAGTAAAACCATAAAAAGAATAAAGAAAAAAAAAATGGCACAGCCTGGATCTGATCCCAGAACCTTTAGCATGGTTGTCGAGTATTCAACCAAACAAGCTACCAAAGCACTCCGGTTGGTACATGAAGGTGCAAACATTATAAAGATTCGCGATGGTGTACATGTATCTGAAATGCCTTAACAATAAAAGATGGAAATCGCCTTATGGCTGTGGTAACAGTAACCACTTTAAATTTACTTTTATCATTCCAAAATGAAAAGCAATCTTAAACAAACCTCCAAAATTCTAATGATTGTACTATTTGTAATTCTATACAGTATCTTTTGGTAGAAAATGCCTAATTTGAAACATACTTTCAGTTGACGCCATGTGAATTAATGCGGTTCTGCGCACACATGTAAATGGTGCGATGCAGTGATTGCCATCGTTATGTTCGTGTTGCCTTTTGAGGTTGTCATCCTCATTTTACCCCAAAATTTCCCACAAAATATCTAAACCCTGCCATCTGTCCACAATGTATGTTGGTTTAAGTATCGATCGCTAACTACAATGTACATGTAATAGGCCTAGTTTGTCCAAAAACCTAAAAGTTGATTTTCCTTCCCGTGTATATAGAAACGGGGTCATAATTCCCAGAAAAGTAAGGTCTCCTTTTGTCCCATACTTTGTACAATAACGCGTTAACTCTCCTGTAGTTAGACCATTCGAAACACCTCAAAATCTGGGTGCTGGCAAATTGGAGGGAAGAAAATGCTGGACCTTTTAAAATCCTCCAGAATGTATTGTTACTGCACTACCACACCTTTCAATTCCTTTCGAAAGGTATTGAAAGGGCAATTTACTGAATTTGCCCACAGAGTTGCTTCACCTTCCGAAACCTTTCGAAAAGTCCCAAAGTTCCAGCACTATTTCACCTTTCAAAAACCTCCTAGTCAGGCAAATTTAAAATGTTTTGAAAGGTCTGATAATTCTCCTTGCCAACTGCACTGGGCATAGCAGGGTTACTTACATAATCATCGCAAAGACTATGTAAAATAACAGTTATTGTGGAAAAACCCCTTCCACATATGTGCCCAACGGAAGAATAAAAAACCTGAAATCCATGAATATTTTTAGAGGGTTAAACTTGTTTGGATTTATAGCCTTCAGAAGTTCATTAGGCTTACCTGGGCGCATAACTGCAGTATGTATGTATTACAGTACCGATCATTGTAAACCTACCACCGGTTAACGGTAACCAATGGTTACCTATAATCCTCCCGATAATCTCGTTGCGTTTGGACGAAAGGCCGCAAAACGGCATGCTTATCCGATTGGTAAACAGTCTGCGGTCAGGCTAAGGTTGTAAACTTCCTGCCTTCGTTCATGGATTCTATAAACAACGTTCCCTCCTGCAGCAGCCTACACATCGTTTTATTGTTCCAGTACACGCACTTGTGGTTAGATAATGCAGTCGTAAAATCCTTGAGTCAATTATCTGCTATCGTGTATCAACTTTTGACCACGATCTTTCCAGCTGCAAGAAGGCATGCTGACCGATGTATGGTGCAAGTACCTCCAAGGCCGCTTATCATCAAAGATATATACAATGTATAAGTTTTGAAGTTCGCCTGTCAATCATCGTCTCGAAATGGCTTTCCAGACAAGAATATATAGGACACTATTTTATTCCCCGGCTGTAATTGGGGAACATGTATAAAAATGTGCTTGGTCGTTTTTTTAAAGTAAAACAACGACAAACACCTACACGAACTCTCCGTTAAATATCCTGTGGATTTCTGGGAAACATTTAATACGAACTATGCTTAGTTTCTTAACAAATAATATCAAGGTAACCAGCATCCCTTGGACCATTAACTGAACGTCAAAGAATATTTTTAATATATATTCTAGACAAATTTGTCTGGTCCTCTCGATTTTTGAAACAAAACAATTCCCTACATCCCATCCCATTAAATTCTGAACTCCTCGTTAAATCCTGCGAATTCGTGATTTTATTTAATATGAATTGTTCTAAAGTTTTTCTTATTTTTAAAGGAATGAGGGTCAAGATTACCAATAGCCCTTGGTCTTTTAATCGAACAATCAAATATATTCTAAAGTACATTCTAGAGTATCATTAAAACAAAATAATAGGCCGTGCGCTGTTGTTGTTGTAATGTTCTTTTTTAATAAACGAAGAAAATCGTCATTCCCATTTAGGCCAAAAAATACTTCTGCTTCTGATTACATGCTTTTCCAAAATAGGGTCGGTCGGTCGGAATATTTGTTTTGCCTTTTTTTTAATGCTGATTGAATGGGGTATTCAATTATATGCGGAGTTTTAGACTGAACTTTTTCCATTGCACTACGAAAGCTACACAAAAAATGCCACAAAAAGTTAACGCTAGTCAAGACTGGAAACTGGCCAAAACTCCGTAATTCATGAGTGAATGCATGTGTGGCCAGCGGGCGACAGACCTCGTTTTTACTGTGGACAATTTTGGGGAAACACGCTGGATCGTATCACTCCAAGTACGAGTAGTGCCATCTGAAAATGAACGCTTGAACACGGAAAATACATACACAGACAAGAGAGATCAAGCTCTGTGAATAAACTTGCTAAAATGTTCCTTCTCCATTGGTGTTTTCTTGGCATTTTTACGACGTCGAATCCGACTGACCAGTAAACAGTGCACCGCGTGGGCCTGCCATGCTAGCGCTCTGCGCTATAGCGAATAGCTACCGTACGTGTACATGCACAGACTGGTTTATACCGCACTTTTTTGTCTTATTTTCTATAGCCTCGGAGAGAGCGAGAGAGAGCGAGAGAGAGCGAGACACCGAATACATTCAAGGGGTTAATTTAATATAATTTGTCTGGTTCTAAATTTCTTGATTGTTACAATAAAAATGCGATTTCCAGAATAACTCAAAAGTCCTAGCCCATTAAATTCCGAACTCTTCGCTAAATCTCCTGTTGATTCCTGTAGACAATTTAATACGAATTATGATACTTAGATTTTGTTATTTTCAGGAATAACATCACGATTATTATCAGCAGCCCTTGGACTTTTATACTGAACGTCAAAGTATATTTACACAATAAAACTATTGAAAGGCCATGCCATTTTATTTTAGAGAGAGACGCCGAATACAACCAAGTGGTTAATTTAATACGGTCTGATTCGCTTGATTTTAAAATAAAACGATTTCCAACGTCCTAGCCCATTAAATTATGAACTCTCAGTTAAATCTTCTGTGAACTCCTGGGGAAACGTAAATACGAATTATGCTTTTTTTTTTTATTTCAAAGGAATAAGATCAAGATTATCAACAGCCCTTGGACTTTTATATTGAACGTCAAAATACATTCTAGAGTAACATCTAGCCTTCACGGAATAATGTAAGCGGGGTGGGTTTTTTTTGGGGGGGGGGGGGAGGCGATGGGGGGTTTAAATGAAGAAGAAAGTCTTGCCCCGAAATAAACACATGGAGGGCCCTGCATTTAATGAATTATTTTGGGACTTGGAATATCCCTACCCGACTCGTTATTTTTTCATGTGCATATTCACAAAAGGGGCCCGTGTGAAATTTCAGTTTACCTCATTTTCTGTTTGAAGTTTTTATGGTCTTTGAAAAAAATGCCCAAATAAAATCTTTAAAAAACCTTCCCAGCAGAATGATTGATGGCCGCATTGATCAAATTGATACAACACATATGTTGCTCGTTATATACAAAGGATCAGTTTGGCATCAGCTAAAGGCGCCGCCGAACTTTGAGGACGGTGTCCCATGAACAGTCTCAGCCAATTAAATGAGCCGGTCCCGGCAAATAAATACGCCATTGGTTGCTTTCTCCACGGACTATTTATGCTTTCATGAATATGACGCGCCTTCCGCACTCAAACGGATATTGATGGCCAATGGCTGGAATTCCTTGCTAGGCTGAGCCGCAGGTGCAGCATGCCCACTGTCATGTCACGCGCCAACCTGGTTGCCTAGAGATACTGTTGCTAGGGAGGCTCCCCTGTGATGTCCCAGACTGCCGGTTGCGTAGCCAGAAAATCTTGCATGGGAGAGAGCGGGTGTGACTATTTTCTCGAATGCTGACGCTTTGGGGACATTTGTGAAGGCAACAACCCCAAAAAAGTCCTGCTTCCGATTTATATGCCATTCAAAAATAAGGTTGATCGGTAGGGAATTTAATTTTTTTGCCATTTTTATTATGGAGGGCCAGTGTTTCCCCTGCCCATTCTTTTGTGAGGTGGCCCGCCTCGGGACTTTTTGAGGCCGCCTCGGCCTTTTTTGGCCAATGTTGCCGCCTCACGGATACGAAAAAGGAATAAAAAAATATTATAATCAAACCTGTGCATTTTATGTGTGTGTCTTTGTATTTCACCTTCGAATTCTCCGGACTAATGTTAGTGTTCTTTGAGATCGTTATTCGTACCGTAAACCATGGAGAAATTTCTCCATGCGTAAACGAAGTCGATGTACCTGCAATTCTCTAGCTAGTATGGAGCCTTTTCAACGTCCGTGTACGTGTGTATATTACTGGTCGAGTCTGGGTGCATGTCGACTCGAGATTTTCGACTGAGTGACGAAGTGACAATGATCCCATTTATGGATACACTGCGCAATCCTAAAATGAACGCATATCCTCCGTGCTTAACAAGGCAGATAGTCCCAGAATGCTGCGCACGTTCCGGCTGATTCGCAGTGAGCTCCTCATGTGCAATTGGGCAAGTGATGCGACGATCGTTGGTTGCACAGCACGCGTGCGTACATTATGTATGACCTGGTACCCTGCTCAGCCTGCCAAGCGATCGGTGAATGCAATTTGTTCGTTTTATTTCTCCATGGTTTTCCGAAGGCTACAAAACGGTACCAAGTAACGGTTTTCAAATCAAAAATCCTCAAAATACATGCATAAGAAGTCCACGAAAGGGGGTTTATTCGGAAGCTTGGACTTTCAGGAGAACACGAAAGTTTTTTTTTTTGTCAAAAAAAAATAATGCCGGCCCGTTCCGGCAGCCGATGTTATCGGCATGCCGCAACGCGTGATTACGCGTACACGTGCATGTTCCGTGTTGCCGCGTTGTGTGTACCGTGAATGGAGCTGTATTTTACCCGTGTGTTACGGCGGGCTGTGTGGTCGCATTGCGGTGTGGGCCCAGAGTCAGATATGTCTGTCCGTACAATCGTGCCGCGCGGTGTTAGTGTTACGGGGGGAAAAAATCATAACTTTTCTGTAACGAGTGATAAAAAGCCTGATTAAACATTTTGATGGATTCGAAAATTTAGAGGTGTTAAAATAATAATAATATTTTGACACTAAAAATTTCAGCATGTTTTCAATTTCATTGAATTTTTTTTATTTTAACTATTATTTCTCCAGAATGCAAGCTCAAATGAAACTAATTTAAACGTTAGTGATTTTGTCGTGTGATTCTCTTTCCAATTATACCAAATTTTCCAGGGTTGTAAAAAAAATCCAAAAAGTGCTCAACTCCCTGGTGGTAGGCCTACATTTTCACAAATAAATAGGGGCCTATGTAGGATTTTTTGAAAAAAACTTCAATAATTTATATCAATATTTTATTCACATATACTGCCCAAAAAAGTAAGAAGAAAGTGACCTTAAATGCCTCACATTGCACCACAGAGCGTCTAGAACGCAAAATTTTTCGGGGCCCTTAAGCGGGCCCCGAACCCCACGCCGCAAAGGCTTCGCGCTTCGCGCTCGCGGGGTCTGTTTTCGACCAAATTTATTTTACCACCTCACACCTTCCACCAACCCAGAGGAAACACTGATGGAGGCGTCTGCGCGTAATCAAGGGTAAAAGGTAGGAATTAATGGTTCTAGGGTGTTTTTTCCTTCATTTTTTTCCCATAAAAAAATAGGGTAGGTAGGGGCCGTCAAAATAGGGTAAGTCGAGAAACCGGAAGCAGAACTCTGTTTTGGGCCTAAGATGTGGCTTCTATTTCGTCAAATAAAAAGACCACAAAATAATGGGGCCGTATCATAAGTCCGACGCCTCATAGGTCCGACGCCTCATAAGTCCGAAATTGCGGACTTTTGAGGCGTCGGACTTATGAGGCCTAAAATGTATTTATTCCGCTTCATAGGTCCGACGCCTCATAAGTCCGACAAATTAAACGTCTCGTTATTCCGTTGTCGGACTTATGAGGCGTCGGACTTATGAGCGGACCCAAAAATAATAGGCCATGCCCATTTATTCACCCGACCTCAGAGAGAGAGACGCCGAATACATTTAAGGAGTTAAGTTAATACAATTTGTCTGATTCTCTTTTTTTTTTTAAATGAAACGATTTCACCACATCTTAGCCCATTAAATTCTGAACTGTCAGTTCAATCTCCTGTGAATTCCTGGGGAAAATTTTATACGAATTATGCTTAGTTTTTATTATTTTTAAAGGAATAAAATCAAGATTATCAACACTGAACAGCCCTTGAACTTTTATTAATACTGAACGTGAAAAATATATTCAAGAGTAACATCTACACAAAATAATGTAGGCAATGTTATGGGTTTTTTTAAACGAAGAATAATATCAAAAAAGACATGGAGGTATCTCTGCATTTAATGACTCATTTTGGGACTTGGAATATCCCTATCCGACTCGTTATTTTGCCATGTGCATATTCACAAAACCGGCCTGGGTGAAATTTCAGTTTCCCTCATTTTTTTTCCAAAGTTTTCATGGCCTTTGAAAAAATGCCCAGATAAAATATAACAAAAAAAAAACCTTCCCCGCAGAATGATTGATAGCCGCATTGTTCAAATTGATACAACACATATTCGTTGTTGTTACAAAGATCTATTTGGCATCATTTAAAAGGCGCCGCCGAACTTTGAGGACGGTGTCTGATGAACAGTCTCAGCCAATTAAATGAGCCGGTCCCGGCAAATAAATACGCCATTGGTTGCTTTCTTCACGGACCATTTATGCTTTCATGAATATGACACGCCTTCCACACTCAAATGGATATTGATGGCCAATGGCTGGAATTCCTTGCTAGGCTGAGCCGCAGGTGCAGCAAAACTGTCACATTCCAACCTGGTTGCCTAGAGATACTGTTGCTAGGGAGGCTCCCCTGTGATGTCCCAGACTGCCGGTTGCGTAGCCAGAAAATCTTGCATGTGAGAGAGGGTGTGACTATTTTCTCGAATGCTGACGCTTTGGGGACATTTGTGAAGGCAACAAACAAAAAAGTTCTGCTTCCGATTATTTTTTCATGGCGTTCAAAAATATGGTAGGTATGGTAGGTAGGGAATGTATTTTTAATTTTTTTTGACATTTTTTTTGGTAGGATCATTATGGAGACGTATGCGGCACAAGGTAGACATTGATGGTATCGGGTGTTTTGTTCTCATTTTCCCATATAAAAATAGGGCAGGTAGGGAACCGGAAGCAGAACTTTCTTATGGCCTAAGATGCGGCTTCTATTTCGTTTAATAATTTTTTTAAAGATAATCTGAGCTTGAACGTTACGTACAAAATACAAATAAACGATCTTCCTCAGGCCTGGAAAATGTCTTTCTTGAAGTGACATTTTTGAAGTGACAGTGACACTATATTTGACAACACTAGCAGAAGATTGAGTTCTTCTTTATTTGTATTTCGCCTCTGGAAATGTTTTTTTCCTAACATTTTCGTATTCCCCCCCCCCAAAAAAAATACCCAGGCGGCCTCTCAAAGAAAGAAGCCTGATTCCCCCCCCCCCCGGGCATGATACTATATAGGTCGTTTTTTAGACCGCTCTTTGGATACGTACGTACTATACAGTCTATACTGTAGAACGTTTTCGTGAAATGTTCTGAAAACCGGTATCCACTCATCATACTCATACTGTAGTGTAGCGGCCTGTTGGTACATGTATGAGTGCAGAATTACTCCAGGTAACAATGTTATTATCTCGCAGTGTTTGCTAAGGATTAAGCGCAGATAAGAAGCGTTCGCCGACCTCATAAAAACGAACTACCGCCACGAGATCTGCCTGTGGTTCAATGGTAAACACAACAACGTGTACTGCAGCAATAAAACGATATCGACTTGCCGCTTGACTGCAGGATCGTTTGTGGTTTTTTAATCCCCGCTAATCTGCCTTCCGTAGTGGGCAGAGCTGAAACACTTTGACGAAGAACGTATTTACCGTATAACAGGAATTGTTTACTCTGATCGGTACTGTATGTACATTGCACCAAATCGCCAATTTCTGAATACACCCATTCAAATCATGTACCGGTACATCAACTACTTTTTGTAAAGGTGAGTTTTACTGGAGATTTGAGATTGCAAAACTTTAAACCATACCTAGGCTACACAATGTACTTACAGCAGATCACATGATGATAGTCTAGACGCCTTTAGTTTGCGAGTCCAGAAAGGGTATATTCCTAGCCTACCGGTGCCAACATGACCAATGCGCATTTTGTGCCACAACACATAATGGTACGTGTAGCAGTATCTACGATAAATTCTGCAGTCAACTGTGCATACATACAGCGTACCAAGTTGCACCACGAACAAAGTCCATTTTGTTCATGAACAGCGTATGCCACACCTTCAGCTTTGTGATTGGCCCCCCAAAAAAGGTTGTGTTTCTGGTAATACTGCCCAAACAGAACGGGTCGGTAGGTAGGTTTTTTTCAAACATGCATGTACATGTACAATGTACTTTCCATATACATTAACACAAGCATATTGCAGGCATGCAACTGGGAAGTCACACAAAAAGTGGACATTCAAATCTTTCCCAGACTTTGTACAATGTTTTTCTATTTTCAATGGCACACATGGGAAGTAAAAAAAAGGGGAGATCAGCTGATCCGAGGAAAAGTTGCATGCCTGATATTGGAGGACAAATTATGGACAGACCTGTAGATAAACTTGTAAGGATCGAGGAGCTTAGTATATACTGCATATTCTTACAAGTGGTCCAGACTTGTAGTTGTACTTGGGGTATTTTTTTTACTTCTAAACAAATACATGTACAATGTATATGAAAAAAGAAACCTCAAACAAAAGTTATGAACTACACGTATAACATTTTTAAAAAAATAAAAATCAACTGCCGACCCTACTCGGAGGGGTTACAATAAACGCAGCATTTTTCTATTCTGGCCTTGTCAATACATTGTGCATATCACAATCACATTCAATCTAGAGTTAGACCCCTTGGATTTGCCTTTTCAATACAGCCAAAAAACCGAGGTCAAATAGCAGGACAATTGAATACATTTCATTATATTTGGAAAGATGTATTGAAATCAGAAATTTGCATGTACTGTATTATAACTCACCAGAGCGTAACGTTATAAAGTTGTCTGTATGCAGCGTACAATGTACAGTACATGTACGGTAGTTGCGTTTATAGGCCTATTTTCACTGTCAACATGGTCAATGTTAGGCCAAAAAAAAAAAATAAGTCGGTCTCTGGTCAGCGCACGCGTCGATTTTAATCATGCGCGTCGATCTTTTTTTTTTCCAAAATGTTCCGCGGTAGCTCCAATGCTAAATTTAGCAGCCATCTCATGAAATGAAGACTTTAATTATTTTCTTCAGGTTGTTACAGGAGAAAATATTTACATTAAATAATATTCATAAATTTACCTCAGACAGTTTAGCTATTCCTACTGGTCGAGAGCCCGTCACGTGGTCGGTCTTAAACGGATGATAAAGACATGGCTAGCTGGTCTTAAACACTTTTCCAGTGTCACAATAAAATGTGGACTCCTAAAAATCCAATGCCTCTTACCGTTTCATTGGTTGAACGTTCACAATCATCACGTAAGCATGCGCATAACTACCAGCGAGTCAGAATTTTAAAGTTCTAAATTCAAAACGCAACACCCCAAGTGCGTTCTGCGCGACATCGCGCAGAACATGCTTCGCGCGCGTCAATCTCCATAAAAGGGTTGTTTACATCTTACTCGCCAGCTGAACACTCCATTAGGCCTATTTTGCTAGAGGGATGTTTCAAAAAGCATGAAGTGAACTTGTTAACAAAATCAGGATTTTTTGAACGAATTTTTGAATTTTTTTTACCGAAAAGGTATTTATGAATGGGAATAAATACGCTCGGTCGGTATTTATCACTCTGTTTAAGACCGCTTAGAGTCTGGGTGCTGATAATTACCCTCGCCTCCGGCTCGGGTTATTACAATTGGCAATGACACCTTCTTGAATATCAGCAGGATTAATTTTGTGGAAAGAGGGCAGGGCTTTGATTTATGAGGGAAATTCAGGGGTAAAAGACGACGATGACCACCAGAAAACAGACTAAAAAACCAAGATGGCAAACCTGAAAGCTCAATGCGATGAAAGCTTGATGCTGATTGGCTGATAAAAATAATCATCTATTTATTTTTTTAGCAGCCAATCAGCATCGGGCTTTCATTATGTAGGGATGGATGGTAAACCTGAAAGCTCAATGCGATGAAAGATCGATGCTGATTAGCTGATAAAAAATAAACATCTCATTTATTTTTTTTAAGCAGCCAATCAGCATCGGGCTTTCATTATGTAGGGATGGCAAACCTGAAAGCTCAATGCGATGAAAGATCGATGCTGATTAGCTGATAAAAAATAAACATCTTATTAATTTTTTTAGCAGCCAATCAGCATCAGGCTTTCATTATGAAGGGGCTTTCACGCGTGTGAGAACTACAACATGCATGTCTGACTGCGAAAAAAGGTAGAAAAGTCACATTTTCTTTGAAAGTGCTTTCAAAATTACAACTAACATGAGTTTATATGAAGAAAAGAGACTGCTTTAGCCTGCAAAAGTCACTTTGGTAATGGACAGTCATCTGCAAAAGTCAGTTTTGAACAGAACTTGTAAAAATAGAGGTGTCCTAAAAGTAAGGATTACCTTTTTTTTCCATTTTGTTTTTTCCTTTTTTTGGGGGGCCCCCCCCCCCTTGCCTTATCCAATGACGCCCATGCTACCATATTTCGGAGATGAAGGTGCAATCATTTGTGGAATGATCACCATGTTAATAAAGACAAAATTGTTTTAAACATTGGGACTTCATTCTTCACAGGCTTTTATTTATCAGACCTGTAATTTTTTTTTTTAACTTGTTTTTTTATTAGGAGCCTAATTCTTTTATTTTTTTTTATTTTTTTTAATCAAAGATTTCAATCAACCGCAACTTTAGGAACCCATTTATCATTCCAAATGACTCAGTTTTACAACCTTAATGCAAATTGCAATCTTCTCGTTGTCGTAGTTTTCCAAATTTCAATGTAGGCCTAGTATTTGACGATCATGTAGTTTTGGGCCCAGTTCCCTATAAGCTTGAGAGAACAAAATCCACTTTCAATATTGCCTACCAAACTTCATGAACTTGGCTACATTACAAACATGCAGACCACATACATGTACACTGTATGTAAACGATTGAGGGCGGGTTTTGAACTTTTGAGGGAAATCTTGGAATAAATGGATGATAATATTGACAAAACACGACATGAACAATATTACTAGATGCCGATCACCACGATCGTGTAGACCTACTGCTTCAAAAATCGTAATTTCTACCCCAAACTGTTGAAAATTAACAAGGTGTCATTAGAATAGACACTGACAGAAGTTTCCTTTAGGCTAAAAATTGTTGAATGATAAAATTTACTTGTTTACTTTAAGAATAAGATCACCTTAAATTGTGAATACCATTACCATGCATAAAAAAGTGGATTCAAATTAGCCTGAATAACTCTAGCCCCATAAATGTGGCCTATTTACTGGACTGCCTCTGTAAACATAGGCCACACATCCACATGTACAAAAATCGTGTCGACTTTGCCAAATTTTGATTTTCACATTTAGGCTTAGTTTGTAGGATTGTTTTGCTTTAGAAGCATACTCACCCTCTTTATAGGCTAATCAGAAAGTGCTGCCTTTTTCAGATGTCTAATTTTTGTGAAATTTCATGTTGAAATTTTGATACGCAAACGTGTAAAAATGAATCTGGAAATTTCACGATAAATATACATCTGAAAAAGGCAGCACTTTCTGATTAGCCTATAAAGAGGGCGAGTATGCTTCAAAAGCAAAAAAAACCTACAAACTAAGCCTAAATGTGGAAATCAAAATTTGGCAAAGTCAACACGATTTTTGTACATGTGGATGTGTGGCCTATGTTTAGTAAATAGGCCACATTTATGGGGCTAGAGTAACTCCAGCTCTATAATGCTTATAAGCATTACAGCTGGTGGAGTTACTCAAGCTATGATGTAGTAGTATAATCATGATAATATAGGCCCTCAATTTGCTCAAAGACAGTCCATTTTTAACGTAGGCCTACACCATGTAGTTCTACATGTAGTTCAGCAACTAGCCTAGTGGTACAACCATTCCTCCATGGTACAACAATTCAATACAATTTGAAAAGAATACTTTTTGTAAGCCTGCGTAAATACAATGTAGGACTGCTTGTGCTACCGGGTACAGTGCTTAACTACCGCCGCCCGAGTAGCACTAGCAGTGCTGAGTGGCCCGCAACAACAGTGCAACTGTATATTTACCGCAGTGTTTCATTCACGTCATTGTTCACGAAATGCGCACAATTTCGATACAATCTTCCCCGACAACAATTCATTCTCTATTCTACTTACCAATTACACACTACTTATTGTCATCATGGCGAGGGAAATATAGAAATCCCTGTCCCATCAGCCTGGAAGATTGGAACACTAAAAGTAATACATAACGTGCATTTGTACAGTTTAGCCTACATGTACTTTTTGTAGGCCCTATCATACAATGCAAAGCAAGTTAAGTTATGCATTATGTATGTATTTTATATTGACGTCAGTCCACAGAATAGCTATATAGAGGGCGGTAGAACCGTTTAGGGGTTTAGTCTGAGATTCATAAACACCTCAGACACTGTTTAGCCATTCCTATTGGTCGAGAGCCCGTCACGTGGCCGGTCTTAAACGGATGATAAAGGCATGGCTAGCAGCTGGTCTTTGCCTTAAAGATCTTAGCAGAGAAGGCCATCACAGCCGATAGCTATGAACTTCACCTGCTGCTGCTCGACATGTCAAAGGCTTTTAACTCGGTGAGTAGAGCGGTTCTCTTTGAGGATCTTAAAGAGATACTAGAGCAAGACGAACTCCACCTAATTACTGGCAATCTTAAGGCCGACGTTCGATTGCAAGTCAGAGTGGGAACTACATGTATCTTGGGTAAACCCTTCAAAACCAACATCGGTGTGCCTCAAGGAGACTGCCTAAGTCCCATTCTCTTCACTCTATATACCTGGCAAAAGCACTGAGATTAACTTGACCCGGAAACACCCGAGACACCATTCACTCTTCAGGATCACAATTACTGCACCCAGATACATTCCCAATCCTTTCGAACTCAACCACAGCTACGCTATTTGCCCACCGGTATACTTGAGATGGGATTACAGTATGCTGATGACATCACTTGGGCAAGTAACAATATCCACCCGATCGCAACTGTGGAGAGGAAGGCACATAACTAAAAGAGCGAAACCTCACAGTAAACACGTCTAAGACAGAGAAACACCTCATCAGTAGAAACGGAAGCAACACCAGTTGGAAGAAATGCAAATACCTGTTATCTTTTCTCGACACTGAGCAAGATATTACCGGGAGGAAAATATACTTTCGATGGTATCTTTCGACAAATTCAGGAATGTCTTCAACAGTGCCAATCTCAAACAACACGAAGCTCAAAACATTCCGTGCCTCCATAGCATCTGTATTTCTATACAACAGCGAACTATGGACATTGACTAAGTCACTAGAAGAGAACATTGATGCATTTCACAGAAGACTCTTGCGTTCAATCCTTAATATAAAATGGCCCAAGAAGATCACCAATAAAGAACTGTACAGGAGAGCCAACGAGATCCCTTGGAGTACTGCCATTACCCGAAGACGTCTTAGGTGGACAGGCCATCTACCCGAGGAAGCTCCTGCCAAGCAAGCACTTCTAGAGGCAATCCGCAAGAACAAGCTACCAAGAGGGGGACAACGCCCACGTGGCTGAAGAGAGTAAAAAAAGACCTGACAACCACGGGGGTCAACATCAAGGATCGATGCACGTGGCACGTGGCACGTGGCATCAGACAGAGAACAGTGGAGAACACTTACAGAGTGCGCGATGTCAGATCAACTTGACGCAAGCGCCTATGATGATGATGATGAGCTGGTCTTAAACACTTTTCCAGTGTCACATAAAATGTGGACTCCTAAATATCCAGTGCCTCTTACCGTTTTATTGGTTGAACGTTCACAGTCCTCACGTAGGCATGCGCAACACTATCAGTGAGTCAGTATACAAATATAACATGGTTTGAGGTGGATAGTCGATATTCGCTCCCCGAGGTATTGGAAGTTGACAAACTAGTTCCCGAGGCGAACTAGTTTGTCAACTTCCAATACCGAGGGGAGCTAATATCGACTGTCCACCCGAAATAAACCATGTTATATTTGTTTTACTATACCTCATACATATTCAGTTGCCGAATTTTGTTTTATTGTTATGCACCTCAAACAAAATTTGGGGAAACTTGTACAGCTCACCAAAAGATTCAACTTCAATTACTAGTTTGGTTCGTTTGCAATATAACACAGTTGTAAATACAGTTGTTTGCAACGTGTACAACTTTCTTTTGTACAGGAGACATCTTTACACGGTCTATACATTTTCTCCAGTACGGCATCATTGAGCTCTGTAAATTAACATTTATGCGAACCGTGCAACCATGCATCTCTCCTGTGCGATGTTCGCGCGTGCGTACTGCACCCGTGCGACAGTTCCTCGATTGCTCTGTAAAGCGCATGCGTAGTAGACTGTCGCACGGGTAATTAACCCATGCGACAGTCTACTACGCATGCGTATTTACAATGTGCGTGAATATTCGCCCGCGCGTTTGGTAAACAGCAAGAATAACATCTGGCACGTGATGGTGAATTGACCAGTGAACGTTCGGCTCTCGATCATGAATATGTATGAGGTATAGTAAAATTGTAAAGTTCTAAATTCAAAAAGCAACGCCCCAGGTGCGTTCTGCGCGACAACGCACAGAACGTGCCACGCGCGCGTCAATCTCCATAAAAGGGTTGTTTTTTCATCTTAATCGCCAGCCGAACACTCCATTATTTAGCTAGAGGGATGTTTCAAAAAGCATGAAGTGAACTTGTTGCACAAAATCGGGATTTTTTTACTGAAATATTATACTTTTTTGACCAAACAGGCATTTATGAATGGAAATAAATATGTGCTCGGTCGGTATTAATCACTCTGTTTAAGACCGCTTGGAGTCTTGGTGCTGATAATTACCCTCGCCTCCGGCTCGGGTAATTATCAGCACCCAGACTCTAAGCGGTCTTAAACAGAGTGATTAAAACCTCTCGAGTTAATGTTTTTATTACTGTAGAATAAATTTGAAACATCGGCAAATAAAATACACGACAAATGCTCAGAGACATTGACAAAGTCATTAACATATTGTAACGGACAGTCTTATGCACACTTTTGTTGTCATTGCTTTCTAGCACTAGTGCTCCGGCGGAGGGGCTCCGGCGGAGGGGCTCCGGCGGCGCGCACCTGACCTGGTTTTGGGTCTTGCTGGCGCGCGCTCCGGAAATAGGCTCTACAAATAGGTTGGCTAAGTGGGGTTCTTTTGTTCAATTGCGCGGGAAGAACTTGGCTGGATTCCAGGGTTGGGTAAAGTTGCTACATTTGTATACATTTGTTCAGATTGTGTGTATGTACTATGTCTATGCTGGAAATTGATCAGTTGCAGTTCTGGTAGCGGTGCGGCAAGTTGCCCGCAGAGTATGCTTGGTGAAATAAATGAGATCTTCCTTCAGAGTTAGAAACCTTGTCTGTGTGTCCCCTTTTCTTGCGTTTTGCTGGACTTGGCGGACAAGAGCCCGGTAGGATCCCGCACCATATAAAAGAAATAACAATGGTCCAAGAATAGATTTTTGAGGGACTCCACATGTTAAGGGTCGTGTATCTGAGGGAGTGTCATTAACTGATACTTAATCCTGGAACAATCACATTGATTATCTATGTAATTATTGTTTCCAGAAATATCGGCGTTCTCAATAGAATCAAGTTCTATGTCCCCAAGTATGTTCTCTTATCTCTGTACAACACTCTAATTTTAATCTTACATCAATTATGGAATGTTAGTGTGGAGGAACACTTCTCAAAAATCAATTAACCGATTGTTGTTACTAAAAAAAGCTCTACGAATTATTAATCATACCTAGCTACCTTGCCCATACAGATCCGATAATGAAAATAAATGATTTATATTATCATTAACTTGGTATTTTTATGTTTCAGCTAACAACAAAAATATTCTTCCAGAATCCATTTCATCGATGTTTTACAGTAACATAACTTTACATACCCATTTAACTAGACATACAGGCCAATGACGTCCATTTGCCTTCAGTAATTAAGGACATCCATTGCAAAGAAATGTATTAAATTTGAAGGCCCTATATACTTAAGAATTCCCTTGCCAAATCTATTAAGAAATCGCCATCCATTTCTACATTCAAAGTTAAGATCAAACAATTTATTTTCAACAATGCTCGTGAGCCCTATTATTATCCCTTGTTGGTATAAATTCTTTCTTTTGATTTATTTATTTATTACTCTGTGCTTCTAGTAAATGCTTTAAGCCATATCATTCATTTATTTGCTTCTATTTTTCTCGCATAGCACCATGTTGTTTTTTTTTTAGCCCTGTACACAAAATGTGGCTTATCATTAATTTAATTGTCTTTAATATTCTGTTCAATTCATCGTCTTGTCATTCAGTTTATATCTTTATGCTTATACTATTGCTTTAAGTATGCCATTTTTCTTTATTGCCATTTTCTTTAACTATTCTCTGTAGTAGCATCACTGTGTTAATATGAGCCCCGTACACAAAATGTAGTTAATACTCACCTTCCAGTTCACTGTTCATAGTGGTGGCGCAAGCAGTGCCTGCCTTTATTGCGACGCCACTTATTATTTTTTTGGGGGGGGGGCATGGCCCCCGTTGCCCCCCCCCCCCCCGGATCCGCCTTTGAGCAGGGGCGGATCCAGGAATTTTGGCGGGCGGCGGTATCAGGCCCACATGATTTTTGTCCAATTATTGCGGACACGCATGCAGCTGGCGGACATAGGTAATTATTATAACTAATTGTTATTTGGGGTGATTTTTTTCTGGATTCGCGCCTGGATTGCAGGCTGTCGCCATCAGTTTCTACGGCCGCAACATCTTGATCCCATTGTCATAAAACCGTTTGAAAAAGTGGAAAAAAGGGGAAACTGCTGCAAACTGCTTCCTTGGGAACGATTGGCGCGCCGTAGAGTCATTTTGCGGGTGTGCAGTCACTTTATGCGATGATGTACGCATGCGATGCTGTATAAGGACCTGCCCATCGTAACTTATACTGACTGTACCCTGGAAGGGCTCGCACAAGGACCGCTCAGAGTCCGGGATCTTGTCTTGCAACTTGGGAGCTTCCTGAAGCAGGTTCTGTGGAGACATGGGTGCAAATAGGGGGGGGGGGGGGGGTATCCTTCGTTCGACCTGTGATAGTACCCGCCAAACTTTTGTGATGAAAAAAAAGGCCGATTTCAAGGTCATCTTGTATGCTTTCCGATAGTCGAAGTGTACATGTAGTTCAGAAAATCAGTGATGCAAAAGGCCTTAAATGCAATTTGCGGCCGGTAAAAGCAAACATGGGTTTATTAAAGGATGTACATTTGTTTTGTATCGAGCGTCGCTAATTAATAACCTCCCAGCCTTGGCATGGGTCTAGTCTAGCTGGTCAGATGACGTTCCATCCCTGGCCCTGCGCGCGGTTAAAAGCCCCGGCCTTTGGTGGTGACGACCATCAGATGTCCCGGTTTCCAACTTATGGCCTAGCAAGTGAATTTACTTAGGGAAATTAAGACTGGATTACTGGGGAGTGGACCTGGTGGACTACGTGGGTTACCTAGTGGATTGGCTGGACTTTCTTTGGAACTAAAGGGTACGGGTTTGCTAGTTGCCTTTGTCGATGTTCCGTTAGGAGATATGACACATGACACTAGGGGGCGCTGTTCATGATACAGATATGTGCACGTGGGAAGTTCTAAAAAAAACTTGAATACCTCAAAATCTGCCTTTTTTTCTCACCACGAAAATGGGGGGGGGGGGGTGATCCAATGGCCCTCTGGCCCCTTCCCCCGGTCGAAAAGCCGGGGGATATAAATCCCATCCCCCGGTGTACATAATTATGTGTATGGACGAAATTTATTGTTGAACCAATTTATTTTGTTCCATTGGGCTTTCCATACACTTTACGTTGTTCTTAAGTCCGACTCCCAGACGACGTGTCATATCTCATCAGAGCAATAATGCGGACCCGACTACATCCGTTGTGATGCATCATGGGTAATTTTCTCCAATATGGCGAATGGGTTGTCAAATCTCTTGTAAATTTCCTTCTTTCATTGGGTTTCTGTTCTCAATTATCAAGATTTTTAGTTCATCGACCTATTGTAAAGATTTTGTAGAGTTTAGGTGAACAGGTGTGGATGACCGGAGGTGAGTATAATGATTTTTGGAAGGACAAAATTTCACAAAGACCCGGCCGTTCGATTGTCGACGTTCGCGTTGCTCATCATCAGTGATCATCATGCTCATGTTGCTATTCACGTCACGTCGGCAAGTTGGCCAAAAAAAAGGCGATTGTCATATGAATCTGATAATGATTGTGTAGTATCATGCTCCATGGTAGTATGTAGGCCTACCCACCCTGTTTAGTTTCGACTAAATTAGAGTGTAGCCTAGGTTTTTTTTGTCATTTGGAAATGACCTTTTCAACCTAAGGAGTAAGGCAAGGGCGAAGCAGACTTCTTTCAATTCTATTTCTATGAGTATGACGCTTTTTTTCTGTCAATGTCTTTTGTCTCAGTGTAAATAATTTAAACAGTTTCTTTGGCAGTGTTAATTCGGTAGACATTACAGAATTTGTTTGCTATCTCTCATTCTCTGAGTAGGCTAGGGCTAGGGCCTATCTGACGCCACTTCCACAATTGTGTACAAAGTCTATGGACATGACATGCATGATGGAGAATCAAGACAATTGTCTAAAATTAAATTGGAAATGGGAAAAAATTCCATACTCGGACGTCACTTTTTTCAATTATTTTTCTAGCGCCAAAAGTTACATCTTTTATGGTTATTCCTCCACTTTCCCTCCTCTACTCTCACCCTCTCCTTTCCTTAATTTCTATTTATTAATCAGTCAGTTACTTCATCGGGATTCGAACCTCTGACGCTTGCTTGATACACGAGACTCTTAACCGCTAGGCCGCGCACGATCGCTGTTGCAATAATCAATCTTTGGACGTATTTGAAGTATCCATTGAAATAAACTAAATATTCATGAGAAAATAAATATTCATAATGACGTATTGCACTATCATTGGCAGGCTCATGCGACGTCATGGTTGTTGATGTCACGTGTATAACGTACCGCTGTCTTTCAGCCACTACAATCAGTTTTGACCGGCTACTTCAAGTTAGTTCTGCACGACGTATGCATCCAAATGTGCTCTAAAAACACATTTTGAGTAAATTTTTTTCACCTTAACACAGCTTCCTGGATTTCTCTTGGTTAAAATGACAAGGTGAGGTGACAATTAATATGTTTGGCAGCAGATAAATTAACATCCGAGTATGGAACTTTTCCCTGGAAATGTTTCTCAGTCCCCGGCCCCATGGTCCCAGATTCATGTCTTAAGTTATGATTTTATCATCATTTTTTTGCAACAAATGACCTTCATGATATGAAGAAAAAAGTGGGGAGCAACTATAGAATGCAGGGCCACGCCGGAGCAAGGTTTTTTATTTTGCTTGGAGGCGTGGATGGATAGGAGTAATAGATATGCAAACCTGCAAAAAGTGCTAAGTACAGCGAATGCACTTGTCTTCTAAGCTTCTCATGAAGGATCGGACGGGAGGGCGTGCTTGTAAATGTGTTGGGGCACGGTACGGATCGGAGTCGCGGGGCACTGTCTGGAGTGGCGGAGGCGCGGAGTCGTGGAGTCGCAGAGTCTAGTCGCGGAGACGCGGGGCACTGGAGTGGCGGAGTCGCAGAGACTCGCGCCGATAGAGGGCGTAATTCTCGGCGGAATTTTTTTGAGAACGAAGCATCCGTATCCATTTTAAATGGGTTCGCAAATTAGGAAGGGAGCAGGGGGACGGGGCACTGTCTGGAGTGGCAGAGGCGCGGAGTCGCGGAGACTCGCGCCAATAGAGGGCGCAATTCTCGGCGGAATTTTTTTGAGAACGAAGCATCCGTATCCATTTTAAATGGGCTCGCAAATTAGGAAGGGAGGAGGGGGACGGGGCACTGTCTGGAGTGGCGGAGTCGTGGAGTCGCAGAGTCCATTTTAAATGAGGTCGCAAATTAGGAAGGAAGGAAGGGGACGGGGCACTGTCTGGAGTGGCAGAGGCATGGAGTCGCGGAGACTCGCGCCAATAGAGGGCGCAATTCTCGGCGGAATTTTTTTGAGAACGAAGCATCCGTATCCATTTTAAATGGGCTCGCAAATTAGGAAGGGAGGAGGGGGACGGGGCACTGTCTGGAGTGGCGGAGTCGTGGAGTCGCAGAGTCCATTTTAAATGAGGTCGCAAATTAGGAAGGAAGGAAGGGGACGGGGCACTGTCTGGAGTGGCAGAGTCGTGGAGTTGCAGAGACGCGCACCGATAGAGGGCGCAATTCTCGGAGATATCGACTGTGGCTCCACTCCTCCACGATCAATCCAATGGAAATTCTCTTTTATTCTATGCTTTACAATTATATACCTTTTTTCAGGCATGCAACTTTTCCTCGGATCAGCTGATTTCCTCTTTTTTTTACTTCTCATGTGTGCCATTGAAAATAGAAAAACACTGTACAAAGTCTGGGAAAAATTTAAATTTCCTCTTTTTTTGTGATTTCCCAGTTGCATGCCTGTTTTTTGTCAATTTACATGTAGAATGTGTTTTGGATGTGTTGACGGTGTGTTGACGCTTCTGTCATGTGTTGACGCTGTGTTGACGCTTTTTAGTGCGACCTGTCGTTTTCCTAGTTCCAGATAGCAAGCTTCATTCAGGCTGCTTTCGGCTCAACTAAGTAGGCCTTCTCCATAAACTCAAGTGACATTGATTAAAAGGTTTACCTTTGGTGATGAAGATACTACACACTATATTTTCCAAATTTAATGTCCTTTTAATTTGACTTTACGACGTCAAAAAGTACCGATGCCCTTTTTCCTAGTTCCGGATCGGTTTCATCAGTTCCGAATCCATCAAAGTGCTTTTACAATGTATGTATGTATGTAACTGCAATGCGACCTTGTTTTCAGACACATATTTTTATTCCGTTTATTTTGCGATTTTTTCCCCTCATGTGCCAGTTTCGTCTCTGTTTTTCATTCTCAAAACAGGATATTTTTCCCAGCTGAGAAGGCTGCGGACCTGATGATTCAGCCAGAAGACGCAGGAGGGTGTTATCGTTGAGCGAAATATGGAACAAGAAGAAAACTCGGATAATCAGCTGCAGGCTGGAGAAGAACCCACTGAGAATGAGGAAGAGGGGGCGGAGTCTGCTGGAGTAGAGGAAGGTGGGTGGCTGCAAATACTTCATCTGAAGTTTGAATTTGAGAAATTCATCCACTTTAATCATAACCTTTCAACATTGTCTCCTTTTTGGTAGTGCTATACCAAAAATCGGATGGGCATATCATATAAGGACGACTGAGTATATTAAAAAGAGTATGTAAAATCCTGCGGCCGTCACTGTCAATATGTTGAGGCTTGGCCAGTGACATCCTGGAGCAGTACATAGGATTTCAAGCATAATCCAGGCCTATATTTATGCATGGCAATAGCTGCCAACTGTTACGGATTTTTCGTAATTATTACGAATTGTTTGTTAACCCTTACCCTACTAGACCCTCCAACGCATGCCAATATGTGCCTCAAGAAAATCTCCTATGTTTTTTGCATGGCCCTCCAATATCTGCCATGTCATTTCAAGAGTAACTGGACAGGCACTCCAATACATGCCACAGAGAACAATGAGAGTCCTCTGATAACAAAGTGAGTGCCCCCAGCTGGTCAGTATCAGGCACCCTCCAGGGCCTCCAACTCCTGCCAATTGGAGCCTTCACTGTTAAGACAAACTATCTGCCAATAAACTGCAGCTGGAGGGCATTGGCATAACCAACTGACATGCAGTAAACTACCCTCAGAGAGTAAGGGTTAAATTACCAAAATACGATTTGCCACTAAAACATTACGAATTTCCTTTTTTCTACCTAACGAAAAAAAAAATACTTGTAAAGTATCATTTTTGACCGAAAACTTCTGGCGAAATGTTGCGATAATGGATGGACTGGTGACAAGTGTAATAAGAATGCAGTCAAGCACCTGATAGACATCAATGCAGTGTGCGCAGTGGAGTGCTTGAGGACCAGACTAAAAGTATTTTTCAATGATGTGTCATTTGTGTGCATCTCGTGGATGTGTGGTTGGGTGTGTGTATGTGAGTAATTTTCAGTGGCGATCGTGAGCACATTTGGTCGCTTATTGCTGGGAGATTTTTATCATTATCAGTGCGAGATTTTAATCATGGAATTTAATAAGAGTATGGTTGGAGTAATTGGTAATAGAGTTTGAGTTTGTCACAACGTCCAGAGAAGATAAATCAGCATGCGTTTGCAAGGTATGTTGACGGGATATTGCATACGGTGGCCCTAAATCATTGTGTGTAAAAACACGATACAAACTCGAAACTCCAAATCGATAGCATGCATCTCAAAAAAAATATGCGCACATGTTATTATTGTTAGTATTTATTTGACTTTAAATTTATTTTATTTATTTATTTTTTTTTTTTAATTATCTCTTGGCCTACAGTACTTTATTATTCACAACAAGAAGGGTATGCACATGTACATGTATGTGTACATGTAAGCTATGTACCTGTACCCGATGTTGGTAAAGCTTTTGATAAAACAAGCAGTTGAAAATGACCGCGCGGGTTGATTACTAATTGGGATTTTGAAAAGTTGGCAGCTATGCATGGCTGAGCAAAAACAACACAAGGTCCCGCCCAAGACCTTGACAAAGTGCATCCTCTGAAATCAGTAATGGCGTGTAGTGTCTGTGGCTGAGCGTACACACTATTTATTGGCTGCTCAACAGGACTGTTTGAAGCTCCTGAAGATACTGAGACGTTTGACGAAGAGGGAGGAAACGAGGAAACGCTAGATGAGGAGGAGGGGGAGGAGTTTGAAGAGAGTGGGGAGGAAGATGATGATGATGACGACGAAGAAGAAGATGAAGATGAAGGTAGTTGTGGGGCTTTATATGTTCAGTGGACACTAACAGTCAAGGAATTTTACAGGGCAATCATCTTTATGGACTCGGTGTATGAACTGTTGACCCTCACCCCCTAGGCCCTTTTGGCTAGGAACCATCCTCAATCTTGTAAATAATTGGATTCAGCCTCAATCCTTCAAAATCATCCGGTTTTTTTTCTTCTTAACTTTCTTCAGTGGAGGGATTGCCATTGCCTCAATCCTTCAAAATCCTCCAACAGGTAATGGGTTGAGGTGAGGCAGTGCCGATGAGATTCAGAAGCAGTGCGGATGATATGGAGCATAATGCTCCATTATGCATGACGTGGAATTAGGGAGACATTTCATTGTCTCCCTAACTCCACAACCCGTATATAGAGGCAAAATTTTATTGTAGCAAATAGGCTAGATCGATTGCTCGTGGTCCAATTAGTAAAAAATACCGAAATTCATGGGGGTGGGATAAGGTACATGTAAAATTGGGGTTAGGGGTCATTAAAGTTGGATAAAAATTTTATGCACAAGTCTATGGCAATGTCTCCCTAATACCCAATTATTGGTAACGATTATTATTATTATTATTATTTGCTTGTAGGTTCTTCCCGTCATACTAACGTATATGTCATTTATCTGCTTTGATGGGAATTTGGTTAACTACCTGCGAGTACTCGACTATCCGCGAGTAATTTCTTTGCGAGTACTCAGTAGAAAAATTCACTACTCGCCCAGGTTTATTCAGGCGTACTTTGCACTAATCAGTGCAGGCAAGTAGTGTGTCCCTTCTTCTGGAGCCCACCTGAGTCCTGACGAAGCGCCAGTTACTGTTCACACATGGAACCCATTGCCACGCTTCTTTCTTGAAGTAGATTACAGTCGACTCTCGTTATACATGTTATAACAAGTTAGATGGGGCTATTCAAATTACCATAACAGGAATGTTGTTATAAAAGGACAGCGAAACAAAGAAATACAAAGAGAACCTGAGATTTGGGACCTCAGAATTTGCTCTTTATAAGCAGAACCTCTTTATAAAAGTGCTCTTTATAATGAGAGTTGACTGTTCATGTATACTTCAATTTTGAAAGTTAAGCACAAAGTTCTCTCTATTTACAGGTGATGATGTCGATGAAGACGGGCAGGAAGGAGACGATGATGAGGAGGATGTTGACGATGATGGAGAAGATGTTGACGACGATGGAGAAGACGATGAGAATGAAGATGTTGATGATGATGACGACAATGATGATGAATGGGAGAACATTGATGAGGCGCAGAAATGTCCCGTTTGTCTGGATGTCTTCTGGGAGAAGGAAGTTGGGACCCCAGAGAGCTGCGATCACATCTTCTGCTTGGATTGCATCTTGGAGTGGAGCAGGGTTCGTAGATGGTTACTGTTTGCTTCTCCAGGTCTATATCACTGTTTATTTGTTGGTGTGTACCAACGGTCTCACCATGATGTTCATTCAGGGTGGGGGAATGTAAAATGATGGCTTACACTAGCAGTAAACTTGCGGTTGAACTCTGAGGTACCTTTTTAACTTTGAAAACCTCGAGGTAAACCTCGAGTTAGTGCCAGCTCAAGTTTTCATGTGACAGTCTCACCATGATGTTCATTCAGGGTGGGGGAATGTAAAATGGTGGCTTACACAAGCAGTAAACTTGCGGTTGAACTCTGAGGTACCTTTTTAACTTTGAAAACCTCAAGGTAAACCTCGAGTTAGTGCCAGCTCAATTTTGCATGTAACGGTCTCACCATGATGTTCATTCAGGGTGGGGAATGTAAAATGATTGCTTACACTAGCAGTAATCTTGCGGTTGAACTCTGAGGTACATTTTTAACTTTGAAAACCTTGAGGTAAACATTGAGTTAGTGCCAGCTCATTTTGCATGTAAGGGTCTCACCATGATGTTCATTCAGGGTGGGGGAATGTAAAATGATGGCTTACACAAGCAGTAATCTTGCGGTTCAACTCTGAGGTACCTTTTTAACTTTGAAAACCTCGAGGTAAACCTCAAGTTAGTGCCTGCTCAATTTTGCACATGTCCACTTAAGTGTTGCGTATTTTTCATGTGGCACATATTTTTAATTTTTTTTTTGTGGTGAACTACCTTTCGGAATTGGGGTCTCTCGCTTTTCCAGTCATCAAAAGGAGGGGGGGGGGGGGAGGTCAAGAGTGGGGATCTGGATACCATCCTACTAACCTTAACTTCCTAGCATGATTTACTCAGGAACCATACTCATTCTGGCAGATTTCAGCACACATATTTCTGACTTATATCTAGAGGTGTGCCAACTCAACGTAAAAGACTGTCAGTTTAGGGGTACTGTACCCATCCTGACAGATTCCAGGGTTAAGGCTCAGTCACACTATCGTCTTGCCTACCCATGCTGAAATCATCACAGTCCAACCTAAGTGGAACCCAGCCTCACCAAATACAAGTAGTCAAGGTGTACTGTTCACACTGCGCCACCAGTGTGCACCCATGTAGATAGCTGGGTCCAACACAGAGGTTTCGGATAGTGTGATCAACTTTGCTGCATTCGGCATTAACCATTTGCTTGTACACAACTTGTAGCCATCGTAATTGCCTTGACCGGTTTTCTTTGTTTCATCATCAGAACATAAACACGTGTCCTGTCGATCGGAGTCTGTTTCGTTCCATCTTGGTGCGCCACTCGCTCCATGGTGAGGTAGTCAGGAGGATTGAGGTTGATGAGAGGAAACCAGACGAGCAAGACGATGACGATGCTACTTATTGTGAGGTAAGGAACTAAGATACTGTCTCACTGAATTTTAGTATGGACTCCGTGCACAAGTACCCCATCAACGGTAAGAAAGGGAGAGTTTGGGGAGAAAACTCTGAGTGACATTCGAACGCATTGCTGACGATGCCTGTCGCTCACGCGAAGATGCTATGTCTTTGTGTACATTCAGGATGAAATAAGTCATGCATACTTCGCGCGATCCAGTACACACACACACACACACCCAGACTTACGTTACATACCTTGTGTGGACATTGCTTTGTTTTCGTGTAGTTAAGAAAACTCGGTACAAAAAATAAGTTTACTTAAACTGTGAAAACTCTTTTAACCCAATTTTTTTTCTATGATTCCCTATAGTGTTTCTCTTCATTCTGCTACGGATAAACCTAACCCAAAAATGCCTCTAAACCTGTTTTCCAGAAAGGGCAAAACCTTATGTGGACACGGCTTAGTCCACATAAGGTTAACACAACCTGCATTATGTGGACCTCTTTTGTTCACAAGTCCACATAGGGTATGTAACACAAACTCACACACACACCCACATGTGTAAATGCCGGCAATCGTGGACGCCCCATTGTCCCTAATCCTCTTGCCTTTGTTTGTACTCTAACTTTGTAGCGACAGCTCTCATTGGTTTTGTACACGATTTTGAGATCGTGGACGTTTGGTCAATCATGGCCTTATTGTTTGCCCCCACATTCTTTTGTCCTACGTCCACGATTGCTGGTGTTTACATACTCACACCCACACACACGCAAGCGTGCGTTCACCGTCGATCGTGGACGTCCTATTGTCCTTCTTTTGTTTGTACTTTAACTTTTTAGGAAGACTCCCATAGGTTTTGTACATGACCCCAATCCAGGACGGATGTTTGTAATTGTGGACGATATTGTTCTCTTTTGTTCTCTGGTATTTTTTGTCTATGGTTTGAAAAGATGAACACGTACACAAGTGTGTATTTACCTGTAATCGGGGACCCCCTATTGTCCCTCTTTTGTTTGCTCTTTAACTTTTTAGGAAGACCTCCCATATGTTTTGTACACATTGCCAAATTGGGGACCCTTCGGGAATTGGGGACCCTATTGTCCTCTGTTGTTCAACGTCCCCAATTGGATGCAGAAACAAACACACGGTGTGTCCCTAGCCCTACAAACAGGGCTGTAATTTGGCTGTCTTTTAAAGAGGTTGTGGAATGCTCGAAGACATTTCCGTCATTTTTCGGGTATATGTAGCCTAGGGTGTGATGAAATAAAAACAAGTATTGTTTCTGTCATAAAATGAGTACAAAAGGTACTTTTGAGAGCTGTTTTTCAAGTCCTGTCATGCCTGTTTCGACCCGAACATGCAATTTGTGTAAAAGTCGTCGTTGCGGGCAGCAAACAAAACACAGTCAATCGTGACGTAATAAACAGGACTCCCGATGCAGAGTAGCATAAACGAGTCCTGTTTATTACGTCACGATTGACTGTGTTTTGTTTGCTGCCCGCAACGACGACTTTTACACAAATTGCACGTTCAGGTCGAAACAGGACCTGAAAAATAGCTCTCAAAAGTACCCTTTGTCCTCATTTCATGACAGAAACAATAGTCGTTTTTATTTCATCACACCTTAGGCCACATATACCCAAAAAATGACGGAAATGTCTTCGAGCATTCCACATACTCTTTAACATTGGTCTTGAACTGTCCCCATTACAGCCCTGCTTTGGAGGTCGCTAAATATGCAAGATGTCGCTTCACGAGTCTTGCCTGATACATTTGATTCCAAATATCTCCCGAAATGCATATCACTGAACACTCTGTATATATACATATGCTCATGTGTAAATCAAGCTCTGTTACATGTACATTTGTAAATCACGATTAGTACGCAACGGTTAAAAGAAAGATGGCTGGCCATATGTTGTGGCCTTGGGCAAGCCACTTCATTCCCAATTGCCTCTCTCCACCCAGGAATATAAATGGGTACCGGCATTAGCTGGGGAGCAATGCAATGGACTAGAATCTCGTCCAGGGGGAATAGAAACATTGCCAGTTGTGTTTCATGCTTCTGAAACTAGAGATAAACGCGGGCCTATTGGGCCATATTGGCTCGTGACAGACTTGACTTTACGTACTGCTCCTGTGTTGCAGGTGTGTGGACGTTGCGACAGGGAAGATCGTTTGCTTCTTTGCGATGGCTGTGATGCTGGCTACCACTGTGAGTGTCTGGACCCTCCTCTTGAACACATCCCTATTGAAGAATGGTACTGCCCAGAATGTGTGGCCCAAAACAGGCATCAAGGTAGGACTGTTCCATCTTTGGGCATTTGCAGGGTAAACCAAGATTAGTTGATCGGTACAATATAAGGTTGCTACACCTACGCTCTTTAACATGTTCTGTTTTTTTTTTTCCTTAACAAATTTTCAATTTGTGTGTTTTATTTAAATGCAAAAAGCTACCTGTTTTCATTTTGGACGTTTTCAGTCTCTGAAATTATGTTTTTATTTTTGGTTGCTTTTGTGTCTACAAATTATTATCGGGCTGCAAGTACTTTCAAATTAATAACCCTCCTACTGATAGAACTATCACAAACCGTCCAAAAATATATCCATTTCCTCTCCAATAGCACATTTGTACAGGCTGGTCAACAACTGCTGGAACCCCCATGGATTAACCCTAACTCCCTAGGCATTTTTGCTGGGATGCAACCGCAATCCTACAAAATCCTCCAACTGCCTCCACGTAAAAATTGCATGCAGCCTCAATCCTGCAAAATCCTGCAGCAATCACTGTCACTATGTTGAGGCAGAGCCAGTGACATCCTGGAGCAGTGCACAGGATTCCAAGTATGATCTCGGCCTAGATGTATGCATGGCTGAGCGTAATTAAACAACACAAGGTCCGGCCCAAGACCTTGACACAGTGCATCCTCCAAAATCAGCTACACATTTTTGCCATGTTGCCTCAATCCTGCAGAATCCTCCATTTTGCAAAGATAATTTTGGAGGATTTGGGAAGGTTAGGGTTAAACCATATGGGTCATTCCACCGGGTTGGGGAACAATGTGTGACATATGACCATATTAACCCCAACTCCCTAGGCCTTTTTGCTAGGATGAAACCTCAATCCTGCAAAATCCTCCAATTGGCTGCATGGAAAAATAGCATATAGCCCCCATCCTGCAAGTTCATCCATTATTCCTTGAATATGGACCGTGGAGGGGTGACCACTGCCTGAATCCTGCAAAATCCTGCGGCAGTGTCTGTCAATATGTTGAGGCTTGGCCAGTGACATCCTGGAGCAGTACGAAGGATTTGAAGCATAATCCAAGCCTATAGTTATGCATGGCTGAGCAAAAATAACTCAAAGTCCGGCCCAAGACCTTGACAAAGTGTATTCTACGAAGTCAGTAATGCACTTTTGCCATGTAACCTCAATCCTCCAAATTCCTCCACTTTGGCAAAGAGGATTTTGAAGGATTCAGGGTGGTTAGGGTTAAGAAAAGCATGAAAAGCACGGTGTCAATGTTACATCCGAATTAATACATTTTTGCTCATATTTTTGTCAAAGTACTTTCAAATGATTTCAAACTTTCTCAAGTATTGAAACACCTTAAGAACAATATTATGTTGATCAATTGTTTAGAATGCATTGATACTTTTAATAAAATAACCAAATATATAGATGTAACATGCACTGCTTCCCAACCCGGTGGAATGACCCATAACTGAACGTGGGCAGAATTTGTGGTTCCATGTCTCATTCTAAAGCGAATATTGTGTATTGCTTAAAACCTCAATCTTAAAAAGAAAAAGTGGAAGTGAAGCTCAAAAGAATCCGTGGGGAGAGCAACTTCAACCCTAACTCCCTAGGGTGATTTATTAGGAACTTTCCTCATCCTTGCAAATCCCAACACCATATGGTAAACTGTGCACATAAGCAGTTGGACTCTGTTTATTTGTGGTCTGCCTAATCCCACGTAGAGCACAGTCAGTTTTCTAGTGCAGTACTCATCCTAACAGATTCTAACAAACCCTGGTGTTGGAGTTTGGCTGGTTGGGGATCGTTAGGTTAGTGTTAGTGTTGATTTTGATATCATTGATTTCCACAGAAGACAGCAGTGAGGAAGAGCCAGAGACCATTGCGCATCATGCCTCATGGTCCGCTGAGCATCAAGACGATCGCTCAGCGACACGCAGACGACGTCACATGACTCGTGAGCATCCCCCGGCCAGAGCCATCGCTAGGACTCACGTCAGTGAACGAGTCCGAGCCAGAATCACTCAGGCTAGAGCAGCGGAACGGCAAGTTGAACAGGTAAGACCGCTTCATTGAACCATGTTTGCGTTAAGTCCAGGCCTCACAGCAAAACCTTAAAACCTATAAAAACTTGTATTTCAACTTGGGAGTCTATTTTTTGTTTAACCCTTACTCTCTGAGGGTAGTTTACTGCATGTCAGTTGGTTATGCCAATGCCCTCCAGCTGCAGTTTATTGGCAGATAGTTGGTCTTAACACTGAAGGCTCCAATTGGCAGGAGTTGGAGGCCCTGGAGGGTGCCTGATACTGACCAGCTGGGGGCACTCACTTTGTTATCAGAGGACTCTCATTGTTCTCTGTGGCATGTATTGGAGTGCCTGTCCAGTTACCCTTGAAATGACATGGCAGATATTGGAGGGCCATGCAAAAAACATAGGAGATTTTCTTGAAGCACATATTGGCATGCGTTGGAGGGTCTAGTAGGGTAAGGGTTAAAGTAACCTATGGGCTCCGTGCGCCAACAAAAGAGGGCGCTTTTTTACCACTTTTGAGAGCCCCATGGACGGGACAACACATGTGCTTACTGTACTGGTTTGCGTGCGAAAATATGCATGACTTATTTATCCTCTCCCAGACTAATCCCCGCCCCCAATAACTTTGGATCATTGGAAATACACAGTGGGTGGACCAGGAAGCGGTCTAGGCTTCCCCCAACTCTTCTTTTCTGGCCGTTGAAGGGGTACTTGTGCACAGAGCCCATAAAACCTATAAAAACCTTCGTTCAAGCAAACTTTAATCCTGATAGGTCGATCCATGGCGGAAAGAGTGTGATATTACAACTAATAGTGCGGTCGATATCGCACTCTGCGCGCACGTGCAATATGATAACCACTGAAAAGTTCGTGCACTGCGTACGTGTTCAATCTTTGCTGTGCGTCAAGTTTGCTTTAAGATATATTCATTATCTCACTCGCACTAGTGGAACACGGAAAATGTAGTACATCTTGCGTCCCACATACGGCCTCGTGGTACACAGACGCACTACAGTATTCTGTGTTCCACTCACGCTCGTGGGATAACTACATTTTTTTTGTTATTGTGCCATGACATTTAAGTCAGGTCAAGTCAAGTCACTACCTATTCCTGTGAACTGTGGCAAATGCCATTCACTTGTCATTGTTCATCCTAGGAGTGTGAAATCTCAGCTTTAAAGCTGATTTCAGCTCTCTTTGTTTTGGATTTCAGCTTTTTTCCCCTCATTTGGAGGAGATTCCCAAAGTTCAGCTTTTTGCACCTTTTTTCAGGTGTTTTCAGCTGTTTTTATCAGTGGTCACTCACACCCCTGTCTTCTGCTGTTAGGCCAAAAAAAAATACACAATGTAGTCGGTCTCTGGTCAGACCGAAGTTCCGGAATTGATGCGTGACGCAGGTTTTTTGTTTTTTTTTTATGGTTTTTTTTTTTTTCAAACTTGAATGGTACAGACAAGGTGGGTACTATTTTGCTTTTTTGTGTCCTCATTATACATTGATGTCCTCCATAATTTGCCTTGGTGCACTTTTATCATTTGCCTTGGTGCAATTTTCCCATTCATTGGTGCTCCTTGGTACAAACATTTGAGGAGGTGTGGCAATAGAGGGCGCTGTTGTAGATTACGTGTTAATTTGAAGAAAAAAAATTTTTGACGAGCATGATTAAAATCGACGTGCGCTGAACAGAGACCGAGTATTTTTTTTTTTTAGCCTTGCTTTTGACTGGACTTGTGATGGACTGAACTTCAACACAACTATGCAAATAATACTCCATATTTTGGACGAATTGGTGCACTTTTTACTTTCGGCTGAAAAAAACATGATCTCATTTTGTTTTATTGGATAATTCTGGCTGTTTGTACTTAACTCTCAATTAAATAATGAAAACCCTTTTAATGTGAGAACATGTTTTTGGATTTATCAGCGTATGTCTGGAACCAGTGGCACAGCTAGAAAGAAACCAGTGAAGCGTAAGACAACCAAGAAACGTAAGACCACCAAGAAACGGCGCACCACCAAAAAGAGGAAGGTTTCCTCAAAGACGGGAACAACTAAGACACCTGGGAAGAAAAGGAAATTCAAGAGGAGAAAGAAACGACGCTCAAAGGTAAGACGAGATCAGTTGGATTGAGGGTGACTATTCCTTGCTTGTTTTTGTATGCTTGGTAGTTTGTAGGCGCATCTACCTCGACCATGTTCTCAGGGTCTACTTTTAACGTACTAGACCCTGCGATGAAGCCTTTATCCTGTCTTCTGATTTGATCGTGCAAAAGCATGTAATGAATTTGCATCGTGTAGTTGGTGTTTTTTATTTCCAGTGTGTGTAATGTGTTTTAACGATCGTTGTGAATTATATACGTCGAGTCCTCTTCCGAAACAATCGTTCCTTTTCTAGTTTGCTTATAATCGTATTTAGTGTACAACTGCATCAGAGTTTCATCATTGAGTGCTACCTTACTTTTTTATTTGATCATTGATACCTTTATAGTGGCATTGTGTTACAATATCGTTTCGGTTTGCGGTAACACCATGTGGTAATAACTACTGCTTAGAAGATATTGGTTCTGAAAAGAACTTGTCCTGCTTATTATCAACTTTGCTAAGTAGTTTTTTTTGTTCTGATAAGAACAGTCCTGCTTTAAGTTCTAAACGAACTTGTCTTTGGTCTCAACGTTTCGACTAGCCTGCTCTAGTCATCGCCAGTCTCCTGACTTTGACTATAGAGCAGGCTAGTCGAAACATTGAGACCAAAGACAAGTTTGTTTAGAACTTACAGCAGGACTAAACGAACTTGTCTTTGGTCTCAACATTTCGACTAGCCTGCTCTAGTCATCTCTGCCTGCTCTGTCTCCTGACGATGACTAGAGCAGGCTAGTCGAAACGTTGAGACCAAAGACAAGTTCGTTTAGAACTTACAGCAGGACTGTTCTTTTCAGAACTAATATCTTCTAAGCAGTAGTTATTACCACATGGTGTTACCGCAAACCGAAACGATACCGATAACCCAACATGCAAAGCCTCAAATCTTATATTGTGTTACAATGTGAAATAGTGGTGTGCATTTACTGGTAGAACAGGAACCGGGAACCCTATTGAAGTAAAACAATGGTATTTGTGAAAGAAACCAAACCCCAAAGTTGTCTGACGGGTTTTGTAGCTTTACGGTGTAAACTGCAACTGTCACGAGCGTCATCTGTTGCATGTCAAATGCACATAAAAGTGATATTTGTTTTGGTTTTCAATGTAGCCTGGTTTTCGTTATGAAAATTACCCACAAATGAAATTCAAAACCTTTCCTTTCATTGTTTGAGAAGTTACCAAGTAATTTGTAAAGCTGGTTGCGGTACCCGATTCCATAATCTGGAACCAGTTCCTGACATCAGTGGTCTGGTACCTAGCATACCTGGTTCCAATGCACACCTCTAATGTACAAAAGTGTCTTCATAATGAGGGTATAAGCCTTGCACTGTAGTAGCAAAAAAGCAGTGTATGACCATGGAGATTGTTTGAAGCGTTTCAATTCATTATGTGCCGTTCCGTTTTTAATGAGGGTATAAGCCTTGCACTGTAGTAGCAAAAAAGCAGTGTATGACCATGGAGATTGTTTGAAGCGTTTTAATTCATTATGTGCCGTTCCGTTTTTAAACAGACCAACAAACGTGTCACCAAAGCAGCAGGTCCAAAAAGTGTCTTCATAATGAGGGTATAAGCCTTGCACTGTAGTAGCAAAAAAGCAGTGTATGACCATGGAGATTGTTTGAAGCGTTTCAATTCATTATGTGCCGTTCTGTTTTTAAACAGACCAACAAACGTGTCACCAAAGCAGCAGGTCCGAAGACAATCCGAGGAAGGATTGCTGGCAAACTGATGTTAGTCAAGCCACGGACGGGCAGCATGATGCCTGACATGAAGGTCAAAGGTCAACAGACTTTGGGATTCCGGAGGTCTGAGATCGGAGCAGCAGCATTGACGATCACTGGTAGCGATAACCTGCTTGACCCAAGGTAACAGTCACAAGCTTTCACACTGTCCAAAACCCTAGGGAGTGTTTGACCCACGGTAACAGTCACAATCTTTCACACTGTACAAAACCTTGGGGAGTGATTGACCCAAGATAACAGTCACAAGCTTTCACACTGTCCAAAGCCTGAGGGAGTGTTTGACCCACGGTAACAGTCACAAGCTTTCACACTGTCCAAAACCGTGAAGAGTGATTGACCTAAGGTAACAGTCAAAGCTTTCACACTGCCGTAAACCTGAGGGAGTGATTGACCCATGGTAACAGTCGCAAGCTTTCACACTGTCCAAACCTTAGGGAGTGATTGACCCAAGGTAACAGTCACAAGCTTTTACACTGTCCAAAACCTGAGGGAGTGAGTGACCCAGGGTAACAGTCACAAGCTTTTACACTGTCCAAAACCTGAGTGAGTGAGTGACCTAGGGTAACAGTCACAAGCTTTCACACTGTCCAAAACCTGAGGGAGTAATTGACCCACGTTAAAAGTCACAAGCTTTCACACTGTCCAAAACCTTTGGGAGTGACTGACCCACGGTAACATTCCGTGCTGTGTACCTCACACGCGTAGTGCACAAATGTCCTATTATGGAGATTGGCGCGAGCAAGCGCGTACTTTACGATAAAGCAACGTAGCTGATGTTAAATCAGCAGTTTAAAACCACCCACGTGATGGCCTTTTGATCAATAGGAATGCGTAAACTCTCTCAGGTATTTATGAACAAAGAAATTGAACGTGTGACCTCTGGTTTGCTGTTCTGGCTCTCCGAGAACTGAGCTATCCAGCCCTATCTTGGCGGTTCCCTATTTCTTGTCAATGTTTTTGTTAAAGGGGCGCTAGTCAGAAGCCGTAAACCTGGATATGTTATGTAGCTAGGGATCATGCAAAAGGTAACGATGCTAGCAACGTTAGCAATACTGTAAACCTGGGAAATAGTTGAAAATAGTGATTTTTATGTTTCATCTCAATTGTTTTCCAGTGAAACGGCATCAACAAGTTCATATGAAGCACCAACAACTAGCACACGCACTTCTCAATTGTAAGTTACTCTTGAAATACAACTGATCTTTACAGGGTGCTATGCCTGTCACTCTGCAGTCTTTATGCTGTAAGAACTGAATGCGTGAATTCAGCAGGATTTGTGACGAGAAATTACAAGGGCTTAGAAGTAATGATTGTTGTTTGGTTTCTTGTCGGCAGTGTTTCTTCCTCCTCAACGACGGATCTTCTTGGAAGTATTATATCATCTCAAGACATGCTTCACATGCAAAGCAAAGATGTCACCATCCACAGAGACGGATCACTAACCAAGATCAGTCTGGGTAATGATTTTCCAAAATTAAACAGGTGGTAACTCAAGATTTACTTTGAAGTTTGGTGGGTTTTACTGGGTACCTCCGGGTTCAACCTTGGAAGTTTGATGAGGTTTTCCTGGGTTTTACTGGGTACCTCCGGGTTCAACCTTGGAAGTTTGATGAGGTTTTCCTGGGTTTTACTGGGTAACTCCGGGTTCAACCTTGAAGTTAGATGAGGTTTTCCTGGGTTTTACTAGGTACCTCCGGGTCCAACCTTGAAGTTTGATGAGGTTTTGGTGGGTTTTACTGGGTACCTCCAGGTTCAACCTTGGAAGTTTGATGAGGTTTTGGTGGGTTTTACTGGGTACCTCCAGGTTCATCCTTGGAAGTTTGATGAGGTTTTCCTGGGTTTTACTGGGTACCTCCGGGTTCAACCTTGAAGTTTGATGAGGTTTTCCTGGGTTTTGCTGGGTACCTCCGGGTTCAACCTTGAAGTTTGATGAGGTTTTCCTGGGTTTTACTGGGTACCTCTGGGTTCAACCTTGGAAGTTTGATGAGGTTTTCCTGGGTTTTACTGGTACCTCCGGGTTCAACCTTGAACTTTGATGAGGTTTTCCTGGGTTTTACTAGGTACCTCTGGGTTCAACCTTGAGTTGCCAATTCAATCAAGTTAAGATTTAGCCTTTTCTAGGTACTGATGATCATTCAGAACAGTTTGGGAACATTTCTCATAAAATGAAAAAAAAAAAGACTTGCGTGAGTGAGTTTCTTAGGGTAGTGAAAATGTGTCACAAAAAGTTTGTTTGAATGTTGTTGTTTTGGTGTTTTTTCATTTCAGGTGATACAGAATCAAAACCAAGAAAGCCCTATCAACTTCCCTATCAGTCTAAAGGTCAGAATCCAGAAGAGAAAACCAACCCCAGACGAAGCAGTACTTCCCCCAGCGATGGTAAGAGGAGAGACAATCCTAGCCCAAGACGTCACTCCCAAAGCGACACCGAGAAGAGAACAAGATTCCACTCTGCTAAGGACAGGAAGGATCTTGAGAAATGCTCTAGTCCTCAAAAAGCTAAGAAGGACATTGGAAGCAGGAGATCAGGTCAAGAAACAGAGCAAGGAGGTGCACATGGAGACGGGCATCTTGAGAGTGGAGAAGATGATGATGTTGGAAATGAAGATGATGAGGGAGAAGATGGGAAGATGGAAGAAGTTGAAGAGGAAGGAGAAGAAATGGAAGATAATGATCCAATCTCTGGTGAGTATTCAGTATTAGCCCTTTTTGGTGGGATGATCTGGTAGAGCTAGAGCAAAACTTCAGTACCCACGGGACTGTTGGTGTGAGCCATGTCATTTGAGAAGTGGTCTAGTGATTATCATTTTCAGCAAGTCCGGTGGCTTTGTGATCTTACTGTGAAAGATACGTTTGTCTTTCCGGAAATTTCGGAACTTGTGCCAAAATAAGTGAACTTCAAATTTTGTTTAAAGACAGTCACATCAGCGCCTGTGCAAACTTGGTATAATATGTTGATATATTGCTTTATTTGTTTATGTCAGCAGTAATTTTTTTTACGTTTTCCTTTTTACCCCAGATGCAGAGAAAGTTTCTAGAAAGCATGATGGATCAATCACCTGCCAAGTTTCCAGCAGCAGCTTTGAGGAATCCCAGTCTGAAGAAGAAGAAGGTGCTATCAATGAGAACAAATCCCCTAGGAGGCCCAAAGGAAGGGCGGGGTTGGATGAAGAGGAGGAGGGCATAATCCGAGACTCGGAGCAATCCAAGCATAGAGATCGTAGAAGCTTGAAGGCGAGAGGAGAGGATTCCAGAAATGGATCTGGAAGATCTAGACGGAAGTCATCATTAGAGGAGGGGCTTATTGAGGAAGATGGAGATGAAATGCCCCCTCCATCTAAAAGGAGCGGCTCCTTCTCTGAGGAGGAAGGATTAATTGAAGACGAGCAAGATTTGAAGATGCGGAGTGTGAAACAGCACATGAAGTCACATTCAGACGAGGAAGGACTAATTGCAGATGATGAAGATCAAGGCAGTAAACTAAAGCAAGTCTTGGAATTATCCAAGGAAACAAGGAAGCAGGGAAGCAGTGAAGGACACACTGGACACTCATCAGCAGAGGAAGGAGAAGTCAAGACTGATGAGGAGGAAGGATCAAGTAGTAATCGGAAGAAACGAAAACGGGAACGTGATCGTGAACGCCGGCGTCAACGGAACAGAAAAGACACTCGCACTGTGGTTATTGATTCAGAGATGTCACTGGCCATTCCTAAGAGACCTATGGTTGAGATACAGAGAGAGCAGAAGATGAATGAGGCAAGGAAAGCGGAGCAGGCATTGTTGAGGGAGAGAGAGTTTGATCATCCCGGGGAGCATGGTGTCTTTGGTGATCTTAGACACGTCATTCAAGTTAAAAGGGATGTGCCACATAAGAGGCCAAGCCGTTATGAGAATTATTGGGCAGAACTGGAGAGACATCGAGCAATAGAGTCCCAACTGGCAGAGAAACCAGTAACGTGGGAGCGCGTTGGAATCTACGAGAGACCGTACCCATATGAGGAGGATTGGAACAGGATGATGCTTGAACGAAAGCCTCTAGAACCTCAGTGGGAGAATTTTACAATCCATCGGGAGAGGTCACCCATGGACTGGAGGAAAGAGCGGGATGTTATTGAGGGAAGGGTTGAAGCAGAGAGGAGAATTGAGATGGTTCAACAGATAGATCACGACAGGAGGTTTGAAACCAAGAGAAGAGAAGGAACAGAACAGAAAGTGGCACCTGAACGCCGGTTGGCTGAACGGAAGGCGGATGCTAAGAAAGATCAAGAACGGGAGAAGAAATCAGATTCATCCAGGGTCGGCGTAAAAAGGGTTGAAATAAACAAAGGAAGAGGTGACCATAAGAAAGTTTCAGAGTCCAAAAGAGAAGGAAAACAAAAGGGCGATGTTGAAAGTAAGAATGCCCAGAAAGGTGATGCCAATCGAAGACAAAAGCCTAACCCAGGAAGTGAGAATAGTCGACGGAAACCTGAAGACGGCAAAAGGGAGTCTCATCCTAAAGCTGACACAGGTCGCTCTGAGAAAGACCTTCTTCCTCGCAAACAAGACAGAGATCGACAGGAAAAGGGAAAACACAAGAGCAGTACAGATGAAAAGAAACGCAGAGAGGTGAACAAATCAGACCCACAGCCTAGAAATCCTGAATCTTCAAAGTCTTCAAGCAACAGGGATAAGGATGGGCAAAAGGATAAACACAGAACCGAAAAGCAAAAATCGGAGCGGGACATCTCCAAAGACAGACGAGAGAGGGAGTCTACAAAGGGTAGAGGCCAGCAACATTCAAACGAGCACTCGCGTGATAAGGATAGAGTACAACAGCAGGAACGGTCAGAGAAAGATCGTTCAGAACGTAAAAATAGTACTGAGAAACAGAAGCATCATTCTGGATCTCGCAGCAAGGAACGCTCCACCTCAAGAGGTCATTCAGACCGTTCTAGCAAACATTCACAGGATAGACACGTCCATGAACATTATGAAGATCCCAAAAAGATCAGTGAAAGAGTGGATTCTGACAAGCGAGGAAGTGGCAAGTACAGAGACCATGCTTCAGCTCCCAAGGAAAAAGAAAAGAACCACAGTAAAGATGGAAGTAAAATCACAGACAGCGGTAGATCAGAGCAGAGTGACGTCCAGCAAGCAACCAGTACAAGTGATCAACAGATCCCTACTCACACCAAATCAACCAAACGTAGCATCCGGCGAGCACGAAGTCTAAGCTCATCACAAACGGGTGAAACAGGGGATGAGTTTGAAACTAGTAAACAGCAGTCTTCGAAGCAGCTGCCTATCACAGTGCCAGCTACAGAAATGGTGTCTGATAAACCAATTGTGGAAAAGGTTAAGAAGAAGAAGAAAGATAAAACAAAGAAATTAAAAAATAAATCCAATGAAAAAGATGGTGTCAAAGGCAAGAAGGTGAAAAAGACGAAAGGTGGAAAAGCAAAGAAGCAGAAGGTTGCTGGGGTAGAAATTGCCAAGGCAAAGGTCACAGAAGAAGCAAAGGAGGATGAGCCGCAAGAAGAGCAATCAGAAGAACAGCCCAAAGAACATCATGAACGGTCTGAGGAAGCAAGTCAAGAACTCCCTGACATCACGTGCCCTGCAATGTCCCCTGTTATTCTGGAACCCTCCGAAAAAGCCGGAACAGAAGACGCCGCAGAACAGACAACAGAAAACCTCAAAAACCAGGTTGACAAGGAACATACAGAAAAGGCAAAAGATGAGGACTCTTCATCTGATGTTGAGATGGTCATGGGACCAGTGAAGAACATTTTTGATGTGATCATTGACTTGAGCCAAATTTCTTCTGACGAGGAGGAAAGCTTTCCTCAAACTTTAACTTCTGCCGCCAAACAAGGAAAAGACAACTCCCTGTATGATCCATTTGAACCCACCGCCTCACCTGAAACAATCAGTTCTCCGGATATTTCTCACAAGCATGTCAGTCAGAGACAGTCTCAGAAATCACGGGATCGAAGTCCCACTCCTGATAGGAGAACTAAAAGAAGCCCCTTGGCAAGGAGGTCCTCACCGAAGCGGAGATCAAGCAGACAAAGAAGCATTTCTCCAAAGAGGAGAAGTCCACCAAGAAAAAGGGCGTCATCCAAAGACCATGGGCATTCCTCTAGGAAACGAAGTATTACTCCACCACGCAAAAGTCTTCCAAAACGAAGAAGTCCGAGCCCAAGACGTAATGTGTCTGTTCGTAAGCGTACTCATTCACCACGGAGGAGTCCCTCAAGGTCCCAAAGGAGACCTTCACCAAAAAGACAACTCTCGCCTCGAAAACGAAGTTTGTCTCCAAGAGAGCACAGTAGTTCCAAAAGGCGGAGAGAGGAACCATCTAGACAACGTAGTATATCTCCAAAAAAGAATGTTTCTCCTAGAAAACGAAAGACCTCTCCAAAGAAAAGCATTTCACCGCGAAGACGACATGTATCTCCAAAGAGACATAATAGGTCGCCAAGAAAACGAAGTGAATCACCAAGACACAGAGCTCCTCCACAGAAGAGATCCATCTCTCCCAGGAAACGAAGTGTCCCGCCAAGGAGACGTAGTCATTCTCCAAGACGACGGAGCCCTTCTCCAAGACGACGGAGCCCGTCTCCTAAAAGAAGACGTGTTTCACCTCCAAGACATGATCCATCTCCCAGACACCGAAATGTCTCTCCCAGGAGGCATACAGAATCTTCAGGAAGACAAAATCGTTCTCCTCAAAGACGAAGTATATCCCAACATCGAAGAGAACACTCATCATCAAAGAGGCCAATCTCTACTAGAAGGAGTATCTCCCCAAGAAGCTCTTCAACCAGCTCCAGAAGTTCTAGAAGCCCAAGTTCCTCGAGTAGCTGGTCTTCCTCTTCTAATAGTTGGAGTTCTTCTTCTTACAGTCGAAGCCGTTCAGACAGTAGAAGCCGGTCATACACTAGGAGCCCCTCATACAGTAGAAGCCTCTCGCCCAGTCAAAGCCCATCACCCAGATCTCGACGATACTCAAGAGATCGTAGCTCCTCATCCTTCCGTTCTGAAAGCAGCATCTTTTCTGATCGAAGCACAACACCAGACAAGACTCCTGCTGGAAGGTCTCCAAGTCCCAAGAGACTACCTGCAGTTCTTCGTCAAAGCCCAACCCAGACTAGTCCTGAGTACAGACACCGAATCCCCTCTGAATCTGAGAAGCCGTTCCCAGTGCAACCCCGTCAAGAGCTTCCAGATAGCACTCAAGGGTCGTACAGATTGGCACCACAAAGTCCCACATCACCTGATCAGACCATGGCACCTGCTACTAGTACAACAGACTCTCATCTAGCATCTAAGGCGAGCAGTCAAATCAGTCACATCCTGGGCCAGCTGGCGAGCAACCCGGCCATTCAATCGGCTATCAACTCTGCAAACTTAAAGAGCCAGAGAGAAACTGACGACTCCTCCGATGGATCTATCTCAGGATTTCTGAAATCTAGCGAGGCATCTTTCAATTCGCCATCTGGGAGACCACTACAGATAAATGAAGGGACGGATGATAAGGACCTTCAGAGTCTTGGAGATGTCAGTGAAGACAACATTGAGTCCTCGGCTGTTGACTTGTACAACAAAAACTCAAGAGAGAGGGTAAGAGTTCAGTGGTTAACAATTTAAAATTTATACTTTCCATGTTTTTAAGTCAACAGCCAAGATCAGCAGGGCACTGTTAGACAAACCAGGAAAATGTTGGCTATATTCAAAATTCCTACAAACCCTAATGTTTTAAAGGGGTACTTTTGTCCTGAGAACACCATAATTTAGTGTTTGAGATTGTTAACTAAAAAAAAGGTAAAGGGGATTTTAACTAAAAAAAAAGGTAAAGGGGACGAACCTGTGTTCACAGGAACGGAGTACCCATCTCTCTTTTGAAGCGATTGGGCCAGGCTCGAGTCCATGAAATGCTGCTGTGGGGGGATCACCACACCTCCTCCACAGCAAGTCTGTTACCTTCCCAGCACTGAATAATGCCGGTACCCATTTAACACCTGGGTTGAGAGGAGTCATTGAGGTAAAGCGCCTTACTCAAGGGCACAACACGCATGGCCGCGACGGGGCTCGAACCAACAATCTCACGATCATGAATCCTGAGCTCTACTGCTAGACCACACGAGCCTCTGTTAACTGGCCATATTGCAAATGTTTGGGTCACAGAAAACCATGTCTTTCATTTACAGAGAAAACGTTGAAACAAATCTGTTTGTATCTGACGCAGCAGCTTTTTTATGGCCTTGCCTGTATTTATTTCAAGCAATGTGTAAAACTATCAACATTTTCAACGTAATTGTAACTCGGTTATAATTCATTGTCTGATATCAGGTTCCATGCTAGTTTCAAACTTACAAACATGGCAAACCTAGCACACATGCATTGAAATCAACTTTTTAAAAAGAAAAATTGTGAGACGGAAATGGCAACTAGCACTCCAACGGCGTCATTTATGAGGACCATATTTAGTATCCTAGAATAGTCATATCTATTCATGCAGTAGTTAAAGGGAAATCATAAGTCTTCAAGGTATAGTTGTGTGAAAATTTTTCTACTTTTTAAAGGTAATATGCAACAGTTGTTTTTGCTGTAATTTTGTAGCAATGTTACACTGACCTGTTAAAATGTTGTGTTCTTAGATGCTGGAAAAACCAAGAAAAAAACAGGCTGTTCTTGTAGTCTGGTTCCCTGACCCTCCTCGAGAGGAAATAGATCAATTTATAGACATCAGGGAATTATCAGATCAGGGAACGAGACTAGCTGGTTTGCATCCGTTCATGGATGTCTAACCGATTGCAAAGAAATTAGTGTCGGTGTTTGAAAAAAGTCAGTTTTTTCCCCAACGATGGTCAGCCAACCATCGTTGGAAATTGATACAGAAATTCAACTTTTCTCGAAAATAACAGCACACCAGGTGCCACGATTTCACAGGATGCTTGAGACTATTATTCACTTACAGTCAAGTAAGGTATTTCATGATCATTTGGTACTTTTGTTTTTGATGTTGGCAAATGTACATATTCTACCTTTAATGATCTTTGCAACTGGTATAATTTTGTGATAAACACATTTTAGAGCCCCCAAAAGGCTCATTCCGGATGAAAGTGTCCCTTTAACTCTGTGTGGCCATTGAATAAAAAGTCCACATCTCCTGTATTTTGGATGTCACTTTTTCGTTTTAGATGTTTGGTATTAAAGTTCATGCTTTCTCTTTATTTCCAGTATCTGAAGAAGTTGCAGCATCAGGAACGTGTAGTTGAAGAGGTCAAACTAGCCTTGAAACCGTACTACCAGAAACGAGAAGTCACTAAGGAAGACTACAAAGAAATCCTGCGCAAGTCAGTCAATCAAGTAAGTATAAGGTTGGATTTCTTGTAGGTTGGATGTGGGCGGGGCTAGGAGTATGGGGGGAAACCTGAGATACAGGGTGAGTAAAAAAAAAACGGAACCCAAACCCCCAAAATAATTCATATTTAACAAAAATGATAACAACTAATGACTGGAAAGCCAATTTCATAAACTTCGTTTAGATAAAAAAATTACTGAAATTGCTCAGTCCGTTTAAATAATATGACCATTTAAACGCAATGACCCTAAAACCTGTTTTGTCCAAAAATGTAATTTCAAGAATCGTCGTCACAATTGTCTTGAAACATCACCAGCGATAAAACCTCAGTTTAAAAGTAACAAATATTCAACAAAGCCTTTTGAAGGCCTGTCTTAAAAAAAACACAAAAATTTTATAAATCATATTGTTTGCCTAAACCGGGTTGTTGATAAAGATATTGTGTACTACAGTTGTTGACAGTTGTTGGATGGAACAAGTATTCTGTGCCATTTTCTTTGTTATTCCAAACAGTCAGAACACAATAAATTGCTCTGTTTTTGGACGAAAGAGGCTTTAGGGTCATTGTGTTTAAATGGTGATATACTTTAGACGCCTTGAGCAATTTCAGTGACTTTTTCATCAAAAAGTAGTTTATGAAATAAGCTTTCCAATCGTTATTATTTGTGATGCTATATTTTTTTAAATATGAAATATATTTTTGGGGTTTGGTTTCCGCTTTTTTTGACTCACCCTGTATGTGTATGCTCAAAGTGTAGGGCAACGCTGATTAAATCTAAAAAGTCCAGTGTCGGATGCCTCAGTACCATATGAATGTTTGCCCCAAGAATACAGTATGTGCAGGCAGTATTGTACCTAGTGGAGGGCTCAGTTTTAGATAGCGTTTCAAATGAATCGTGACCACGATTTAAAGTGTCTTGTGTAAAAGACCTGTTTTAGAAACCAGAAAAGAAAAAAGTATAAAATTAAATATGACCTCCCAAACTTTTCTTCCAAAAATTCAACATTGTCTTGTGGAGCTAAGCACAATACATGTGAAATATGACATGTATTACGGTGATTTTGTAGCATGTATTTGCATCAAATTTAACATGTAAAAATTAATATTGGACTGCACGTATGGCCCAGAAGAGCTTGTGATTTTAAATAAGGGAATAAATGTGTGCTCCGGAGGTTTTTATCACTCTGTTTAAGACCGCTTAGAGTCTGGGTGCTGATAATTACCCGAGCGCACCCAGACTCTAAGCGGCCTTAAACGGAATGATAAATACCGACCGAGCACACATTTATTCCCATTCATAAATACCTTTTCGGTAAAAAAATATCAAATAATTCGTTCAAAAAATCCTGATTTTGTTCAACAAGTTCACTTCATGCTTTTTGAAACATCCCTCTAGCAAAATAATGGAGTGTTCAGCTGGCGTGTAAGATGTAAACAACCCTTTTATTGAGATTGATGCGCGCGTAGCATGTTCTGCGCGATGTCGCGCAGAACGCACCTGGGGCATTGCGTGTTGAATTTAGAACTATAAAATTCTGACTCGCTGGTAGTGTTGCGCATGCCTACGTGAGGATTGTGAACGTTCAACCAATGAAACGTTAAGAGGCACTGGATTTTTAGGAGTCCACATTTTATTGTGACACTGGAAAAGTGTTTAAGACCAGCTAGCCATGTCTTTATCATCCGTTTAAGACCGGCCACGTGACGGGCTCTCGACCAATAGGAATAGCTAAACTGCTGAGGTATATATGAAATATAACATTAAAGGCATATACAAGGCAAAAAGGAAAAGTCGCAAAAATTCAAAAACGAAACTGCCAAAATATTTATGAAATTTCCCACTTCATTGTAAGTAAATAGTATGATCAAACATCCTGTGAAATCGTTGCACCTAGTATGCTGTCATTTTCAAGAAAAGACAAATAAATCATCTTTTCGTCACGATGGTTAAGCCCTAACCATCGTGCTGTCCTTAAAAACATATGCTTTGCGTCGAGAAAAATGAAGATGCATTTTCGCAGTTTTCTAAAAATATGTGTAATATCCACTAAGCTGAAACTTCAACAGGTGTTTTTTTAACATTCTTCTTTGGATTTTGAGGGGTGTTATTATTGGAGTCGAACAAAATGCATGAACAGCATTTGATCCTATATGCCTTCAATATTACAAGAAGCAGTATGTGGATATTGAGAAAGCAACTTGGTTCCACCTGGAAAAGTTTAGTTTGATTCCTTTTCCTCATAAAAGGCAAGAATAATCAAAGTCATGTTTTAGTTAAGAATAATCAAAGGCACACTTCCTATCCCAAAAGATGCGGGAAGCAATCTTCATACGCCATCATAAGTCGTAAATTTACCGTAGCCGGGGTAAACCAGTTTGCGCCGGTTTACGAGGCGATCTTGCGGCCTCATAATCAAACAGAGACTGGACAATAACGTCACACTGAACAAGTACCAAGTGGTGCAACCCAACCCACGACGGCCGAGTAGCAGCGAGGCCGGCTAACGTGTCAAGACAGCTGTATGGCACTGTTGGTGCACCCGGGCTGTACCGGTACCTGGAGAGTACAGAAAACGAAAAGGAATGGGGCGTGATCTAATATGCAAAATGTATGCAAATTAGACACATGCGCAACAGTGTTTGCAAAACCGGTCTTCGAATGCAAAGCTGTAATACTTGCAAAGCTGTAATACTTGAGTTGTATGAATACAATATATGGCCGAGTAAAGTGTCCACCAACCAACCAACCAACATAAGCAGCTCAAGCCCACAGCGTGTTTCACACCGCTGTGGGACAAAGAGACTGGACAATGATGTCACATTGAAAAGGGTAACTGGACGGTTACTGAAAAGTCGAATAGAACTTTTCCATGAGTGCTGGTGACAGAATCAAATAAAGAATCATGTTTTGTTACTTTTTGATAATCTTGGGTTTCAATTTTGTTTCTGTAGGTGTGCCATAGCAAGAGTGGTGAGATCAACCCAGTCAAGATCAAGCGGCTCATCGAGGGCTACATCAAGAAATTCCACGGCAAAAAAAAAGTGGAAGAGAAGAAAGAGCCGGGCAGACCAGACCTTGCCTTCCGACTGCTGACCAAGAGTTGAAGCACAGCTACTTTTTAAGTACAAAACCGCATTTTATGGTTTTTATTTTGTATACCATCTCCATATTAATAAGCTTCCGACATTGATTGTCTTCGGGGTTTTCATTTTACAGGGTGGATAAAAAAAAAGTGAAACCGAGATATTATTGCTAATTGAAACAGAAGTAGGGCACATGTAAATCAAAGGGAGATATCCTCTGTTAGGGTTGAATCTTCTCTTTAAAATGCCACCCTGGTCATGTCATTACATTCACGGTTACCTGAGCAGTGATCAATTTTATGAAAGGGTCTATTAAGAGACTTGCACCACTTTTCATGGTGAAATCTCTTTTTTTTTCCCCCACCAGCCTTGATTGGCAACCATAGCCTTTCACCCTGTGACAATTGACACAACAAAAACCACTGTTGAAAAGTGGCGCAAGTCTCTAAATAGACCCTTTCATAAAATTCATCACTGCTCAGTCAACCGTGAATGTAATGACATGACCAGGGTGTCATTTTGAAGAGGCGATTCAACCCTAACAGAGGATATCTCCCTTTGATTCACATGTGCCCTACTTCTGTTCCAATGATCAATAATATCTGGGTTTCGGTTTTTTTTATCCACCCTGTACAGTAGAACATCTTTGTAGCCACCACCAAAAGTTCAGCTATAACAACATCCCCTTTGGCTCCCAAATTTCTCAACAATCATATTGAACCAAGCATTGCAGCCAAAAATCACAATAATTAACCACCAACATACTGAACAAATTTGTGCAGGCCCAGTCATGTTCGTTACAGCGAACTTCTACTGTGGGCTCCAAGCACAAGCACCCCCTCAACGGTAAGAAAGGGAGAGTTGGGGGAGACCACTGGGAGAGACATTCAAACGCATGGCCGACGAGGCCTGATGCTCACACGAGGACGCTTGGGCTTAGTGCACATCAGAATCAAATAAGTCGTGAGTACATGTACTTTGCGCTGTGGGTGCGTGATCAGTACGCACACACATGTGTCCCACCCACACACTCTCAAATTTGTATCCTTGTGGAGACATTTCTTTGTTCTCGTGTAGTAAAGTTTTCAATTTTGAAAGTGAAGTTTCAAAATGCTCTTATTTTAACCGGAATTAATTTCCTTGGCTGAAATTCGGACTTACTATCCCTTTTCTAAAACTCTTCCATTTGCGACGGATCAACCCACCTTGGAAATTCCTTGTTTTTGAGTAAAATCAAAATATCTATTTCGTGAAAACCTTGTGGAGACCTATTCATCTATAGAAATTGCCTTGTGGAGACCTTTACAATGTTTTGTTCCCTATTGTGTGCGTGTCTCCACAAGGATACAAATTTGAGCACACGGGGCTCTCGAAAGTGTTAAAAAAGCACCCACTCTTGTTGGCGCACGGAGCCCATACAATATTCCATTCATTATTACAATCGACCTATCGCCGTTTGCGATTTGGCCACTCCCCCTTAGACAACCCTATGGGTTTTTGCACACTAAGTAGTAAGTTTTGTTGGTCTCAGATGTTGCGCATTCCGCATCCATTTGTATATCATGTACAGTCGACTCTCGTTAGTACAAACTCTGTTAATACAAAATTCTGGTTATAACAAACATAAATCCTTCGTCCCGACTGTGCATTTATGTGCACAATGAATGGGACGGATGTACCGCTTGATACAAAATTCTGATATAACAAACAATTTGGCTAGGTCCGAACGAGTTTGTTATAACGAGACTCGACTGTAATTGGACAATATTACACAAGCTGCATTGACGTGTTCTACCGCGATTCTACCGTGATTCTACCGCGATTCTACTGCGATTCCACCGCGATTCTACCGCGATTCTACCGCGATTCTACCGCGATTCTACCGCGATTCTACCGCGATTCTACCGCGATAGGTTCATTTAGAAGGAAGACAATTATTTGTGATGTAAGCCTACAAATTTTCATGAGGCTTTTTTGTTCAATACTGAGAGGAATTACGGTAATTTAAGAAGGAAGTTTTGGTTTCGTCCGGTAGAGTGTGGACACGCTTGAAAATTGTGAGAAATATACTTTACGTAGTGGTTCTTAACTCCGTAAGAAACAAAAACAGTTATCGCGTCACTTTGTGGCAAAAAATGCCAGTTTTTCATAACATATACATGAACTTGCAGATTTCCTCGAATGAGAGATAATGTTTGACTTCATGGATTATGATTTGGAGGGATAAGATGACAAGAATATAAATAAGGTATTAATTATCTACTCCAGTGTCCATCAAGATGAAACGATTTTGTAGCTCTGTAGTCAGTAGCCCCATAAATGTGGCCTATTTACTGGACTGCCTCTGTAAACATAGGCCACACATCCACATGTACAAAAAACGTGTCGACTTTGCCAAATTTTGATTTTCACATTTAGGCTTACTTTTTACGTTTTTTTTGCTTTAGAAGCATTCTCACCCTCTATATAGGCTAATCAGAAAGTGCTGCCTTTTTCAGATGTCCATTTTTTCGTGAAATTTCCAGATACATTTGCACACGTTTGCGCATCAAAATTTCAACATGAAATTTCACAAAAATTAAACATCTGAAAAAGGCAGCACTTTCTGATTAGCCTATAAAGAGGGTGAGTATGCTTCTAAAGCAAAAAAAACCTACAAAGTAAGCCTAAATGTGAAAATCAAAATTCTGCAAAGTCAACACGTTTTTTGTACATGTGGATGTGTGGCCTATGTTTACGGAGGCAATCCAGTAAATAGGCCACATTTATGGGGCTATGTAGTCAGTAGAATAAATGTGTAAATCTAGATAGAGGTCGCTGAAGGCAGGGTTTTTTATTGGCCAACACTGCCTTCATTTCAACTTTTGAAATATTCCTCAGTTAGAGGTAGAGTAGATCATTTGCTGGTGTCCGAAAATTTACTGACAACATTATTGTGAAAATGCTTACTTTGTTTAAAACCCTAACTCCCTAGGCCTTTTTGCTAGGATGTAGCCTCAATCCTGCAAAATCCTCCAATTGGCCCCATGGGAAAATAGCATATAGCCTCAATCCTGCAAATTCCTCCGTTATTTCTTGAATATGGTCCATGGAGGGGTGACCACTGCCTGAATCCTGCAAAATCCTCCGGCTATGACTGTCAATAGGCTGAGGCAGAGGCAGTGACATCCTGGAGCAGTACGGAGGTTGTCAAGTACAATCAAGGACTAAATTTAAGCACGGATGGGCATAAACAACACAAGGTCCGGCCCAAGACCTTGACACAGTGCGTACTCCGAAATCAGCAACGCACTTTTGCCATGTAACCTCAATCCTGCAAATTCCTCCAATTTGCAAAAAGGATTTTGGAGGATTCAGGGCGGTTAGGGTTAGGGATAGGTAATGACAGGAAACTCCCTGTGAAATTGTTCCTTCTGGCATGCTGTAATTTTGAAGAAAACAACAAAAGAAGGTCATTTCCAAAGATGTGTCCAGTGACACATTTTTGTAAATTTTCGTGGATCCGCCCAAATGTGTTCAAATTTGTACATGTAGTTGGTTTGCAATTGAGCGAATCTTGGAATGAGTGATCACCGGCTGAATGAGAATCACGTCCCGAATGATGATTTTTGGGATTGTGTCACGAGAGGGCGCAATTCAAAATCTGACTCGGCAAGTTTGGAATCAAAATCGAGATCCAGAAAATGGCGTATATGTTTGTTCTGTTTCCTCGAAATATACAGCATGCACAGAGCTAAAAGTTCATCAGGTTAGTTATTAAGCACCCGTCTTTGGATTTTGAGCACTTTTGTTGGTTCAAACGAGAACAATTACACGCATTTCAAATAGTCTTCTCTACCTTTAATGAGTTTGGGGAAAATTGTTTTGTGAATCAAACAGTTGTTTATACAGTACATGTGGTAGCTTTAATATTTTTGCACTTTTAAAGATATACAATATAAAAGTTGTGAGCGCATTATCGCCAAGAATATAAGAGTGGGGTTACATATAATCACTGACTTGACTTCCATTGAAATTTACTTCACTGAGTCAGCCGACACGCCCAAACGAGAAACAAATTATTCAGCATTTACAATTGCTAGTGTTTGGTAACGTAACAATGATTTGCCGTTGGTAACAATCAGCGCATTGATCTATGTCTCATATTCGTTTCTTCTGTTTGTTTGTTTGTTTGTGTTGTATTGTTTTTACGTTTTTATACCTTTTTCATTTAGCCTGTCTTTGCTGGAGCTGTAACACTGTAGTTTGATTTCTGCAAATAATCATAGTCCGCATTTTGAGCACGCTTTATTTCGTTATTAAACTAAATTACTTTGTAAGCAAGAAAATACTGCATGTACCTTAAAAGCTGAAAAGTTTTGCCACGCTGGCAAAGTTTGCCACGCTTAGAAAAGTCTACCTTACTTTGTAATAAGTTTATTTTCCAAAAAACTTCCAAAACGCACTTGAGATTAATCTTGGAATATTTGGGCGGTCATTCAATGGAAGGATTTTTTTTATTTTGGATTATGTTTGTTCATCGAAAATCACCTTGTAAATATTAATACCCAACCGTTTAGAGGTTAAGTCCAGATTAACCACAACAGTAAGTTATTGTGTGTACATTGTTAGCGTGACTAGATCTGCTGTATTGAATTAAAGATGGTTCAAGTACTGCATGTTAATATAAAACACGATGACTTTTGTGTTCTTGCTTAATATTACTGTACAGGGTGAGTTAAAAAAAACGAAACCCAAATGTCGGGACTATTGTTGTATTGAAGTTCTGCACGTAGCACTTTCAAAATCTACGATATGAAAACCCAATTCATAGGCTTTCTTTTAGTACAAGAATCATTCAAATCACTCATGTACTTTTCAAGTTAAACAGAATTGTAAACACAACCACCGTTTTAAGGTTCGTAATTCCGAATCCACACTTTACTAAAGATTCGTCGTTCCGAATCCACACTTTGTGACAAGCGTAAGAGATTCATAGATCCGAATCCACACTTTTAACAATAGTGTGACGTCATAGCAATGGTTTAAGTCCACGGATCACAAAAAAGGTCAAGGGCGGATCCAGGGGGGGGGGGGGCCAAAGGGGGCCATGGCCCCCCCCCCCCCAAAACGAAACCAATTTTTTTTTTTTTATGTGACATCGCAATAAAGGCAGGCAATGAGCACACCACCATCTTTTCCTCAAAAAACATTGGTTAAAGTGGTCAGAAATTGCCTCAGATCGCACCACAGAGCATCTAGAATCCAAAAAATTTTCGGGGCCCTTAAGCGGGCCCCGAACCCCACGCCGTAATTTTTTTGACCCACTTTTTGGGGGGACCAAAATTTTTTTTGGCCCCCCCCCCAAAAAAATTGTGTTCTGGATCCGCCCTTGAAAAAGGTGTGCGTTCTTTCAGCAAAACGAAAACAATTCACACACATCCCTTCGTGATTTCTTTTCGTTTTGCTGAAAGAACACTAAATTTTTTGTGTGATCCGTTGACAGAACCTTAAAACGGTGGTTGTGTTTAAAATTCAGTAACTTGAAAAGTCTACGAGTGATTTGAATAATGCTTGTACTAAAAGAAAGCTTATGAATTGGGCTTTCATATCCTAGATTTTAAAAGAGCTATATAAAGAACTTCCCTAATTGTCCCAACCTTAGTATACGATGTAGCTTGCGATGCGCATTGAGATATGAGACTTGGGGAAGCTTCCGTCCCAAGTTCGAACTCTGCGCTCCCTATCTCCGACGCCCCCACCCCTACCCCGCCCCCCCCCCCCAAAAAAAAACCCCACAAATTACAACACAAACCAACATAACAACACAAACCCGTACAAACAAACCAATACACTTTTATAGGGACTGTACAACATTTGCTTTTGCTTCAAATTTTTCAGAATTAAATGGATTTGGAGGATTAGTATGTTACATTAAATATTGTTAAACTGACTTGTTTCATGTTTTGGGCTTGTAGATGCTGGAAAAACCAAGAAAACCTATCATGTTCTTGTAGTCTGGTTCCCTGATCCCACTTAAGATGAAACGAAGCAATTAATACACTTTGGGTAATTGTAAGGTCAGATAATCAGTCTAGCAGGATTGTACCCCTTCACAGGTGTGTGATCAATTGCAAAGAAAAATCAGAATAACTAAATATGAAAATTTAAGAACAGTTTTTGAAAAAAAAACAGTTTTCTCCAACGCTGGTCGGCCGACCAGCGTTGGAAAAATGCAGTTTTTCTTGAAAATGCAGCCCACCAGGACCCACGATTTTAAAGGATGCTTTAGACTGTCAGTCCCTAACAATTCAGTAAGGTATTTCGTGGTAATTTGATCATTTCCTTTTTTGATGTTTGCAAATGTTGTATTTTCCCTTTAACCCGTACGAAATACGAATCCCATCATGTTCAGAAACGAGGCTGTCGCAAGTAAACAAAATTCAGTATATCAAACATTTTTTTTTTCTTTATTGAATGTTTTAAACAATGTTTATAGGGTAAGAAACGTAAACATCTGAAGTGTACATACATGTTGCACAATGCTTCTTGCTACTTTGGCGGGAAAACACAATAGAGCCTTTGCATGCAACAGCCATATTTGACGTGTTGTTTGTTCTTTTAATTCAGTAACAATAAATGCACTCTCGCGTACCTCCAAGATTGCTGCAGAGCAAATGATCTTTACATGTATTAGGGGTAATTGCGCTTATTTCACGCTAGCTAGCTTTGTTTTAGGTCAAAATATCGTTTAGTTTATTTTCAGGATGTTGGCCTACTGCAGATGCGTTTGAAATTGCTCAGAATAATACTTACATTGACGGAACGTGTATTTCAAAATAAAAACAATGTCCAGCTGCATGTTAGGCTACAATTGTTTTGTCTTTCCCATGCTGTGCAATGTTATATATTTTAAATTACAATAAGGCCTAATTACATATTTGACGTATGCCCATGCATTAACACTTTGAGGGATCGGACACCAACTGCACGTTCCATAAGTTACAGAGTGTGTAATCTGTGTAATAAAATGGCGGCCCCCATGCCACGAGTTCGTGACGGTAAGACTCGGTAAGTTCGTTCCATAATTGTACTGGTTTCAAAGTAAAAGTTTACTTCTTTCCTCCTAGTGAAATAGCTTTTTTTTTTTTTATAGTGAAGAAGATGAGTTTTCGTAATTAACTTAGGGGTACCGTAGACCCGTGAACGTGGCGTTGTATACAGCCACGTTCACGGGTTTAACTTATGGGGAGTAGCGGTTCTTTCCTCGCCTCCCAACACTGTGACCCGGTGTCACATGAAAATCCGACTCCTATGAAAATCGGACCCCTTTTGCCTTTTATTGGTTAATCCCTCTCACGTGACCGGTCACTTTCCTAATTATCATACTTACGCATGCGCAGTATTACCAATGAGTCCGATTTTCATAGAAACCTAAATTCACGCTACACCTGGGTCGATTCCTGCCCCGGTATATACACATGTGGATTGTGTTTTCAGTCCCTACCCGATGTCCTGGGTTTTCCCCAAATATTCCTCTGGAGTTTTCCTCCACCCCCTAAAACTGTAATTTCTTCTCGTCTCCTCTCTGCGCCGGGTTTGTTTTTCTTCAGGTTTGCGAGCTACAGTGCCTATACTGTATTAACTATTACTAGGGCACTTTTGAGGAATCCTTTGTTATGATGAGCATTAGTGACATGAAGGCATATTGCATTGCATTGTGTTCAATAACATTCACATAGGGCCTTCACAAAATACTGAATCATTAAACTTTTGTATCCGTGTAAATATTTGAACTTATACAGTCAAACCCCTTTTTTTTTTTTTTTAGAGATACATACATTTATTTCGATGCTGCATAAAGGACGATACATAATGTTATATATTCAAATTGGCGATACATATATTTACAATAGTGAACATTAACTAAATGGCAGCATCTAGGTCCGGGGTGAAGCATAAGCTTTTGTTCCCCAGCCTGTGGTCAGACAGACAAGTGACAGACATACATGGAAAGACAGAGCACAAACACCGGTGTAAGACAGTAATCAAGGTCGTTATTATCCCTATTACATTGTTTTAGTATGCAATTAAAAATTAATTTTTTAGTTTTCTAGCAAAAATAGAGAGATTGGGTGATGATTTAAAAGAGTTATCCAGACTATTCCAATATAGAGTGCCACGTTGGACAACACTGTTTTTGGACAATGTCGTTCTACAATAATTAACATACAGATTTTTCCTAGTAGTACTGCGGGTATTATATGAATGAATGTTTGAAGTAAGTGTAAAACAGGGGTTAAAACAAGCAGGTAATGCACGATTCACATATTTATACATACATTTTCCTAAGTTAAGATGATACAGGTCAATGAATGTTAACAATTTTAAATTTGCAAATAGAGGCCCAGAGTGTTCACAATAGCCAGTTTTAAAAATTACTCGAACTGCACGTTTCTGTAGAGTAATCAGTTTGTTGCATTTAGGAGTTTGACTACCCCAGGTCAGAATTGAGTAATTTAAATACGGTAAAACAAATGAGTTGTACAAGGTTAGAAATATGCTACTAGGTAACAAATATTTTAGACGGTTCATTAGGCCTATACCAATATTTTTTTATATTTTAGCTGTTATAACGTCTATTTGATTCTTCCAAGTTAAGTTCTCATCAATATGTATTCCCAAAAATTTGGTACCCTTAACCTGATCAAGATGAGTGTCATTTAAAATGATAGGAACAGACTGAGTGTACCTTCGTAACAAGGTCCTTGGGACTTCACAATTACCTTGTTATAACAGTACCTTGTATTAACAGTAATGAAAAACAAAGGAAAATAAATACTTTTGACCTAAGATTTGCTTGTTATAAGCAGGATGTTGTATTAATTAACGCTGCTCTTCTTATCAGGGTTCAACTTTATTTGTAAATTACACAAAAATAACCAACATAGGCCTACTATCACGGTAACCGCCATATTAACCCGATTTCGCTAATTAGGAAGAAGTTGAGCATTTTGGCATGATATTTTAGATAAGTACTTTTCCACTTGGAAGGTAGGTTTGCTGGAAGAATCTGTGTACGTTACTGGCGCTCTAGCATTTAAACTTTGGGTTGATGAAATAATATGCGCACAATGTTATGAAACACAATTCATCGTCATTTTGGTCACGTCAGTCGGTCCATGTACATGTACGTACCCGTAGTATTTTTCTTACCCTTTTTTGTAAAGTACTTAATTTCTTTATTGATCTGGAACTCAGTTGTCGCATTACAGGAAGAGATTTGACCTTTTTTTAATGATGCTGTGGTCGCAGCTTACCCAAATTATACGCTTGGCAAACTGACCAAGTTAACCTCGCTCAGTACTGTGTGCTTGACAAGTTTCTGATGTTTACAGTGTAATGAGGATGCAGACGGTATTTTTTTGTCATTCATATTCGCCTTGAACAAGGCCAGAAGCCACTCTGGGCACAGGGCTAGAAGAGAAATAACAAAGAAGAGTATAGGTACTCGGGAAAACTGAAGGTAGGAATTAACATTCCTCTTCAAACAGGACAATTCATAGGTTGGAGGGAAACAAGCACCAGGCAAGGAATTCCAAGGAGATGCAGCACGTGGGAAAAAAAAGCTATTGCAATAGATCCTTTTGTTCATCTGCAACAGTATATGGATGAGAACAGGCAGACAAACGAGTTCCTCTCTCAACATTTTGATTGGAGGAACCTGGTTGGATGGACCAGTGGAGCAGTGATCATGAAAATATTTGTAAAACAAACAGTACGGCTTATTAAGGCATGGCGTACGTTACGTCACGATTCTGGTAGGTCTTGAATGAAATTTCGGTCTTGAACGATATTTTATTTTCGCTTTCATATACTGTAATGCAAATACATGTAATACTGTTTTTGCATAGGTGGCCTATATCGAATCTTATCTCGGACGAAAAATGGGTCTGGGACAGTTTTCGGTGGTCTTGATGAATTGATGCTACTTTGGCATTCTATTTACACAGCCTGCGCATCTCTGGCGCAAACTAGAGAATCACTCATTTTGTGACAGATCCACTTCTACCAAGCTACCGGCACCAAGAGCCTCTCGAATCTCCTTCACATCTTGACTGTTGAGGGAGCAGTGCCTTAAAACGAGCTTTCGGAGTAGTTTGAGATTCTTCAAGTGCTTGTACCAAACTGCCTTGTAACCTGTAAGTGTACTGCCACTGAGATTCATCTCAATCAAGTCGCCCCTCTTTGTCATTGTTTCTAGGATGGTGTCTATGGCTTCGCCGCTCAAGGAACAGCCACTCAGATTCAGAATGATTCCACCATTAGTTATAGCCACAAGATTGGTTTCCGACAGAAGCGTGTTTGTGATGAAATCGAACACACCGTACTCGTGACTGATCACACACTCCTGAATATTTGGCATTTGTCCAACGGCCAAAGCAAGATGCGATAGATCCTGTAGTTCTGATCGATATTCATCAAACGTAAGTCTCCGAAGATTCTTCAGTTGTTTCAAATGCGGACACCACACCGCCATTGAATTTTCGAGCTGATAGCTGAAGATGAGATTTAACTCAACCAAATTGGTTGCACTGCTCAGTAACTCAATGACATGTTTGAGAACTGAAGCAGAAGTGATCCGACAATGTATGTCAAATTTGTGGAGAGGTTTCATCTGCTCTAAGTAGCACCTGGGTGCAACTGGGTCCCCTTCTACGTCAGGTGAAGAAAGATACAACTCCATCAAGTTAGGTATTTTTCTCAATGATGCTGCGACTTGCATCAAATCTCCCCCAGTCAGTGAGCAGTGCTTCAGATTTAACTTCTTGAGGTGTTTGCAGTCCTCCAACTGATTGGACCACTGTGAAGCTGAGCCACTGATTGATTCGTTCAAAGACAAATTTATTTCAACCAGCCCGGTCAGATAACTCACTGAGGTGAATATTTGAGTCACATCAGTGCCTCCCAGACTACAGTTACTCACGTCCAGTCTTTGAAGACACTTACAATACCTCAAGTGAGTAAAACATATATTCCCAGAGCACTGCATCTCATTGTTGGAGGAGAGATCTAACTCGATTAAACCGGGAAGCTCAGAGAGGGACAAAAGAACTTGCCTCCAATCTTCAGGCATCAGTGAGCAATACTTCAAGGTCAAAGATTTAAGAGACTTCAAGTGTGTCAATGAAGGTGACCATAAGTTTGCTGAACCACTGAGAGTCTTGTTGTGCGATAGATCAAGCTTGGTTAGGGTGGTTGCCTGGCTCAACGAAGATGCAACATTGCTAACATTAGTCGCTGTCAAAGAGCATCTGACGAGGTTTACTTGCTCCAGATTTGTCATAGCCCCCGCTGAGTGCTCTAAATCTTCGCAGAACTTGCCAACTTTGCAACTCTGCAAGTTCACTGACTGCACCTTGGCTAAGTAAGGTTTTGTCTCCTTTTTAGTCGAGATAGCGACTGATTCCATTACGAAGGAGAATGCATGTAAACTATCACGGTCCCAATCACTGAGACTGATTTCTGTAGTGAGAACTGAACTCACGAAGTCTACTGGTGGTAATGTCTTGGACTGACTCTCCAAACAACATGAAAGGGCCAACTTCGTGCGCCTCGTCTCATGCTGCTCACGAGACAACATCTTCGACACAGGTGCATAGGCCTCCTTCTGCTCTGTAAAGAAACACCTCTCAAGCATCCGTAAAATGATCTGACTGCACGCATCATTGTCACCGCAACAGAACCGCAGTAGGTACTCGTACTCATCCAACCTGTCAACCTTATCAAAGGTTTTCTGAAACTCATCTTCCGACAAGGTGTGCAAATATTTTGCGGCGCAGTATTCCTGAATTGTCTTGTGGATGAACTGTATGCTGTTGTAGACCTTGAGCCCCTGACCAATTTCCCTTTGCTTCGTCAAGATACCCACCTTAACGGCCGCGTCCAGTGCACTCTTCTCAAAATCTCGTTCTCCAAAGCAGAGCAATTGATCGGGAGAAAGGAGACCCACTAAGGCCACTTTTCCCAGTGCGATAACCACGTCTGACATCTCTTCTGGCGACATGTCTGCTTTTCTTCGGAATACATACTGTATCGCCTGATCGTAAAGTCGAGTGGTCGTCTCCGGGAGTGAACCGTTGTTTCGCCAGAGCAGACACATCAACAGCAGAAGCATGGGGCTTTTTGCAAGGTCAGACGAAACACCGGAAGACTGAATTTTCTCAACCAAACCCACAGCACTGACAGGTTCTGTCGAGAAGAATCTTGTCACATACTCTTGGATGTTATCTGAGCTGAAGCCTGAAACCAACACGTGAGTGAATGGATCCTGGATCAGCTGTTTTGACATCAAACTATTGATGTGGGATGGTCTTGTTGTCACCACTACCCAACATTCTCTGCAAATCTTTCGATTGATAATTCCCAGGACAGACTCGGGACAGATCTTGGCAGTGGACATCGTGAACTCATCGAAGCCATCCAAGAGGACAAGTATGCCATTGGGATAGCTGTGAATGAACTCCTTCAAAGCTAACCTGTCTATTTTCGTGTCGTGATCTAAAAGTTGGTCAAAAATCGCATCAATGAGCTCTGAATTGTGTTCCAGCGCGCACATTTTTAGCACAAAGACAAGTTTGAACATGCGCAGCGCCTGACTGAACGCAGCCCAATCATACGCCATCTTGTCAACCAAAGTTGACTTGCCTCTTCCAGCTAACCCGTTAAGAATTGCCCGTTTGATAGCATCACCCTCCTTGGTCTTAAAGAAGAAAATATCTTGGTAAGATTCTAGTTCCAATCTAGAACAGACCACACCCTCCCCCATGCTCTCCAGCAGTAATGTGGTGTAGATATCCATAATATGTTTGGTGTCGTCATCGACCCAAGGGATCATCTGAACGTAGCTACCCGTGCTTTTGTAATGTGACTTCAGGGCTGCCTCGCAACTGTTTGCAGCCGTGTGCATTTCTGCGTAGGTAACAACTCGTTCCGGTACTTGATGATGTCTCTTGAACGGCTGAGAAGTATCTGCATGAGTACAGCATGACAAATGCACAAAATGTCAATAATTCAATCTTTCGTACAGTTGAGTTTACTGGCGACTGAGACAAAATATGTGATGCGATCAAGCTAAATGAGTCTTTGTCGGGAATTTTCATTTGGAGATACAGGCCAAAATAGGGCTACTTCGTCACATCACCTCATCACATCTCTTGGTGTTCCGAGTTCCATATTTTTAAAACTAAAGATGGTATCAGCATGCAGTTTTCACAGAGGTAATGCTGAGACTGTGCTCTTTTCAAATCTGTAAAAAAAAATTGACCAGACTCGACAAACGACTCATTTAGCTTGATCGCATCACATATATCGTTCACATTTCGTTCGAGAACATTTGAGATCTCTGATCATAACAACTAGGGCAGCAGATTCGGGGTGGTCTTTTCAGCAAAACTCTCAAGACAAGTGTCCAGTAGATGTCTTTTCAAAGATTCAAAATGAAATACAGATGGGATTAGTTCAACCACATTAGCATTTAATGCTCCCGCAAAGGTGGTAGTGTCCTGCCCGTCTGTTTTCCTAATTTTAGGCTAAACCTGAGACACATCTTATCAATCAGAATGCCTCTTTAACACAGGATTACGTTACCTTGTGTTGAAGGACTCGGTCCTTGCGTACATGGTTCAGTCGATGAGCATCCGGGAATCTCTGGCACCTGGTTTGGCGGGGCATCTAAATAAATATAGTCAAAACAAATTGAAGGTAGTTGGTGAAGTAATGGTTGTGAAGTGGAGTGGAACCGCTTTCCATTTCTTTAAAGGCACATTTGGAGGATGCCTCAAGCACATCGTGAACGAATTTCCTTCGCAATCAAGCTTTAGAATAGAATCCAATCAATCAAACAGTGCGCGCTGACCTATGTACATTACGAATTTTGGTCAGGTACCGTGACCGCATTCTAGCCCAGTAAGCAAAATCCATGCAATGTACATATGTTAATTAATCAAATTAAATGAAATCAAATTAAATTCAACTAATTAACTGGGCAGCCCATGTAGTAGAATCCACTGGTCTCCCTTGGAATGGAAACTAGTAAAGAGGAGACAGTTTTAGAGATGCGAGGAAAACCGTACAAGAATATTCTGGGGACAACCCACGGAATCAGGCAGGGACTGAAAACCCAATTGGCCCAGGCAGGCATCAAACCCACTACGACATCCTTACACCACAAATCAAAAGTAAGCGGGCAGCGACTTATTTTCAAAGTCAGAACAATACAAGATTAAGGGTATTCTTTATTAATGTTTACCTTTTGGATTAGCTGTTACATTGTAATGGATGTTGACCGTTCCAGATACTGGGGCGTGGAATGATGGGTTGTAGTCACCAGGAACATTGACACTCCCGGTGGAGCAAATCTGCGCCGACTTGGATTCCAGTGTTAACTGAGTCAGCTGAGACGCCATGTCTAGTGATACTGGAAGGTAAAACAGACCATTACACAGTTATCACAGGTGTTTATATCAGTTGGGCATCCATTTTTTTTTTTTTTTTTTGGGGGGGGGACTTATTGGAGGCAATGTACGACTCGGACTTTGGACACTAGTGGACAACTATAGGTGGCGCTTTCATGGCAGCATATTGCCGACAGCCACACGATTTTGCAAACAGGAAGGGTTTTATAGACAAAAAAAAACCATCCAATTTCATGACTCTATTGATAACCACATAATTCCGTGCTTACCGCCTCCATTTTGTGCTAACCTCGCTAGCAGTAAAATTCTGTGCTGGTTGCACACCGGCAGATAGGCATAAATCCATCCGCTGAGCCATGAATAAAAGTTGTACCCTCAAAATAGTCTATATTAGAGAGTTCTGAGAGCCGTAAAATTGGGGAATTGAAGAGATATGGCAATAAACCTCTGGCCCGGACTTGGGGCTTCCAATTCGGAGCATTTTGGGTACAATTGAGCTCAAAAGTGGCGCTATTTGGCCATGTTGTGGAGGGATCGTATTTCAAGATGGCTACCTTTCCGCTTTGGGAAAATAGGGGTCGTCTTCTTTGGATGAGAATTTCTCAGAAAGTCAACCCACCAAAAAATTACATGTTGATCGTCGTCATTTTTCTGTGCAGCTTAAATAGCTGTGAACGTTCTAAGTATTTTTAAAAAAAAATAGAGTATGTGAATTTAGCACTAATGTCTATGGGAATTTTAATGCAGGGTTGCACCCTGCTAACATTGTCAGCGCAGAATCCTTAGTTACGGGATGTACGCATGCGCAGAAGCCAACATTCCTTGTTACCCGTGAAATATGCTTATCGCACGCACATAATTTTCTGCTACAGTAATTAGCTGGGATTTTTCGCTGAGGCAAAAAAAAATCTTCGATTTCTGGTATTGAGCTTGCCCCAAAAGTGGTGCCGCGACGCAAATGTCGGCTGATGACCGCCAATGGTGCCTGACTAAAATTTAGTGCAAACTATATGGGAGCCCAGAGAAGCCACATAAAGCTTATACTCGATCGTAACCCCATCTAAATACATGTTAAAATTGTGCACCAGCAAAATTCCAGTCAAACCAGTGAGTTTGGTGGTTTTGAGACATCACCTTATGATTGAGAAAATGAGCCATGAAATTGGGACCCAGTTCTATGGTACTTTGGTTGTACATTATTTGTGTACAAGCATTACATTCACCGTGTGGACTTCCGAACAAAAGGTGTCTACATAAACCAGGTAGCAGCGACGTCCACGTCCACACAATGTTTCCCCCTTTGCAAAACAGGTAGAGGCATTTTGGGGTTAGGTTTATTTGTGGCAAATTTTTAGAAAAACACTAAAGGGAATCATATAAAAGAATTTGGGATAAAAGGGTTTTTACAGTGTGAGTAAAATGCGTTTTTTTCACTAGTTTTGTTAACTACACGAAAACAAAGGATTGTCCACACTAGGTATGTAAAACAAGCATAGATGGCCTAGCACAGCAAGATAGGAATAAAAGCGAATATGCCATGTGACTCGCGCTCGGCTAATCATGATACAGAAATTGTGGCTGAGGGTTTTTTTTTTTTTTTTTGAATAGTTTTGCTTTTCTGGGAAGGGAAAGCGCCCCCTTGCCCCCCTCCCATTCCCTCGCGACCCTCATAATGACTGAAATGTGTATTTTCTTTCAAAATGAGTTTCATACCTTGTGTCTCTGGTCTGGCTTGCACCATTTGTCGTGTTTCATTTTGAGTGACACCGGTGTTTGCTTGTTTCCGTTCCGTTTCCTGTTGTTGATTTCCACTCGCCTGTGTCTCTTGGGTTGGGCTGCAGCGTTTTCTTGGATCCTTGTCGGCCATTTTATGCCTAAAAAAGAGTTGGAACTTTACATGGTGGTAGTGTATATAGGAACATCATGTGGAATAATCCCCTTTGAGAAGAAGTGATGCGGTTCTAGAAAGAACCGGTTAGTTGTGAAACACACAACCAACCGGTTTCTTTTAAGAACCGAACTTCTTCTCCAAAGAGACTGAGTAATCCACATGTTACCGCAAACCCGACTATTATATTAGGCCTAGCCTTGAACAAAATTGCATAAAGGTTTGTTTGTTTGTTTGTTTGTTTGTTTGTTTTTTTAAATAACAGTAACTAGACTACGGTTAACGTTGCTACCGTTTGAAGGGGATCTAAATGTTAATCCCTTTTAATAGGTGATGCTGGGTGGTGGTTGTTGTAAGGGACCATCCAGAATTTTCAATGTTTTAAACTTTCGACTTTTTTTCCAAATTATTTTGACCCCCCCACCCACATCTAATTTCGATTAATAAAAAACTGAACATGTACATGTACATGCACTTGCATGTACAGTGTGTACATATACTTGAACATGTACATGTATACCCATGTTCATGTTCATGTGTACCCATGTACATGTGTGTCTAGTTCAGAGACGGCGTGAAGTTGTCGGTCATCCTCTTTTGCAGTGGTGGCCTTCAGTTTTCTTGTGTTTTACCAGCTGATATGCTGTTTGGAAAGACAGGTTGCAGTCTTGGAAGCCACAAAGATGACCGTGGTTTTGTCATTTTCTGGATTAGCCCCATAAATGTGGCCAATTTACTGGACTGCCTCCGTAAATAAAGGTTACACTGCCAGTGCCACCATGTACAAAAACATGTCGAACTTTGTCAAATTTTGATTTTCACATTTAGGCTTAGTGTGTAGTTTATTTTTGCTGTAGAGGCATACTCACCCTCTTTATAGGCTAATCAGCCTGAAAGTGCTGCTTTTTCAGGTGTCTATTTTTCGTGACATTTCCAGATTTGTTTGCACACGTTTGCGTATCAAAATTTCAACATTATTTTTCGTAAAATTTCATGTTGAAATTTTGATACGCAAACGTGTGCAAACAAATCTGGAAATTTCACGAAAAATAGACACCTGAAAAAGGCAGCACTTTCTAATTACCCTATAAAGGGGGTGAGTATGCTTCTAAAGCAAAAATGAACTACAAACTAAGCCTAAATGTGAAAATCAAAATTTGACAAAGTTCGACATGTTTTTGTATATGGTGGCAGTGTAGCCTTTATTTACGAAGGAAGTCCAGTAAATTGGCCACATTTATGGGGCTATTTCTGGATGAGGTGGATGACATGTGACATACGAGGTTGTGCCTGTCACGTGAGGTAGCTGAGAAAAACATTCCCTCGTACCCCCTGCCCTGTTTGCAGGGCGGGGTACGAGCGAAAAAAAAATCAGGTTTGGGCAGTCATCACATCACAGGCTGCGGTCCTCGTAGTCTTGGAGTCCAGTGGTTGAATAGTCAAGTTTTTATAGCGATTGGTAATCGACACCCGCGGCGTGTTATAGAGCCGATCTATCTAGTACACCTGGTACCCTGCTGCCTCTGCACGGCCTAACCGCTAGAAACGCCCGGCATCCAAGTCTACCTTCTCACGCCACAGTGGGTCTATATATGCATGACGTACATGTACAGTACATACAGGGGACCAAGTTGAAAAAGAAACACGCTTGCGCGTTGTTCAGGTCAAAAGATCTATCTTTCTTTGTTTTTTTAATCCTTTTTCCATGGAAAGTGAATTTCGATTTTCAATTATTTAGCTTGACCCACCATCCACAATTTGGAAAAAAGATCGAAATTTTAAAACATTGAAAATTCTGAATGGCCCCTAACATCACTTTTTGATCCAGTTAATTACTTTATATACTAGACCGACTTGAAGTCCAAAACTAAGGTTTGGCAAAGTTTCACAATACGGAACTGCTATACAAAACTCCTGAAATGCTTAAACTCAACAATGGAGGCGTGTTTCATGCTCTACACGACACGTAGCCGTTGATGAGATACCGAAATTATTATTTATAGCATGCCCTCCAAACACGTCAAGAGGAAGACAGAAAAAACATAAACGCGTCTGCGGTACTGAAAGTAACTGCATAGGGTCAACATCACACCAAATTGAAACTTGAAGTCAAAAATGGATGATCTGCAATCCGAACCAGCCGCACTATGACTGAGAAAAAAAGGCCAACAATAGTTCTTGCAGGTTTGTTCGATATTGTGGCCGTGTTTCGAAAACTGCATGTAATTCGCTTTTGGATGGAATTGGACATAGCTTCGTTAAACTACACACAGTGTGACAGTTCTTTAAATACAAACTTCCTGCAAACGGTTCTACACTGCTTAAATAATACCTTGTGAAACGGTAATAGTTTATAAGTGGTAACATCCTGTATGTGGAAAATAAAACATGCAAAGGATGCTTGAAATGTTTGGGTTGCCAGGTCCAACGGTTGCCAGTTTGTATGACGTTATAAGCACTGCACTGACAGGGGAACATGATAGGAAGTCGGTAGTTTCCGGGTTGGTATATGCATGGTGGGCCCATCCATAGGCAATCCCATTTTGCTTTGGGTCGGTTAAATGTACTTTTGTTGTAGATTTCTGAAAAACTGCACTATTATTATATAATCAGATACATGAATAAAAACTTGGCAATATACGAGTGAATTTGAATGCTTTTAACATAGAGCAATGAAATATGCTTTTTAAGAACCACCATCCGTAACTCACAACTATTAGTAAAGAATGTTTCATTGAAGTTTTGTAGGCCTATCCTATATCCAGTATATTAACACACCTTGTATCGTGAATGTGATCAGAACAGCCTCGTACACAAACTTAGGGAGAACTGCACCGGGGTATCACAATCTCCGACTCTCTCATCGAGAGCGAGTAAGACAGCTTGGCATCATCAAGTTATCCCATCATAGCACTACTATATGCAACAATATTTTCTCCGTAATTACGAGAAAGCTTAAGTGAAGTAAACGCCGCACCCACACTCACTTCCAATAGCGTAGAAGTTACTTTGGTTTATTTCCTCGCTTTTATTTCCTCGTTCTGGCCATGACCTAGTTTGCATGGACACATAACGCCAATCTCGCCCCTGTGAGGGCGCTATTGATAAGCAGGGGAGCTTGCCATCTTTCACCTCTTTCTGTCGCGATGAACCGGATTGGACATGTTGGAAAATGCGCCGTCACTCAGTGGGACGAGAATTTGATGCGCGTTTCTTTATCATTGCAATTTGTTTGTGTTATTGGATTAACAACTCTTCTTCCGAAAAAAGCATGAAACAGTTTCGTAAAAAAAAAAGAAAACACAAACTTGCACCAAAATTAACGGATAACAAAAAAAAAAGAACAAAACACCCACTTGAGAATGTTAAGCAGTTACGGCAAGTGCCAAATTGTTAGCTCCGTTGGGCCTTATGCACGAGTTGGCCATTTTTGTCGAGTTCCCCGAATTAATTTCATTGTTTGTTGATTATTGAATAAGATGGAGCCAGACTATTTATGCAGGCATAATGCAGCCGTATGTTACTGGGTTTCTTATCTGGCTTTAAACATTAGGGAATGTTTAATTACACGTTTGAAATTATTTATTGAAGCAGGCTGGAATCAATTAGTAATTTACTTGCTATTATTTCGCTTCAAAAGTTCCAAAAATTAAGAGTTTACCTCAATTTCAATTCAATATGGCCGACTTGTGCATTGCAATCAAAGCGCAGGTTTATCTGTACACTTTACAAACAATGCATTTGGAATACGCGCTCAAAATCAAATGAAAGGTTTAAGAATGACACCAATGGATGAATTAAAAGCAATTATTTATTTAAAGTTTGCAAAAGTTCTTGTTTTTATTTCATATTCCAAAAATATAACACACATTCCCATCTTGACTATTAAAGTCACGTAGGATCATTTACAATCACTCGGAAAAGCGCCTGAAGATTTAATGACAGGAACCTGATTAAAGGTGAAGATGGGACTGGTCTCAAATACTATATGTGAAATTATTCCGCCTGACACAGCATCGTTTGGAAGAAAACTAAAATTGAGGATGGTTTCGAAATGGGATACATACGAGCTCACTTTCTTCTGACCGTTGGCAACACAATCCATGTTAAAAGACCCGTATATTGTGCATGCGTTTTCTCTGTTTTATATCAAAATGTATGGTATACACTGAGCAGAAACTTCAAGGAGTTGGGTCGTAACGCAGCCTATACAAAAGATTTGGAGCAATCTTGTTGCTTAAAACAAAGAAAATGAACTACGTACCTTTAAGCTTACAAAAACTTTCAAAATTGCACTCTTTTTCTGGCCTTGTGGCATAACATTGTTCACGAAAACAAATACCAATAAAAGCAAAAAAATCGACTACAAAAAAATATAACACACGATATACTGATATTCAAAATACAAAATCTCATTCGTTGGTCAACCTAAAATATGAAAAATTAACCAGTATGTTTTCGACTTACACATGTAGAATTTTACATTTCTTGGAATTATAAGCAGTCTGTTCCTTTTTTTTGTTGGGGGGGGGTGTTAAATGTCGAGTTATTATCCCTTTCAATACTATCATCGTCGTAAGTGGACGTTTCATGTAGGTATTGAAAATAGCGTAAAATTACAAAGTTTTTAAACTGTTACTTGCTGGTTTGCAAGGGTATGTTACGGCTGAACATACCCATCAATCCAGGACATGCAACTTGACTCAAAAACCACCTATATGGTGTGCATCGCAACCGGGTACCCGAGTATACCCGACCACTGATGTCAGGAACCAGTTCCAGATTATGTAATCGGTTACGCCCATACCCAATTTTATAAATTACTTAACAACTTATAAGACAATGTCAAAGAACTAATTTGAATGCCATTTTGTGTGTTTTTTTTTCAAATTAAAAGCCAGGCTACATGTTAAACCAACACTGATTTCACGTTGATATGTATTTGACGCGCGACAGATGACGCTCGTGACAATTGTAGTTTACACCATAAAGCTATGAAAACCCTTCACACAACTTCCGGGATTTGAATTTTGCGGTTGGGTTTCTTTTACATGTACCCGGGTATCCGTACTTTTCTCAAATAGTTTACCGATTCCCGTACTCACGGAAATGCACACCACTTAATCCAACATATTATGTAGTAAAATATTCATATTTTGAAAACTTTACAATTTTAACGTTATGGTAGTGATATTCCTTTAACACATGCATCTGAATTTTTAGCATGCTTTTTTCCTTCAAATCAAAACATGCAGGAAAACTGAATTGATATCACGTGATCATAATCACATGATTACATGCAGCATTGTTGCAGTCGATGACTTGTTTACCGCCATCATCCAAACCACTTGACGAGTAGGATACTAAACATAGTGAGTATCAGAGTGACTAAACCTAAGGTGTGGATGTTGCCATGGTTACAGTATGACTCCTGACAGCATACTTGTGTCACAGTCTCTGGGGGGTCTGATCCAGGCACTGGTTTGTCATAGTAGGTCTCGCACGGGCCGGGTTCCCGTAAGTCCGAGTAACAGCCTCGCCTGATCTGCTCCACCCCTCCCTTATATGTGCGTTTCTGTCACAATTTAGAAACAATATTCAACAATGTTATGATAAGCCTATAACCAATATCATGTAAGCCTGAAGTGTTTATAGTCTCAGTCCCTATAAGCCCCATTTTGTTATATTTTTCGGTTGGAAGGTATCCTGCTGTCTCCAATTAAAGATAATGCGTCTTGACATGTGAGGGATTATAGAAACTGTTATCTGCAACGGGAAAAACACTCTCTGATTTCCCTAGGTAGTTCTGACGACCCTCTTGCTAATCTGTGTACAATTTGCCGTGAATATGATCATGTTGTGTTTTCATGTCATTGTGTTTGCGCTTGAGGAAGGAAGTGCACATTGAAATCGCAATCAGAGTGATTGCTGCATCTAATCGATTGCTGGCTAAATAATCCCCTTCATCTTATTGGTGGATCGTTGATCACGTGTCATTGAATTATTCGTCCCAACCCACGGCCCAGCCGCACTGTAAAACACAAAAGTTATATCCATGGTAAATGGAACTTCAATATTGCACGGTCACACTATAAACCTTTATCATAATGCCACCATTTCAGTCGTGTTCCCTGTATCCAATAAAAGTAATGAATGATAAATGTTTTATGTGCAAAAAGGAACCACGTTCATTTGAAAGGGAAAAAATCAAGATGGCCGCAACATGATAATGTTCTATTGCTTGCGTTCTGATGCTGTACATTGCTGTTCAGTACCAGTTTACAAGTTACCAGTCAGATAATAACGAATGTTTCACAAAAGTTACGCACCATGCACATGGAGTCGCAGGTGATATTAGCTGATACTGCCGAATTGATGGGATCGTTACAGTGTGCACCGACGACTGCACTGGCTACAGTGCGGTAGGTACACGCATAGCATATGATATCAGAGGGCTGTGCATCCTGTGAGTTGGTGATCACTGCAAGAATTGACAGAGAAAATCGTTGGAAATGTTTAAGCTGAAAGAACGGTAGGGCTGCATAAATAAATAATAATAATCGGCATTTAAGAACGCCCTTTTTAGTAAACTAAATCACGGCGCTTACAGTATTGTTATTACCCCTGATCATTGGGCCAATTAAACATTCCAAATACCATCTCAGCTCCCTGGGGAGTATACAGCTCAATGCTGCATGTTAGGCGCAAGCAAGCAAAATCGATCACATATCCATCTCTGCCCTCACGGGTACCCATTTACTCCTGGGTGGAGAGAAGCAATGAGTGACAAAGCGCCTTGCCCAAGGGCGCACGCACCATGACCCCGCCAGGACTCGAACCCACGACCTGCAGCTTTACCCGCAGACCACGAATCAGTGCCCTTAACCACGAGGCCACAGCACTCCACATAAATAAATAATCATGGGCAAATTAAAATTCAATTAACTAATAATGAGAATGCTCGTCGCACTCGATATTTCCATGGAAGTGGGGCTGTGTTGTAACTTAATTACGCTGTGTCCGAATTAAGGTTGCGACTTGAAACTACACCACTTCTCATTGACACGTGTGCATGGGCGTCGCGAGGGGGGGGGCAAGGGGGGCACTTGCCCCCCCCCCCCCTGGAAAAGCAAAAAAAAAAAAAAAAAAAAAAGGAAGAAAAAAAAAGAAAAAAAAAGAAAAGAAAAAGAGGCGCAAAGACAAAGTGGTGTAAATTTAATGATTTTTTTTGGGGGGGGGGGGCAAAATGTCCCTGCCCCCCCTCTAAAACTGATAAATCGAGAATGTGTTGAGAAATGCAAGCATTTTTTGGCAAATTTTTTTTTTGCCCCCCTCTAGAAAAAAACCTGGCGACGCCCATGCACGTGTGTAATTTCAAGTCTTGCGAAGCATCATGGGTATAATGAAAGGATATTGCTTAATGAAGTCCACTTATTAGAAATTGGCCACTGAGTACATGGATGGAACAAGAAAACAATATCATGCATAATGCCAACTTAATATTATGAAATGTCGGCCTTGTTAAGTAGCGATAGCTTTGTACACTTTGAACGTGTTACAGCCAAGAAACAGATATACTCACATGGTAACGTTAGCCACGTGACAATCACCAACGACGTCACTGAAAGGGTTCTCATTTTGCCTGATAAGAAAAAAAGAAAGTGCATTTAATTCCAACGCTTGAGACACGATTTTATCATCAGCGTGAATATCAAGTAAGACAATTTCAAGTTGTAGCCATCAGATAACGGCCGTTATTATAACGTCTATTTTATCACTAATTGGCGCCAAATTGCTCCTTAACTGTCGGGAATGCTTCTTTTTTTTCCTTGCACGTATAATAAACTGCGTGCAACTTCAATGCCGAGGAATTCTGACGTTGGCAACTGCGCTAAATGTTCAAGAAATCACAAACCTATGTTGCTGCCTTGTCACCAAAACGAGGGTGTACACGTATGGGCTGCCGAGTTTCACCTTCTCACAAGAAATCACAATTCGTTTAATGCGCGTAGCCTATTGACCTACATGCAACAGATTTGTTGAATGTCTGAAGACAAGATTGATCTTGTTATTTGGCAGTACACTACGTGTTCCGTGTCTGCAGCACATCGGATGTGTGACGACATTGCGAGTGTAGTCATCATTTCTTATAAATTAACACACAAAGCCGACACAAAGAACCAGCCTGACACCGCCTGACTAGTATGCATTAGTCATTAATCCCAGTGGACCAAACAGCCGTCGGGTCATACTCCACGCCATGGCTACCGTCGGAAGTATTTTTTTTTCTTTTTGCTGTTCTGTATGATTTGGGGTTCGTCTGATTCTGGAGTTGAGGGCAACTTGCAAAACCAATTAATTGCTTTCAAATGATATTGTCTGATTAAGATACCATGGAAGTTTATAAATTGAAAGGAATTATGGACAGATAAAGTCAAACAGCCTGAATTTAAATTCGGGTCAGGGATATTCCACGGTTGCGCTCCCGCAAGCATAGGCGACCTGGTCTGAGGACATGTGCTAAATTTAAAGGGCCCATGCGATGTATTATTTTAATGCAGTCCTTATAAATGCACCTTTGTGTCCCATTTAACCTAATTTTCAATTATCGTTTTGCCATTTTCAAGAGTATTCCGTGCCTTTTTTGGTTTTTTTTTTTATGCTAAAATGCGAATTTCCATAACCATGAGCAATAGTGTGATGTCGTTTCAGGCAGAAACCTCAATATTACAGATATTTCAGCAAAATAAAGTTGCCAGATTTTTGGATATTTTTTTCGGTGATTCATTGGTGTGTCAGTACATGACCAAGGGTGGATGGGGGGGGGGGGGAAACGGGGGCCATGCCCCCCTCCAAAAGAAACCCCGAACCCATTGAAAAAAAAATGTTTAAGTGACGTCGCAATAAAGGCAGGCACTGCGTATACTGCCATCTTTTCCTTAAAAAAGGGTCAAAGTGGTCAGATTTGCCTCAGATCGCACCACAGAGCATCTAGAATCCGATAACATTTCGGGGCCCATAAGCGGGCCCCGAACCCCACGCCGTAATATTTTGTACCCAATTTTTGGGGGACCCAAACCTTTTTTTTTGGTGCCCCCCCCCAAAAAAAAAATTATTCTGGATCCGCCCTTGTACATTGACAGTGGGCCAATGAGCAAACATTCCTCACAAATAATGTTTTCAGTATATTTTGGGGTTCTCAATTTGAACAGAAAACCCAAAACCCAAAACAGTTTCTTCCTGAAATGACATCACGGCAACATAATGTCTGGCAAAGCATGTGCATGGGATGTCGCCGAGACTGTGTGTTAAATGGAGATATGCATACAAGTACATGCACAAGTACATGCACATGCAGAAACGCCTACGTGGTTTCTTTTGTATTCTTTTTCAGATTTTATATTGATTTAATTTATTGAATTTTCATTTAAATATTTCAGTTCATTCATTTTCTTTGAATTGTTTACTTCATTTATATTTAGTTTATTTGGTTTACTACTATGTGTCAGAAAGCACGGATATAAATCAAATCAAAATCAAAATCAAATACGTGAACATAAGATTGGAACGGTTTTGCATGGTGAAGACAGCAAGAAGATAGGCCTACTATTTACGATAGCACCCTAACGTGACAGTCTCTTTTTGTGAGTTAGTAATTAGGGTTCTGAGAAAAAAACGGGGCAAACTCAACGATGACGGCGATTTTTCACTGAACTGAGATTACAATTTCTTCTTCCGTTATAGTTTAACATTTCAATCAACCTGAGCATATTTTTGGAGAAACACAACGTTCAAAATGCCATTTGGGGGGGGGGGGGGGGGGGTGTGCATGAATTTCACTGCACTTTGTTATATTATCCAAGTATGTACTCGGATTAGCTTTGCCTAACAACGGCACGACGCTTTGTGTTCGTAACCATACGGCTGTTAAGTGGGTGGTCCTTGATTTTTGACTAAGGCAAAACTTGTAAAGCTGATCCATGCTAGTCTTATAATAAGAACGCACAATATTCTATTTCAAAATGCCTTGTCAATGAGATAGTGTTCATGCGTGTTATCCAAGGGACGGATCAGAGTGACAGTAACGTCATGGCCAAATTCTGCTAAATGCACTTCAAAAAAATTGTCAGATTTAGCAAAAATCTGCAGAATTCCCCAGAATTACTCGAAATGCACTTTGTACGCCTCCCCCCCCCCACATGTTATGCGGGCGAAGCTCCCACTTTTTAATGCAATGGCCCGCCCATAAAATGGTTAGAGCTAGTGATCTGATAGTTTCTAAGAGCGTACCCCGAAAAATGCATACATGTACATGTACATAATGTATATGGCTCTTAAGCCCATAAAATACGTACATTGTACGTAGGCCTATGTGTCCTTCGGCGAGATAGAGGCACAAACGGTTGACCGTTTGTGGCCACCACAAAATAACATGCACCATAAACACAGGGATCGCGAAGAAACCGAAAAAAGTTATCGGAATTATTGATAGGCTTACTCACCTGCTTTTGATAAACTGCTCAGTTTTGATGGTGCTTTGGATTGAATGTATTGTGATTGTGTATGTCAGGTGCACAACACATTGCACGATGCCCGTGCGAGTTGCTCCCTGCTGGCCCCTGACCATTTTAACAAGTTATGTCCTGCTTAAAGTATGGAGCGCCAATTGGGATTTATTATACACAGGGGCTTTTGTCAATGGTCCAACCTACACTAACTCTAAGGTTAAATAGTTTGTGCTTGATTGTTGAGTTCATATAGCTGGTGTTTGATGACAACTTTTTTTAGTGCAATGGATTGTCCTTAATAAACCAGTATGTACTGGTTAACACATGTGATGAAAGCTTGAATGGCACAAGGCAATGTAGAAGCCAATTCTGCAGAGTGTCATATTGAGACGGTGGGGCGTGATGGTCAACTGGCTGGGTGAAGACATCGATCGTCAGGTTTGGAAGACGAAGACGCCCAGATCAGGTGTTGTAGGGGGCCAAGACGACAGGATGATGTAGAATTCTTAAATACCTGCCTGGAGTATTCAAGGGCTTCGTTGCTCACCTCACCCGTGTCAATTAAAATCAAAAACATCTGTGCTATCATTCCACAGATGAGCCAAGACCGTGACCAGGAAGTGTTTAGGCAAGGCACTCTCCGCCCTCCTGTAGTAAGTAAAATTGCCTGCCTTTATTTAATTTCATTTCACAAACATTGAGTTAAATTGAGTTTCATAAGCAAAACTGGGTTTTCTTTTTTCTTGCTGAAATGCGTATCTTTTGGTATCCATTAGGGCCTACACGCAAGATTTTCGTGCTTGGGGCTTAAGCTCATGTTTGAGAAATCATCCACCACGCAAATATCATTTAATAATTCCCTTTTTAATCATTTTGAATAGGTTTTTCCGGCCAAGTTCCTGAAATATTCATTCACATCTTAAAATTGGTCATTCACTTTCGTCTGAATTTGAATGCACGATTTTCAAGTCAACGATAGCCCGTGTATTCGGTTTTGAGAAAAAACCGGCCAATTACGTTACCTGTGCATTCATTTACGCAATCATACCTTTTTAAATTGATTTCAGGTACAGCTAATTTGATTGACGGTTAATAAAAAGAAACCGCTAATCGTATCTGGTGCCGAACGCATTAAACTAAAGTGAAATAGAATGGTGAATGTGTGAAATCGCACCTCTAAAAACAAAAAAGAAGTCTTGAAAACGAATTTAAATGAACATAAACGAAAGGTGCTGCTCAATCACTCAATTGATTGAACTGAAATGGAATGTAATGGTCTGGTAGCGAAAATCAAACGCGTGTTCAGAGCAATTCTCAAATTCAGGCAAAAATGAATGACCGACTTTCAGAAGTGAATACAAATTTTAGGAAATTGGCCGGGAATACCTATATATTATATTTTATATTGTTTTGTGTTGCTTATTGATTTCAAGTTATAACATTTGAAAAACGTTTTGCTTTATGTTGGTGAGATGAAACCCGTTTTCCGAATTTGTATGTGAAAAAAAGGAAAAAATATTTTCACAAACAAAGTAGGTCAAAATTCGTTAACGTTCTAAGAGTTGTGTAGGCCTATGGAGTTGAAATTAATTGCACCTTTGGAGTTTCATGAGCACAAGCAGAACAGGCAGAGCTAACGCGTTGAGAAATGCCATCAAGATGAAAGCCACCGTGTAACTTCCAAGTGTGTCGTAGATCAATCCTGAGAAATGGAAACAAAATATCAGATAGGTGAGGTGAGGTAGAACAATTTGGATAGTGTTAGAGTTATGAAAGGAAAACGCTTTCTGCTGTCTTTTCTTCAGGGAAACTTCGTAATGTGGGTTTAATCAACGAGAGTTCTGTTTGAAATAATCTGAGTGACTGCATTTAAAGACCAGGTTCATCTTGTACGTACGACCCCTGCGAATCATTCAGTTAATACTAAAGGAGACCAATCTATTAAGCTCCGCCCCGTAATATGTTTTGACCAATCACATTAATTGATGTGTAGCGAAGTCCGACATGCATGCACTCCCGATGACGCGTAGTGTAGTAGCAATGGGCCTTTTTACTAATACATTCATAATTATGGACGTATGCGCATAAATGGGTCTGGCGGCCAGAAGCGAAACGGTCCATTGAAAATAAATGTGCAGGAGTCCAAACATTTGGGCATTTTATCTCAATTTTTCCAAGAACTCGTCGCTTTTTTTTCTTTAGAAGACCCCCTTAGACCAACATAGGCATTACTTTCTGGCCTAAGCGTGTTTTGGGGTTGTCTGAGTATCACCCGTTATCCACGGAGCCCAGTCTTCTGTATAACGTCTGATATATCTAAGCATTCAGATTTATGCGATCCGATCTGAATGTTTGATTTGTCAATTCGAATACAGTGTTTTGTAATAAATCGATAAAACCTAGACAAGCTTGCGCGTATCGCGTAACATAACAGGCGTGACCACATCCTTTGTTGCTGTGTCTAGGTTTTTTTTTTATCTATGTCTGACGCGACAACGGGTGATATAGAAAGCGCCCACTGGTCGAAATCTATAGTGGTCAAGAGATCTATAGAGGTATAGAGGTCAAAATCTATAGAGGTCAAGAGGCGTTGTCTTGTATAATTAATCAGCGAATCTGCTCACATATCATAGACCATGTCTCTTCGTCATGGTATATTACATTACATAGATTAGTTTTTTTTTAGGGGGGGGGCACGTAATAAAAACAACAAAAAACCATTGCTTTCCTTCCGTGCACACGAGGGCGAAGAAAATCAGCAGGGCTCCTTTCCGCACGAGTGGAAAAGAATGCATGTTCTTCGGGATACCCGTCCACCAAATTTTGGGCCGAATCGCGGTGCTGAATCGCGGCCTGGCTCCACCGTGGCTGAACCAGTGCACCAGATTTCATATTTCAAATAGTCCAAATTTCATGACGGCGTACGTACCGCTTCACTCTAGTTTACGTGCTACGAAAATAACATCCAAAGTTTTGTAAGGCTGAGCTCAAATTCATGTCTGTTGCACAATCATAAACGCTTCTGCATGGACGCCAAGGATAATAAAATAGTTAACAATAAAAACACATCTCCTAGTACCTATCCACTAGTGCTATGTTTTCTAGTTTGAGTGCAGTCCCAAACACTTACTACAGAAAGTTAATGAATCATACCAGGCAAGAAGAGGAAGAGTGCCCTGACGAAGCCACATTTCAATCCGATCCATCCGAGGGCGCTTCCTAAACGTTCCACACCAACCGTTTCCTTGGTCATGACATCTAAAAGAGTGTAAATGAAAGACTGGAAAAAGCCGTAGACAAAGACGTACGCCATGATTGGCCAGTAAGATTCCAACAGTAGGTCGGTGAGGAAGCAGGCTGAACTGACAGTCACGGCTAATCCCATCAATAGGTTCATTCCGATGAATTGATAGCCGCCAATGAATGCCACGGCTAAATTTCCAAGGATCTTCCCTACACCAAACACAGAGACAAAAGCGACGACTTCGGACAGGGAAAAACCTTTGTATTGGTTGGTGTGAGCTGTGAAGTACACAAACCATGCTGTGGCTGCTACTGTGGTAAATATTGATATCAACACGACCAGCCAGTACCCGGAAAGGGCGAACAGATCAATATTGACAGCATTTTTCATGGACGTCAAGACAGAGAGAATCCTAAACTTATCTCGTATCGTCTTGTCATCTGATGAAGTGTTGGTGACTATCGCATAGTCCCCATCGCGTTGGTTTGTAACCGGATGTGTCCTAAGCAGGGCTCCGCACACCGCGAGATGTAAGAGTATGGATCCAATAAGCATTAGGGCTCCTCGCCAACCATACACATCCATAAAGAACTGCGTTAAAGGCGGGAAGATGACAAAAGAAACATATTTTTAACATAACGACAAATCAGTGGTCAAAAATTCAATTTTTCACATCTTGTATTTCTTGAGTTGTTGCCCCCAAAACGAGTTTGGTGCACGGGAGATCGAGACCGCTATTTATGTGGCGCGCCCTTTATTGAAAGAAAAATAAAGTAGGCAATGGAGCGAGATCGAGACCACTAGGCCGGGTGTACCCAATCAAATAAATTATTCACGAGTTGGTCATTTTTGTCGAGTTTCCTGAATGTATTTTATTAACTGTTAACTGTTGAATGGGATGGCACCAGATTATTTATGCAGGCACAATGCAGCCTTATTATACTGTCATTTCTTTTGTAATGTTTAATTACAAATTTGGAATATTATTCATTGAAGCAGATTGCACTTTATTATGAATTAACTTGTTTTCTCTTCGCAAGTTCCAAAATTGACGATTTGACCTCACTTTCAATTCAAGATGGCCGACTCGTGAATAAGGCCCATAGACAATAGCGATAAATGCCCATATTCCAAAATTCTTAGAAAATACACAAAACTCTCACAGGTGTTTAGGCTGCACAAAACATGATGATCAACACGTTATCTTTTATATATTTTTTTTTACAATTGTTGTTGGGTAGACCGATGACTTTTCGAGAAATTCTCGCCCAAAGAAGACGACCCCTGAAACGAGTGATGCTTCCCAACTGAGTGCAAGCTGCCATCTTGAAAACGGATCCCTCCACAACATGGCTAAATAGCGCCACTTTCAGGCCCAATTGCTTCCAAAATACTCTGAATTGGAAGCCCCAAGTCCGCACAAGATGTGTATTGCCATATCGCTTCAATTACCCGCTTCCATGGCTCTCAGAAGCCTCTAATATAAAAAAAGATTTGAGGGTATAACTTTTATTCATGAGCTCGGCGGACGGATTTTTGACCGGTATTATACTAAGTTCGGCCAGTGATCAGTCTTGATGGTTACAAAAGGAGATTTAAATAGGTGAGAAACCATCAAAGAACAACTGAAAGTTTCTTTCGAGAAAGGCGCGCTAAATCAAACTTCTCGCACCGGTGTGGCAGGTAATTCTGTCCCCCCTGGTAAATGTGTCCCCCGGACAGATTTATCGGGTCGTGACCCGGTAAATCTGTCCGGGGGGGGGGGGGGACACTTTTACCTAGGTAAACCTGTCCCCCTGCACGACGTTAAATGTGTCCCCCCTGGTAAATGTGTCCCCGTGCAACGTCACAAGTCTAGCACCCAGACTGTATATTAGTAAAGTTATTAACTGTTTTTGCGCGGCGCCTTGCTAAATTCGGGAATGGTGCTTACGTCACGTCAAAGCACAACTCCCGTTTTGATGACGACTTCGGGAGCGAGCGATTTGCATGGTGGGAGGGCGCGCGAGTGTACCGCACCTACGGAGGGCGTGCGCGCTAGCGATAGTTATTACTACGCGTGCCTTTTCTGCTTTCTTGTAGAAACATAGATCGGTTGATTAACATCATAGAGTTGTATAATAAACTTTATTATACAGCTCTATGATTAACATCTAAACGTTAAATTCATTTTGATAATCATTGATGAACGCTGGAAAAATCTAAAAATGTATACCCTGTGCGCTGAATTCATTATAATAACATCAATATAACAACTTATGCGTTCAAAACCAGGGGGGGGGGGGGACAGAATTAACTGGAAGGGACAGAATTACCTGGAGGGGGACAGAATTAACGGGACAGGGGGACACTTTTACCTAGGTAATTCTGTCCCCCCCCCCGGACACTTTTACCGGGGGACAGAATTACCGTCCACACCACCAAGACAAACGCGCCTGCTTTATATTTAAGATTTGTTCAATAGAGGGCGCGCCACATAACTAGTGGTATCCACAAAGCAAAAACACGGACGCTGCACAATAATGAACAAAATGAACATACTCGTTTCCGATGAACTACTCAAGAAATAGGAAACGTATTCAATTGAAATTTCGAGCACTGATTTTCCACCATGTGTAACATAAGTGTATTGAATATTACGAGAAAACGTTGACCAAAAAAAATAATATAATCGTAACAATGTAGTGTTTTACACGCGAAAAATCCACGTTGACTCTCATTCGGATTGCGTAAAGCACTGTATCGTTATGGTCATAATAACTTCACTGTTGGTCGGTTTCTTATGAAATTAAATCTGGTAATTTTTAACATAACGACAAATAAGTGGTCAAAAAATCGATTTTTCACATCTTGTATTTCTTAAGTTGTTACACCCAAAACGAGTTTGGTGCACGGTTTGGTGCAACGTCTCTTTTTAGTATTTAAGAATGAGCTAAATTAATACTATGTATTAGAAAAAATCATATTTACTACAAATGATGATGTTGCTAAATTTAATACGAAATGGGACCCATTCTCTCTTTTATGTAATGATTAAGTTTTTATTTGTTTATACTCATTGTAAAACGCAAGAGAAACGTTTCTTCTAAATAAATAAGTTTCCCATAAGGGGAAAAAATATTTGTGTTGTGGTGTTTTTTTTTGGGGGGGGGATTTTTGGAATTATTAATCCAATCCTTCACTTTCCTCTATGCAAATGTATACTGATGGTGAAATTATTGAATTCGAACGTAAGATGTTATCTTGCCCAAATTGCTTGTCTATCAATTTGTGAATGCCTTACAATATAAAACAAAATAGAGTTATAGGCTACACTTATCGAACCTTATCGAAAATATATGAACTTTACATTCAGTTATTTAAATGATGTGGTCACATTAACTATTAATCACATTAACATTTAATCACATTGATATTTATTATAAATACAACTTATTATGTCTGAACGACACGAGCGCTAGGCATACACATTTGCTAAGAATTAAGTTTGATAGCAATGAAAAATATTACTAATAGTATAGCTACATCTAATCAAAGGTAGAAGCAGCAGCCTATCCAGACTGGGGGGGGGGGGGCGTCAATGACACGAATGCACGTACGAACAATAATTCCGAATTTTAGTCGCGTTTGACACTCTTTATTGAGACAATAACTCAAGAACAACATATTGCATTGAATTGAAATTGCGTCAGATTATTAACCATAACATTTGACACAACCCGTTTGAAAATTGAAGTGAACCAAGATAGAATACATTTAATATGATTTAAAAAAAAATAGGCCTAAGCGTTTAATTTAATCACGAAAACTTCATTCTGAATTTTAGTCTCTTTTGACACTCTTTGTTGAGACGATAATTCAAGAACAACATATTGTTTCGGATTAAAATTGCGTCAGCTAATTACCATAAAATGTGACACAACCAGTTTGAAAATTGACGTGAACCAAGAAAGAATACATTTAATATGATTTAAAGAAAATAGGCCTAAGGAATAATGACCATTTAGCCCTGGTTTGTAAAGCGCCCCCCGGTACCTCGGCCTGTCTATAGCTCATCCGGTCTTCAGTCCAGTCTAGTCCGGTATGTAGGTCTGTCGGACCTGAAGCTTTGAAGTCAGTCAGGCGCATCAGTTTATTTCCCCTTGGGGAACGTCCAGAGCAGAACAAAAGACGGCTTATCGGATTACAGACTTGTGGCCAGAGATTACCGAACTGTTTAAGTACCGCTGCTGGCCTCCTAAAATTCGGGTTGGGGGAGTTGTTGTAAAACGTTTTCGACACACATGTACTTACTTTTGGTAATAATGATGGATTCCGTAAAGCTACAGTAGGGCCTATGTTTCTATGCCACGATTAAAGTGTGCAGTTTGAAGCTACAAATGGTGGTGCAAATCACCGTAAGCTCAAAATAAACTCCTGGGAAAAAAGATTGATTGTTTTTAAACCCATAAAGGAAGGACCTTGATATTCACATTAATCCGAACAAAACCCAAAATCTTTACATGCATTTGTAAATTCAGGAGTGATAAGTTAAACTAACTTTGGGCCTTTAAAATATGGTATTGGCTGGGGGATTACGATGGGAAATTTGCTCTATTTTTTCGTAGTTCTTGGCTGAAAAGGATTGCTTGTAAACATTTTCGCGGTTGGATTTTTTCTACGAGATCCAGAAACGCCTCAGCATCAGTTCCTTCCCAAAGCTGTTGAAATCAAAATAAATGTAGTCTGCAATTAAGAAATTCCACACACAACGTATTAATATTCAAAAAGTGAAAATGCTTGCGCTTGCAACCCCATTTGTATAACATTGTATGGGAAACCCAATAGCACGAGCCTTCATGGGCTGGTATGGGGTTCTATTGTTTCGCTCAGGAGATTAATGCTTGCAAGCGTGTAAGTAATTTACAGTCCCATTGTGTGCCAAACCGCATGGCAGGGGTTTAGATCTGTGCCGGCGAAGGGGCTCTTTTGTTTCGCGTTGGGGGATGAAAACCACAAGCGGGCGTTTTCTGGGATAGATTACATGTGTCAACACTTGCAAACAATAGACCCCAGGATGGGAGAGTTCTTGATCAGCCACCGGACTAGCCACCTGGGGCGGTAGCTGGGCCGGTAAGAAAGGGCTTTTTGGGAGGGGGCGAGCTTACCGGGGGGCCCTTTACAAACCAGGGTTGAATGGTCACTAAACCTAAGCGTTTAATTAAATCACGAAAAATTCATTCTAAATTGTAGTCTCTTTTGACACTCTTTGTTGAGACGATAACTCAAGAACAAACTATTGCATTGGATTGAAATTGCGTACGATTATTAAACATTTGATATTATTTAACATTTGACACATTCCGTTTGAAAATTGACGTGAACCATGGAAGAATACATTTGATATGATTTAAAGAATATAGGCCTAAGCGTTTTAATCACGAAAAGTTCATGCCGAATTTTAGTCTCTTTTGACACTCTTTGTTGAGACAATAACCTAAGAACAACATATTGCATTGGTTTCAAATTGCCAATGGTTATTAACCATAGCATTTGACACAACCCGTTTGAATATTGGCGTGAACCATGGAAGAATACAATTAATATGATTA